GATATCTTCCTTATAGATGTTTTCTTAAGAAATCTGATTTTCCAAATTGGCTTCATTTGGCAGGTGGTTAAGAATAAAATATGATTATGAGATCTGGACAAACATTTCCCACTGAAGATCATTTCGTTATTATAGAAAAATGATAGCATCTTTTTGTATGAAAAGGAGAAGAAACAAGAAGTATCTTTGAAAGACAGATACTCGCCCGAAGTAAAACTGGTTATTAACTTGCATATGTTAGTTTTTAGTTCTCCATGCAAAGTCATATAAAAAAAATTTAGCATTGCTTGCATAAAAATGACATAATAGTTTCTTGTTGGGTTATTAATCTTGAAAATTGGAACACTTTAAGATGTATGTGTTTCTAAACAAACATGTCGTGTTTCGTTAAGTAACACCAACATCTACGCAGTCGGTAAGGCAATTATTTTTTTATAATTAGTTGATTAATATGCAAACATATATATAAATTATAAACATTATATCAATTGAAAACATCAATAATCATATAATATATTAAACAGCTATTGACTATCATAAAATAAGGAAAACTGATGAGTTCTGATGTTATTCTCGTTATGTATTACAAAAGATTAAAACTCAGATATTGTGTAAAATCAACTCAATATGTTCTTAAGTATAATAAATTGTTCACTAGCAATGAATGTAATGAGATCCGAATGCAAGAAGTATTGTTAAACAGAACTTAAATATCTGAGCAATTTAAATAGAAAGTTAAAAAACTATCCTGTACATTTTATTTTAGAACTATCTTTTACATTTTATTTCATAGTGGCAAGAACTATTCTTTTTATTTTATTTTAGAACTATCTTAGAATGAAAAGAACTATATTTTAGAATAGCCAATGAGATTCCGACATTTCATTTTGCAATTTTAAAATGACCACTGAAAAGCTTTCTTATGTACAGTTCTTCCCTGTAAATTTTACAGGAAGTCAAACTGAATAAAGATCGGTCGTCTACTCTAATATTCTTATCCTCAAATTCCCAATGATCTTATCTTAAAGTACTACTATATCAAATATGTAAGGTTAATAAATAGGTCAACAAAATGTCAAAGTTGAACTAACTTTTACTTTTACTGTTAAAACATACAGCGATTTTTAGATTTTGAGAAATATCTAACCCTTAACAACGCTGCGATAAGATTATTTTTAATTATCCTACACAAAAATATATGTTTTGCAGTACATGTAAAATTATATCTCTGGAAAATGGAAACCCTTGGGGACGGAATAACAAGATGGTGGGAGGGGATGTTTTCAATAACGGAAAGAGAATTTTTGTGTGGGATTAGGATATACAAATAACTTACATGAACCGTTTTACAAGCGGAAAGTTGATTCTTTGCCCAAGGTACTCATACTAAAGTTAAGGTCAAACCTATTTGCATTACCTCCGCTCTGTCAATTGCAATTTAACTTGGACACCAGTAGGGTTAACTTCTTTCTTTCTTTCTTTCTTTCTTAACAATTATTACTAGACGGTAAAAGTATTAAATCTGTAACAAGATCAACCAAAATGCTTCTGAGAAAATTTACGAGCCCCTAAATTGGTAAATTTTAGGAATATTTTGAATTCAGCTCTCAGAGCAGAAAAATGGTAAAGACAGAGTTTAAAACGGGAGGGATAGAGTAACATTTTATACATCCAGTATTTAAAACATTTTTAGAAGAAAAAAGTCATTTGTGTTTGATTTTAATTATATAATTTTTATAGATATTTATTGGCTTAATATATTAATAATGCTAAATCGTCGTGACAAAACTCATAAAATAAAATACAAAAAAAAAAACTACACGGTAAAAGTAGTAAAACTAGTGTTAAAAATAGGTGCAGAAAGGGTAACATTTTATACATATTTCAAACATTTTGAGTCGAAACAATTATTTCGCTTTTGTGATTTGTTAGCTAATTGCTAATATTTGTTTCTTAACAATTAAAAATAGGAAAACATTTTTTTATAATAATGCTATTATAGTTTATTTAGAGTGTCCTCATTTCTGAAAAAAGCCCTTCTAATAGCAAAGTTTAAGTTCAGAAAAAAAAACCCAAAAGTCATAAAGCATACGGTAATTTTTTATTAAATTTTGCATACATTTTCATTAAGGCATATAACTATTTTGTCAATTTACAGTTCAATTTAATTCAGTTTATTCAGCAAATCGCCATAATATCATACCTTTGGCCAATTTAACAATTGCAAAGTGAAGAATATAGCCAAGACATCATAAACATATCAACAGAACATAATACAGTGCTTGCAAAAAATAAATACACATATAACTTACACAAATTGTCATAGATATACAGTATAATGAAATATTTTTATATTATGCAAATTAAGAAGCAGCTTCTACAGCAACAAAATTTTTCCTTATTTGAAATGCTTCATACAAATATTTGGCAGTTTTACATGAATTATTCTTACTCTTACATGATATAATGTTTGAAAATTTAATGCCTACTAGGCCATGAACAATTACATAAATATTTTGTTCTTATTTCTTAATAAATAGGGCACGTTAGTAAAAAGTGATATTCAGATTCAACTAGATTGGTATTACAATCTTTACAGATTCGTTCATTTCTAAGCATACCTTGATATCTACCGACCTCAATTTCTTATCTATGAGAACTTAAATTAAAGCCTGACATGCATTTTCTAAATTTATCTATATTAACACATTCCAAATATTTTTCAAAACCAAAAAATTGTTTATACATTCTATAATATCCCAATTTGGACATGTCTCCTATACATTTATGCCACTTTTGTACATATTGATATTGTAACCTCTGCTTTAAAATAGATGCAAAGTTGTAATTGACCCAGGAAGATAAATAAATATAACTACATCCTAAGTCATCCACTAATGTTTTTTAATCTAAGATGCCCATGGGTTATTGATATACTAGTAATTGCTACATTGTGCAAGATATAATTTATACATTGGTGAATTTTGATTATTCATTATTCTTAGCCAATATTGTATTTATCTCTCTTTACTAATAACAGAGAGAGGGTATCATCCTAACTCGCCAAAACCGCAGAATTTTGAGTTATAAAAATGAAGTTTATCAACCTCCTTCAAAATAGAGAAAATAAGAATCCCTAAAGAAAACCGAACACGGCAAAATTGAAAATGTTGCAGGCTCGGTTTGATTGAGCCTGTTCATGGACGGTACTGTCAAGTACAAACTACCGTCCAGGCCCCCTAGCACCGGCTTAAGCAGAATTCAACATTTAACATGAACTTGTACAATTTGGAATTTAGAAACATCCGCAGATGATCATACATTCCCCATTACATCAGAGCAATACAAAATTATTGGTACAACCATAGAATCAAAAAGAGCTAGTTTAGCTTTAATATCCAAGTTCGCTCTATAAAACAATTGTAAAAGTGAATTATAAGCCTTGAGAGCTTGATCTGATAAAATTTTAACAGAATTTTCCAAATTACCTGTATAAGTTTAATTAACACCAAGATAAACAATTTTATCAACAACTTCTACAATTCATCATTTATTGACCAAACATAATTACACGCTTGTTTTCTTTTCTCAAAAATACAAATTTTTGTCCTTTTTACATTAATCTTAAGACCCCATTTTGTAGCATAATTGTGAACCATGTTTAGTTGTGATTGAAGACTATCAGGACTTGTAAAAAGAGCTACATCATCAGCAAAAGTAACATATACATACTCAACATATCTAATTCTTTTTACAGTTCCTTATAGTACCCATGAGGAGGTCTTACGTTAATAATTATCAATAGGAAAACATTTTTCGTAAAGGTGATACTATAGATTAATTAGGGTTCCTAATTACTGAAAAAAGCCTTTCTAAAAGCCAAACTTTAGTTCATAACTCGTAAACCGTACGGTATTTTTTTTTGTTTAAATTTTGCATACAGGTGACCTTTAAGGCATATGACTGACATATGTTGTCAATTCTTTCCAGTTCCTTAAAGTATCCTTAAGGATTGTCATACAATAATATAGACATATAAGCGAAATGGAAATTTTATGATACAAATTGAACTTGACATGATCTTAGGTAATTATTATAGAAACATTTTAGAAAATATGGAGAATTCAATAAAACATTTTGTTTTCAATTTTAGTAAAGACACAGAAAATTCTTAAAATATAAGTCATTTTCAAAAGAAAAATGCATATATTCAGGTAAAGAAAAAACGAAATGTAAGAAGAAAAAGAGCCATGCTTACCATGATTTTTGTATTTCATGCATTTGCCCTTCAATTACGCATTTTTTGCACTCCGTAGGGTGAGCTTATATTCGGTGCTTTGTCCGTCCGTCTGATCATCCGTCCGTACTTCCGCTTTTCTTGTCCGGGACAACAAGAGGTATCAAGATGAAACTTTATAGGTTTATAGATCTCATTGGGTAGATGTGCATTGCACAAGAACTGTAACTCTGCCTTGCCTAATTTTGGAGCTATTACCTTTTGTTCATTTTTATACTTTGAACTTTGTCGGTGACATAACTCTAAAACTACATGTATAAGAGATGTCAACATGAAACTTTGTAGGTAGATAGATCTAATTGGGTAGATGTGCAGCAGTGCCTTGTCTAATTTTGGAGTTATTTCTCCTTGTTCATTTTTATACTTTGAACTTTGTCCGGGACAATAAACTGCTAAACGTAGACGTATCTGTCACTGGATGTTTCGCCCTTTATCTCGGAACATCCTCTAGATGGTGGGGCATGTAGTGTTGATCAGGTACTACCTCGTTTACGATGGCTTCCAGGTTGGTTCATTGCGTCTTAGCCAGAGCCAACTAGACGCTCTCTCTGCAGCCTTGCCAAGAGCATGTGCTGCGGTTTTCCGGGCTCCTCCTCCAAACTGATTCTGATGGAAAGCCTCTGCAACCAACTTCTACTGGGGAAAACCCATGTCTTCCACCCTCTATCTCTACAGGCGTCCAACAAGTCTTGGTATTTTCCTTCTAAATCACATACGACTCTTCTACTCTCTCTTCCCAAGGGACAGTGAGTTCTACCATCACCTTCAACTTCGGAGACTTTGCCAACATAACTATGTCTGGCCGGAGGGATGTGTGAGTCACTTCCTCTGGGACCTTAGTCTTCTTCCCAAGGTCACCCAACATTTCCCAGTTCTTGGAATCATATAAAACGCCAGTACTTGTTGGTTGTGCAGATTTCCTCCTTAGCCCTTCTTCAACATGCTGCTTTAGTCTTTCTTGGCATTTGATGTCCTTGAGTGTGGAATCAAACCACTTTCCCAAACACTTTACTGGGTTGTTGACTAACGAAGGAATCTCCTCTTTCCGTATAGTTAGCTTGAACCTGTATATTACCTTCCCCTTTCTCACTACCAAACATTTTGACTTTTCTGGCTTAAACAACATCTTTGCCCATGAAACTGTTTTGTTAAGTTCTTGTAGAATCCATCTGGCCTGATATGGGTTTCTGTGGTGATAGTCATGCCATCCATTAATCCCCTATTGGATTGGAGGCGAATCTCAGTATTTGTTTGTGGACCTCTTGATTCCCTCTCTGCTGCTTGGATGATCATGTTCATACTCATAACGAGATGGTGCATCCTGTAACAATGCCATTCTTCAGTGAAACCCAATCTGTAGTGAATCTTCTGCATGGGAACCTTAGATGAATGTTACTGAAGTAGCTCGTGACAAAATTTCTTGCTTGTTCTGGAACATGGTAGTGTTGTAGTGCCACATGAATTAGTTGGTGGGGTATGGAGCCATGAGCATTTGCAAGGTCAAGCCATACTACTGTTAGGTCTTTTTGGTTCGCCTCGTGTATCAGTTGTGTGAGCGCGCTAGTGCGCTGGACGCAGCCAGGTGATCATGGGATTCCACCTCTCTGTACAGACGTGTCGATATAGTTGTTTTCTATCATGCAAGTCATGCATAGATCTCATTGGGTAGAAGTGCAGTGCAAAAGAACCATCACTCTGCCTTGCCTAATTTTGGAGTTATTGCTTTTTTTCATTTTTACACTTTGAACTTTGTCCGAAACATAACCCTAAAACTATAAGGGATATCAACATCAAACTTTGTAGGTAGATAGATCTCATTCAGTAAAAATGCAGTGCAAAAGAACCATCACTCTGCCTTGCCTAATTTATATATTGCCCTTTGTTTATTTTTACATTTTGAACTTTGTTCGGGACATAACTCTGAAACTATAAGAGATATCAACCTGAAACTGTGTTAGTACATAGCTCTTATTGGGTAAAAGTGCAGTAAAAAAGAACCATAACTCTGCCTTGTCTAAGTTTGGAGTTATTGCTCTTTGTTCATTTTAACACTTTAAACATTGGCCGGGAAATAACTCTGAAACTAGAAGAGATATCAACATAAAACTTTGTAGGTAGATAGATGACATTGGGTAGAAGTACAGTGCAAAAGAACCATAACTCTGTCTTGCCTAATTTTGGAGTTATTGTCCTTTATTTATTTTTACACTTTGAACATTGTCCAGGACATAGTTCTGAAAGTAAAATGGATATGAACAAGACAATTTGTAGGTAGATATATCCCATTGGGTAGATGTGCAGTGCACAAGAATCGTAACTTTGCTTTGCCTAATTTTGGAGTTATTACCCTTTGTTCATATTTACACTTTCAACTGTGTTCGGGATACTGATACTATAAGAGATATAAACAAGAGACTTTGTAAGTAGATAGATATCTTTGTGTAGATAAGCAGTGCAAAGAACAACATTAACTCTGTCTTACCTAAGTTTGAAATTATTGCACTTTGAACTTTGTCCGGGATATAACTGAAACTACAAGAGGTATACTTTCTGTGTCCAAAACCTATTCGGGGAGGCTCATATATACCACGTTTCTGAAAGAACTGCCATGTTTAACGCGTGACTGGCAAAGGCTCATATAAACCACATGCCAAAAGTGGTGCCAGATTTACCACGTGAATGGCAATGACTCATATATACCACATTGTCAAAAGAGGTGCTAGGTTCACCACGTGACTGGCGGAGGCTCGTGTATGCCACATTGCAGAAAAGATGCTAGGCTTACCACGTGACTGGCCTAAGCTCATATGTACCACATTGTCGAAAGAGGTGCTAGGTTTACCGCGTGACTGGCGGAGATTCATATATACAACATTGCCAAAAGTGGTGTCAGATTTAACACGTAACTGACGGAAAGCTGATATACACCACGTTGTCGAAAGAGGTGCCAGGTTTAACACGTTACTGGCAGAAATTCATACATACTACATTGTCGAAAGAGGTGCCAGGTTTAACACGTTACTGCAGAAATTCATATATACTACATTGCTGAACTAGGCTGCCAGGTTTACCACGTGACTGGCGAAGATTCATATATACCACATTGTCGAAAGTGGTGCCAGGTTTAATACGTACCACGTGACTGGCGAAGATTCATATATACCACATTGTCGAAAGTGGTGCCAGGTTTAATACGTAACTGGCGGAGGCTTATATATACCACATTGTCAAAAGTGGTGCCAGGTTGAACACGTAACTGGCGGAGGCTCATATATATTCCACATTGCCGAAATTGGTGCCAGGTTTAACACGTAACTGGTGGAGGCTTATATATACCACATTGTCGAAAGTGGTGCCAGGTTTAACACATAACTGGCGGAGGCTTATATATACCACATTGTCGAAAGAGGAGCCTTGTTTATCACGTGCCCGGCGGATACTCAATGACATATATACCACATTGCTGAAAGAGGTGCTATTAATTACACGTGAAGGCTAATGTATACATTATGGCCTATATACCTAGACACAAGGGTAAAAACTCATTCAATAATATGCGCATTATTTTAAAAGACTGACTTCCCTTTGAAAATATTTCAGCTTTGTTATTATATATAAGTATTAAAAGGAAAACATTTATCTATATCTTTTCAAATGTATAAAGTAGGATTAGATAAATATTGTAACATATTTTATAACTTTTGATATGGTTGTTAAATGATAGAATTATAATGTTGTTTGTGTGATATCACTGTTAAATGATAAATTACCATGTTGTTTGTGTGATATCACTGTTAAATGATAAAATTACCATGTTGTTTGTGTGATATCACTGTTAAATGATAAAATTATCATGTTGTTTGTGTGATATCTCTGTTAAATGATAAAAGTATCATGTTGTTTGTGTGATATCACTGTTAAATGATAAAAGCATCATGTTGTTTTGTGTGATATCACTGTTAAATTATACAATTATCATGTTGTATGTGTGATATTAGTGTTTAACGCAAATATTATCATGTTGTATGCATAATATAAATTAAACTTGATCATGGTGTTTGTGTAATATGACGATAATTATCATATTGTTTGTGTGACATGACTGTTGAACGAAGTACTTATCATGCTGTTTGTGTGATATAAATGTTTAACGATACAATTATCATGTTGTTTGTGAAATATGACTGTTTAACGATACGATGATCATATTGTTTGTCTAACATGACTATTTAATGATACTATTATCATGTTGTTTGAGGGACATGAATATTGGGCGATTAACTGATCATATTGTCTGTGTAATATGACTGTTGAAAGATACAATTACCATGTTGTTTGTGTAATATGACTGTTAATTGATATAATGATTATGAATAGAAGATGTAGAGAACTAAAAACATAACATAACTAAGCTTAATTATGATTAGCAAACACAATTAACAAAAAGCTTTGTAACAATAAGAAACTTAGGCATATTAAACGACAAAAGTGAACAAAATGTATCATGCTGCATGTGTCAAATAGTTACTGAAATTGAAGTTGAATTAAACGGGTATCATGGGTATATCAATCAGTTATTGCTTACCTTATAACATTTGAAAAACCGTTTATTTTCTTGTTTATGGATAATCCACACCGTGCGTGCTGGCTGGCACAGACGTTATACAAATGATAACAAATATTGCAGCCAAAAGTTGTTCAGTGGTAAAAATTGTTCCCTATCTCTATGTAGAAGGAAATGTTGATAAAATTCAAGATGACCGGTGAACCATGTTGGAGTAAGAACTATAGAAATTACTGTCATTTCAACAGATATAACCATATAGTATACATTATATTGAGAGGAAAATGTCAAGTAATCTTCACGGTACATCATTAGTATTTATTGACATTTGAATAGATAAACTTTTGAAGAAAACATATTTATTATAGATATTGCTAACAACAATTTTTCGTGTTTTTATTTTATCATTTTTAAATTTTCAATTAATATATTTTCATTTTATATCTATTGTTATAGTTCAGTATGTTGACCGGAGTAGTTACAGCAAAAAATCACACTTTACGGCGGACAGGATTAATAAGTATTGGCAACCAGTGTGTACACAAACTGTCCAATGTCATTTGTGGTTTAAATAGTTCAAGTTAATCCTACAGAAAACTGTAAAATATAAGATCAATGTGCTGTATACGTCTCACGCTGGCTTTAATCGGTATTTGAAAAAGTGAAGTTAAACATATACTGCATGACAAAGGTTACGTTCAACAGACTAGTGTAGTGCGGGTGTAAGTTATATCATCTAAACATAGACACGATATATGGTTATTATATGTCTCTGATCTAAAACCGCATTTTAAAACATTGAAGTAAGAAAAAAAAAACATTGATAATGTATTCACTGCAATATCATCGTTCGTATTGTATGGAATAGAAAAATAAATTCTTCTTAGCTTCTTATGGTAAAAAAATAAAACTTAATTTGTGCTATTCTTTTATTATTTACTAATACCAAATGTAAAATATTTACATTCTTTTGTCGCAAGATTTTTATTTATTTATTTATTTTTACTTTCTTTGTTCAAATTCATAATAAATTTTTCATGTTTTCCTTGACGATTAGATGGAATACAAATGGCTAGAATTGGTTGTCCTCATCTGTGCTTGTTTTATAAATAAAGTTTAAAGTAACATTGTGCCTTTCTCCGTCCACACTAAACATAAATCATCATCATGAGCTATGTTTACTGTTGTTAATACAGACTATTGCGTTACTATTTCTTTCTGGTAAAATCATAAATTCATAAAAGTTGCTGTTATTCTTGAAGAGATTCTGATTAATTTATTTTTTATACATTAACTACTTGAATATCTCGTCAAAAACACTGTAGTATGTTGGTACTTTTCGTAACAACCAATTATGCATGTATGTTTTTCTACGAATTTGAAATAGTGTTACAATAGACATTGATTTTTTTACGTAATATATTACGATTTTGTTTAACTTAAAAAAATGAATATTTGCCTCTATTGATTATTTTTTTGTTTTTCAATCATTGGCAGCTAAAAATAATTGGCATTTGAGAGAACATCAAGTTTTTCCATCTTTTTGCACAATAGCTGATTTACGTAGGACGTCTTTTATTCCAAGAGAAAACTGTAGAAATGTAACATTAATGGCAGATCGTGTTACTTCGTCTTCAACATGATCGCTTAAGTGGTGCATTTAACCTTTTCCAATTTGTATTCATTCGTATTGACAGTGATTGCAATCTCGGTTTTGTCTCAATCACAAAACTATCGATCTTGTCTATGAGACTTTGTCGATATACAGAGTGATGGGAACTAACCAGTGCATGAAATAGGATTTAAACGAGCAATTCTAAATATATATATATTTGTGATAAATCATAATTTATATTAATCAATGGAAAATGTGACCCGAACAAAAATGTCAAACAAACAGTGAATAAGCGTGTTTATTTCAATTTGAATACCAATAATCAACATTTAGATTTCATTTGTTGGAAATTGTGTACAAATATGCAGGAAGAATCACTTTTTGAGCATTAATATTACTTCAAGGCTTACATGAAGAATAAACATGATTTTCTAGACACTGTCAGAAATATGATAAAACATTCATCACATTTAAAAGTATTATACTTAAAACTTATCTAAATTTTATTTTCAGGCTGAAGAAAACAAGTGCCCTATATAAGAAACTTTGAGGCATAGAACAAACCGTATTTGACAGTAATGTACGATATATAGTGTAGATAATGTTGTAGTAAATGTAGTGCAGTATATTTGTAGCTCTCGTTCAGATCAGCAAATGTTTATACTGTATCAACCAGGCTTATGTATGGATTTAAACATTATATTGGATTTATTAAAAACATGCGGATGAAATTTATAGCCAGTTTAAATGGCTCAAAGGTAATTTTTAATATCAAATATTTATTTTATTGATGGCACGTGTTCCCTTATTGATAATTATTTTTTTTTTTATCATGAACGTTTTTTATAATATTAATCATATTCAAAAAAACATTGCTCGTTTTAAAGATTAAGTATATATATTAGTATGATATATCAAAATATGGTTGTAGATATTCTATAATAATTGCTAGATTTATGCAAAGTAATAATATAAAGACTTTATTATTACTTTGCATAAATATAGCAATTATTATAGATATACCAGCTTATACAACATTTTCAGATAAAACTTAATAATTTAATAACTTGTATATCAGGTGATAACACTAAAGTGCTAATACACAGGGCGGTGTGATATATTTTCATAAGATATTAGTTTTCTAAATGTAAAGATACGTCGTAAGATAAGATAAGATAAGATAAGATAAGATAAGATAAGTTTTATTTCAAGTCGGCAAGTTTTCAACATTACAACATAAGCTCTAGGAGCTTTTATAACCGTCGTATAGGCACATGTACCCAAGGTGAAAATGCACACTCAATATTTTACAATGTACAAATTATTGTTAATTTCCGCGTCTCGTTTTACTTTAACTGAATAGAATAAATCTATGTTATATGTTTAACCGTTTTAATCCTTACCATTATCAATATCATTATTGTAGCCGTGGATATATAAACATATATCTCACTCTCTTTTATATTTTCACATGAATGTGCCAGACAACATATAACTGGACAACACGTTTTATGAGTATTAATATTGAAGCCGAAGTCAAATTTCTAGGGAACATGTACGCCCTACAAACGCTAAGTGAACGGTTCTACTGAAATACCCAAATTGTACCTAGATCTATATAATATTGAATGAAGAAGCATCTTCGCCAGTAAAACTTTGTGTGTTGTCATAAAAAATGATATTGGAGATTGTTTATCTTGACCTCAATTTTGTAAACAGTTAAATGCATTAAAGTTGTTCTAGCAGGCGTTAATTAATATTCTTTACATAAATCGGCATTTCATATGTATATTGTTACATAAAGCAAAACAAAGCGTAAGACATGAATGTAGTAGAAATTCAATGTAAATTTAAGTTAGTCAATAACATAATATGTAATTGTTTAACTCGGGTTTCAAAATTGTAACAATGAGGCATTTTACATTCACGAAACAAATTCGATATGTTAAATTTTTAAAGCAATCATTTTCCTATATTCATATTGATCTATTTAGTGTGATTCTCACGGCTTGCATTTATACTTGATCGTCATATACAAAAATAAACTACTAAAAATTTGCATTTTATTATGAAAGGGTGGTGATTTCACATCATAATATTTGAATAGGTAATGGATGTTTACCAATACATGCACAAAATGATTGAACATATCAGTATAATCAGTTAACATCAGCGTTGCCCGGCGTTAGAAACGTCACTTAAAATATCCAGATGATTAAATCGATTTGTTAAAGAAAGATACTAAAAGCATTGTCTAGTTTTATTGCAAGTTATATTTTCAAACACTACGGTTTTATGTTTTGATCCTTATTAAATATATATGAATAAATAATCTATCAATTCAAATGTGCAAACGTTTAGCAAGGGTGGCCATGTGTGTTTTGCTAGTAAAAGAATACAGACAGATGAACGGACATACACGTTACATCACGTAGAGACTTATATTATTTAACGACATTGAACAATAAAATGTTTGAATAAACCAGCTAACTTTTATCACAAGAAACCCATTATTGATTTGAAATAAAACTAAATGTAGATTCTCCTTCTTCAATCATAATTATTTACTCTAGTTTGTGTGAATACTTTGGCTATTCGGATGATAAATGGTACTTTGTTATATCACCATGACAGGTGCTCTAAATACCAATTTAATGTCAAAGGAACACTATCATTGACATGAATTCTTTTAACTTTGTACATCAGGATAATTATAGGTCGAGAATACAAATATTGTGTATTGTCAATCACTTTTATTTCGTCCATTACGCTGAACACTTTATCGATACCAATAACAAAGTCAAATATGTCACCTATTATACTCCACCTTACATGTTTAGAATCAATATAATTGAACATTTGTCCATTAATTGCACATGTCGTATAGTAATCAGGATTTGTTTGGATTAATATGAAAGTGGGATTATTAGTACCTACTATAGTGAAAATATATAGAACACGGGCTTAAACCAAAATATTCAACTGTTTCCCCCCTGATAGAAACATTGTGTTGAATATTGAAACGAATGCAATATAGCAATGAAATAACTTTCCATCAGATCAAACCGACTAGTCCGCACGTGTTCGTTTCTATATGGCACGTCTTGTAAAGTTAAACTTAAACATACTTTTTTCAACTTTTATTGATATGTTCAAATTTTCTAAAAGTCTAAGTCGTCTTTATTGAATTAGATACCAGCCGTTACATGAAATTAACATTTTAATTATGTAGATTAGGCTGCTGAGTTTTTGTAATGTAAACAGTTTAAATCAAAATATGGATATTAACCGTTTATATTTCGAATGAAAACATTGAGAGACCATTTTTAAATATTCAGACAAAACAAATGTATTAATGGAACAGCTCCCGTTACATTTTACAATAGTATAGTTTCTTCAGATTAAAGAGCTGTGTTAGTATGGTCAGTGTTTTAGTTAATGTTTTGTGGATTCAAGTACTATGGAAGTCACAATCATGATTTTGTTTCATATAACACTAGAAGTGTAAGATCCGAAAACAGCTAAAAGTGAAAGAGCAAAAGCTATTAAAATATATGTGGCATACAGAAGAGAATACATTATATACGAAATATGTTTTACATTTTTCTTTTTATGTATTTGCCAACTTATTACAAATACATTATCTCAATTATTGGACTTTGAATCATTAGAACAAAGTACAGCTGTATAGTCGGTTTTAATGACAAGTGTCCAGTTAACGTATCAAGAATATGAACTCGTCCAATAGGTTTGTCATAATATTTAATTATTACTCTGATTCCAAAATACCTTATCAAAATAACGAGCACTTGTTAGATTCAACAAGTATTGTGAAATCTACAAGTAATATTAAGCTGTATAACGTGATCAAGTGTTTCAGAATACGGGCAAAGCAATGCGTTGCCATTGTCCTGTTTTTCAAGAAAAAAAATATTACAGTTTATTCAAAGAAGTTAATTAACGTGCCAAACAATATAGCACTTAATGTCTGTTACATCAGTCGGTACTCTGTAATTTAACGAGTTTATTTCTGAAGCACCATATTCATTGGCATTGAAAAAAACATGTCGCCGACCTGAAAGCAATAATGAAAGTACAAAAACACAAGGGAAGAAATTGACAAGCCATAAAGAAAACAAATCAATCAATCGTTTTATTGTGTTTTAATAATAGTGTAAAATGTAAAAGTGGACATAAATTATCTGACGGCTTAAACATTATAGTGATTTTTTAATTAAAGCAAGAGAAAAGATCTATATATGGTTTATAACACTTATACGATGTAACTTCAAAACATCAAAATTACATAAAAATGATCTGTACGTTGCGAATTGATTAAGGTTATGAGCGTAGTACATGTATTAAACGATATTTTGTTATGTTAAGAAGTATATAAATAGAAGCAATAAGAAGACAAGTTCCCCTTAAACCACTTTTTACTTCAATATAAACAGTTTAATCATTAAAAACATATATTACAATATATTTATGTTATTTTTCAGTACATATATAACGGTTCTTATGTCCGTATTGCTGGGGATATGTGTGCTGTTGACTATTGCTGTGTTCTGTCATAGATGCTGGAAGAAATGGATACCAACTTTAAGATACAAGATAAGACATAAAATCAGCCCACCACCACCTTTAAATATGCCAGGAAACACAGTAAAATGATGATGTTTGAAACTATAGATATATTTACAGTGAGGAAACTTTTATCACAAGATGAAGCAGCCAGAACAATAGATATATTTACAGTGAGGAAACTTTTATCACAAGATGAAGCAGCCAGAACAATAGATATATTTACAGTGAGGAAACTTTTATCACAAGATGAAGCAGCCAGAACAATAGATATATTTACAGTGAGGAAACTTTTATCAAATGATGAAGCAGCAAGAAGCTCTTGACGCCATGATATATATCACTTTACAGGGAACATGTTTTGTGCTAGATATTGATTTCATATTGAAGGAAAGGGATTTATATGAATCAAAGATTGTTCAGAATTCCGAGATTTAAGAGCCTGGCGATTTTGGGCTTATGTTGTACTTATATTGTTTTGTGTCGGTTCTAATCTTAAAGGGAAGACGTATTTGTTATGGATGCTAAAAGACACGTTTTATATGTGAATAACTGTGATCCATTTTTGATATATTGATATGTTTATGTATATATAACTTGGTGCTTTTACATTATGGAGTATTATTTGTCCGTCCACTTCATTTACTAGTTAAGATAAATTTTAGCGAGACGCTGCATTACTAAAATAAATGAGATTCAATTTTGTTTAAACATTTGAACTTCCCCTTTAATCTCATATTTTATAAATTATTGTATGTCTATTCCAAAATATCATTCAAGTAACATACGTTTGCTTCTCTGTTTTACAGGCGAGGCAGGACTTATTCTGGCTATGCAAACAAAGAAACAAACTCAGTCATTATTCGTCATATTGACGTTGTATTGTTGTACACATATCTAGAATAAAACATATATTACCACACATCAGTATGTGCTGAACTTGCTCGTGTAGACATATAAATGTATAAGTATTACGCGTATAGGCCTAATTAAAGTTCATTCAAAATATCATGCCGCAATATTTAGTTAGTTTTACAATTAACTTATTCTGGTCATTCCTAGCAAACATATTGTGTCAGACATTGACGTTTGCTTTACTAAAATAAATCATTATTATATCAATATCTTATCTTATATATCTAATTGTCTTATAAATGTATGCATGTACTCATTGTAAAGACTATTGCCAGTCCGGATTGCGGATTCCTGGCACAGCATAACATTTTACTTAGTAAGCAAAAATGAACACTGAGGGCAATCAACTGGTATCGAAAATATTTGACCTACTTTTACTGTACGGCAAAAAAGAAAAGAAATCTACTGAAAAACATGATAACTGGTATAAGATATTACTATATATAAATTGAGAGTTAACAATGAATCATAATTTGTTTAGAATATTGACAAACATTGGGAGCGTTAATTTGAAATTATAAATAAGGTATCAAAAAGTAAAAAAAAAACAGGGTTAACTCAGTTATTACTTTTTTCAGAGCTTGGTGGTGTTTTAGAATTTTTAAAATTTATCATTTCAATATAATAAAAAACTTCTCACAAAAACATTCATGCGGATATTATATGTTTCGTTAAGAAAATAGGTTTGTGTTCCTAAAACATTTACTACTAATATGGAACACTTCATGTATTGTCTCCATGCAATATCATTATTTTATAATATACATTGTTATATAAATGAATTCTTATTTAAGTAAGATAGTGGTCATTTTTTGTTCATATGTTGATTATTTAAATTATACATTGATTTAGATTTGGAAAACAAATCTATACTGTTAGTAATAAAGTGTTAAGTTGAGTTTATGTCTTTGTTTTGTTTTTGAGTCACCTACTGCTTTTTTTAAATATCATGTACATGTGCTTATTTCTGGTAAAATATGAACAAAAATCTGTAATGTTTGTTCATCTTTTTTATATAAAATCATTATAGCTGCTTTCAAGAACGTTTATAGTTATATGGATTTGATTCATTACAAACATAAGCAGCATGCACCACCATGATCACCAAGGTATCACGTGAACATCATATGGAGACCTACAAGCTAGATAACGTTTTACACGGTGTCACTTTTCATAAAAACAGTTAGCTGAAACCATATAGGTGTTCGGCGCGTTGATTGGTCAACCCTTCACCCACTGTACAGTCCCTCCCCCAACCTCTCAAAACCATGTAAACTGCAGATTTTTTCATTTGAAACATGTTTTAACATTTGGTATATGCTTTTAATTCAATTTCCTTCATTTCTCACAAAAAAATTAAAAAATGATACATATATATTTAGTAGTAAATACTTTTTTTTACTAAATATATATGTATCATTTTTTGTGTGGGAAATGAAGGAAATTGATTTAAAAGCATAAACATGTTTCAAATGAATAATACTGCAGTTTACATGGTTTTGAGAGGCAGGAGGGTTGTAGAGTGGGTGAGGGCGGAGCCCGGGGGTAGTGACCAATCAACGCGCCGAACACCTATGGTTGAAACTGGCATACAACGATAAAACAGTCATCTTTTTTCTTCAGATTGACTAGAAATCAGAATTATTTATATAAAAAAATATATACATACATCATAAATATAAATCCTCTTTAACAAGTATATATATAATGTATCAGTATAAAATATCAAATCTCGGTTTGGTATAAATATCCTTTAATCACATATCTGGGTGGATTAATGAAACAATTACAATCAAAGCACAGAAGGCGCTGAATTTGTTTGGGTCTCAGAATGTCAGAAAGGTGAAGGTTGTGAGATTATAAACCAATTTGTTTTTGTATAGTGCCACCAATGCTTTCCAGTGTTTTAACTGTAGTAAATTGGCTATAAGACTAATTGCAACACTGATATTCAATTCAATGTTTATTTGACTTAAACAATTTTAAAAAAAGAGTTGCATTAACTGGGATTTGAACTCCAGACCTCTCGACTCATAAGCGAGCATGCAAACCCCTCGGCCACGGTGAAGTTAAAAGGGCCTGAAGAAAACCTTATTATTCTAAATTAGGGTTTGTAACTTATTATTTCGACGCTAAACCTGTTGTTTAACACAAATAATCATGTAAATAATCATGGGGCTTACAATAAGCATGCATAACTATAAAGAATAAAACAATATTAGAAATCTTCGACCATTCGGGAACTATTTTGCTTGACAATTAATGCGCCTGTCATTTGACAATCCTTACGCAGTGATCTCCCCTGAATTTTACGGCGTTAGTGTACATATAAAGGGAAGTAACCGCTTCACAAAAGCGGACTATTTTCGGCATTTGCAATTAACAGCATCAGAGTCTGAAATTTCGCTATCATTATTTGTTTGGTCTGACGACCCAAACAAATAAAAATAAAATGTTTTCTTTTATTTTATTTGCAATACTTTAAACATATTCAATTACTACTAGAACATATATAATATTCGGTGTACATGTGTATCTTTCAATGCATGCACACTTTCTCAACTGCTCAGATGATACGAAATCGTTACATGCTCTGAGTTCTGTCATTTTGGACTCAAGTCGGATGTCTTTTTAGCTGGTTGAACATAGGTTATAGACATTGCGAATATATGTATTGTTTTTAGAGAAATGCGCATACTGTTGAAAATGATTATAATAGATTGTCCGCTATACAATGAACTAAGCTTACTTACTTTAAAGGCTAATTAAATTAATAGTTAATGTATTCTTAACCTTTTACCCCATGTGCATATTGTGAAAAATGGCCGTTTTCATTGAAAAGTCTCCTGTTACAAGTTCCAACTGCTATAAAACTATGAAAAATGCTTCAATACTGATGAAACTTGGCTATGTTGCCTGAACCATAACCTCTGTAACAACATGCTCAATCTTAAATTTCCTGTTACCATGGTAACGGGGGACGTCTCAAATTGTCAAAAATCACTATTTTGCATTTTTTTCCCACAAGACTGATTTCAAAGTGCTGCAACTTCTCAATGCAATGAGATAGAGTAAAAGGCTTTTCAGCGTTTGTTACACGTCACCTTAAGATCGACCTGAGGCCATTTTTAGCCTGTTATATGTCCAAAATTTTCTTGGCGATGAGGGGGACTACCGCCTCCTTCAAACCCCCCAAATAGAAGGGGACACATCCCCCTTCTGGCAACCCCATGATGTATCATTTTGATTGGGGCCGCGTCTAAAAAGTGGTTACTTTTTCAAACGAAAAATACAGTGTTTGGAGCCTAATTAGGGCATTTTTCACTGTTTGAGGCCTTAAAAGGGGGAGGGGGCAAAAGGCCGCCAAAACACGCTTATATCAGGGAAAATGTTAACAAAAAATGATGAAAAACCTTGAATTACCCAATTTCTAGATTTTCCATGTTAACACGTGGCCTTACACATAATTTTGGTGAAAAATTGTTGTTTTTGGCGTTTTTTTTATTTTTTTTAGTTAACAAAAAATGATAAAAAAAACCCCTTGAATTACCCAATTTCTAGATTTCCCATGTTAACACGAGGCTTTACACCTAATTTTGGTGAAAAAATGTTGTTTTGAGGCATTTTTTATTTTTTTTAATTAATTACTTGTTCAAATCTATATACGTAGATTACTACAAAGTTATGATCGTTACGAACGGTATACATGTACCATAGATTGGCAATGTTTTTCTTGTATTACAATATATTGTGTTAGTTTTTATTTGTTTGGGTCGTCAGACCAAACAAATAATGGTAGCGAAATTTCAGAGTCTAATGTTCTTAATTGCAAATGCCGAAAGTAGTCCACTTTTTTGAAGCGGTTACTTCCCTTTTGTATGTACACTAAAGCCGAAAAATTCAGGGGAGATCACTGCGTAAAGATGGTCAAAGACAGGCGCATCAATTTTCAAGCAAAGTAATTCCCGAATGGTCGAAGATTTCTAATATTGTTTTCTGGTATTTTCTGATCGAAAATAACTAAATACAAAGCGGACATTCAATCTCTGACACAGAAGTTTATGACAAACCTAACAACAAGTAGTTCTCAAAACAGCTTAAAACTAGCGATTTAAAAGAAAGAAATATTTTATTTTGTTACAAGTATCCAACAAATAACAACGCATTTAAAGTTAAACAATAGCGTTGGCTTATAGAATTGTCAATAAATGCACAATCACAAATTACGCGGATGAATATGATTTTATCAATGAAAATACTATTTTTAGCCAATGTAGATTACGAATACTACACAAACCGAGTAGTGGAATATATAGATTCTACATGTCGGACTGTTTGGGCGAGAGGATTTTCGCTAAAATATTTACTTTCAATTTTAAACAACAGGTTTACCCTGAACAAAATACCTCGAAATTAATAAGGATTACAAACCTGAATGCAATGGAAGTTCTAAATTTAGAATGACTTGATATTATTCAGACATTCTGTGTATAACTTCTTCGTGGTACAGTGGTAACGCGTTCGCTTAGTGAGTGAGAGGTCTCGAGTTCGAATCCCAGTCGAGGAAATTTTTTTTTTGTTAAATTCTTTTTTTAATTGTTTTTGTTAAGGAAGTAGCCATGATTTACAAGGATAAAGTGTGGCTGTCGTAAAAAAAGTACATAAATGATTTTTTGATGCAACTCTAGTTATGCAGAATTCCGTATGTGCCTTACAAAATGAATTTAATACATAAAAATAAACTTATACAGGAAAATGCATACAGATATACAGTACGATTTAGATTGCAAAGATCAGAAAATACCAAAGAACTTGAAGCCCTTTGATTCTTTATAAATATACATGCTTATAGTAAGCTTCAGGATTATTTACATCTGTGTTAAACAACAGTTAAAAGTCGTTACAAGCCCTAATTTAGAATAATATGGTTTTCTTCAGGCCGTTCACATATAAATTTAACCGTGGCTGAAGGGTTTTCGGGCTCGCTTAGGAAGCGAAGAGGTCTGGAGTTCAAAATCCCAGTAAAGGTAACTCATTTTTTTTAAAATTGTTAAAGTCAAATAAACATTGGATTGAATATCAGTGTTGCAATTAGTCTTATAGCCAATTTACTACAATTAAAACGCTGGAAAGCATTGGTGGCACTAAACATATAATCTCACAACCTGCACCTTTCTTACATTCTGAGACCCAAACAAATTCAGCGCCTTCTGTGCTTTGATTTATGATGAAGGCATTAATCTACAATTAAACTTGACTTGTCGTTTTTATAGATGTTTGAGGTGTAACAGGTCGGGGTTTGTATTAAAGATATTTATTAAATATGTTGCTTGTTTTCGAGCAGGTTGTTATCAACTAGAGAGGCAACATGCCATTTTCTAGGAGAGGACGGATTTGTATTTGTCTTCCCAGATGGTGGTTTGCTGGCTTGGAGGGGGGAGGGGGGAGGAGGAGGTAGCTATGGAGAAAGGTGACATGTACTGGAAGAACAATGACAAGTTTCAAGCAGATGTTCGGTAGTAAAAAATGAAAACAAAACAAACAACATACCGTCATACAATCAATCCTCCTTGGATATAATATATACTATATCCATGTACATGTATATATAGGATGATTCTACATAAATCTATTTAACCCAGTCACAATAAGATAACTGTTATCACTATTTTCAAAAAGTATAGATAAAGATACTAGATATTATGACTTTTACTTGGACAATAACGTTGGCAGTTCGTGGTTTAGGCCATCCTTAAAAAATGTTTGTTTGCAGTAACCCGACCCAGAATTTTCAAAGAGGGTAGGTAGGTCGATTTTTTTTTTTTGATTTTTTTTTATTTTTTTTTTTATTATTGAACTGTACTCCCAAATAAACATGGAATTTCAAAATGCTGGACAATATATGCTTTGATAATCTGGTAACAATTAATAAATTGATAACTGAATTCTAATTTAATAAGAACTACATTTTATTTCTTCTATTAACCTTTAAAAGAACGAAAACAAAGCACAAGGCATAATTTTCTGATTCAAAAAAAAAATTTTTTTATTTAGACCATGAAAAAAAATTTTGAGTAGGGGCAAATTTTGTGAGTCGGTCGCGTTACTGCAAACAAACATTTTTTAAATAATTTAATAATGTGCCTATAATCTTAAAGATCTTATTATCAAAGGGGAGGGGTTAAGTATGCTTAGCTTATCTCTGAATATTAACATTTATATTTACATTGTTGATACATGACAATATAGTATATTTTTATGTAAATTTCCCTGAAAAAACCGATACGTCAACAGGACCATCTACCAAATACAATGTCAAACTTATATAGTGTCTTCAGACCTACCATAATGTCACAACGTTCTAATCTACATACACCGGCTAGTAACAAATCACAACATCCGGTCAAAAGTTTTTAGTATTTTTTTCATTTTTGAAAAGGAAAAAAAAACACTTATAAGCATAATAAACTAAACATTTTATGTTTAAAGGAACGGCTTTAAGAAGATAGGAAGACATTTAGAAAACAATTGTCAGGTGGCAAGTCAGGTATGTAGTGTTATGAATAATTTAGTTTACCCCACCTGCAGATGTATATTTAGCACCATGACCCCACCTGTTCACGATTCCATAATTGTGTGAATCGTGATTCTATGCAGGCTCTTTCAAATTCTATTTGTAAGACCCTGTTCTATGTTATAAATTATTTGTTAATTTAAATAAATCAAAATCTCATGCAAGGTTTATAGTCTGATGCGAATATTAAACTTTAAAGTAAGGAACAATTCATGTGGAAATATTTGAAACAAGAAAACAGAGATGTTATGGGTTTACTGTAGTCCTATAAATATGATATTGCTTTGAGGTATTTTTGCTTCTGGGCAAAGCAATGTCATATCGAAATTGCTCAAAAACGCAAGAAAATGTGGCAGAACAAAAAACCACATACATTTCATTTGTGTAAGTCGGCGTTTAAAGACATTAATTTTAACCCAATTATAGACAAAATTGAAAAATAAATAACTTTCAACAAAACAATTAAACTGACATATCCAACAAATCATGATAATAAATCCTCTTATGTATACAGCTGATAACCAAGTGGCTGCCATACAGAGCGCAAAATCTGATTGGCTTATTCAAATGCACGCGTTTAAATGAGTCAGTCTCAGAAGTTTCAAACAAAATATTTTTGAATGAAATATTTGCCCATGCACCGCCAGCCTGTACAAATATATTTTCCTGTTCAAAAATTTGGAAACAATCTGTAAAGCGCTTAAATAAACTATAACAAAACCGTAACATCTGATATATTGGACTAGTTAAGGGTTGAACCACGGATTTAAATTACAGGGATCGGACACTCCTAGTAAACCTATATAAAACGTTAAAATATCTTGTCGCGCGTGTACCTGTACACTCGATATCGGGAAACCGATCAATAATTTTTAGTTTATCGGAGTTAAGCGTAAAATACCTGCGCTAAACTGATACCTTCTCTACAAAAAGTCTTGTTGTCGTTCCATTTATTATCCGATTTTGAAAATTAAAAGACACATTTTAAGAACATTGATTCTATATTGCAAATTTCAATTTTTATTGAAAAAAATATATATTCTCTGTCCATACCGACGATTAAGAAATTGAAAACGACGAAACCCCGGAGTAATTTACCGTTAACTTTTCGGGGTGCGCAATTGATACTTACAGTACAAAAAGTCTTGCTGCTTTACCATTTATTATCCGATTTTGAAAATTAAAAGACACATTTTCAGAAAATCGGCCCCTTATTGCAAATATCTATTTCTATTGAAAAAAATATATATGTTCTGTCCATACCGACGATTTTAGAAATTGAAAACGACGAAAACCCGGAGTAATTTACCGTTAACTTTTCGGGGTGCGAAATTGATACTTACAGTACAAAAAGTCTTGCTGCTTTAACATTTATTATCCGATTTTGAAAATTAAAAGGAACATTTTGAGAAAATTGGTCCCTAATTGCAATCATCTATTTTTATCTTAAAAAATATATATGTTCTGTCCATACCGACGATTAAGAAATTAAATACGACGAAAACTCGGAGTAGTTAACCGTTAACTTTTCGGGTTGCGAAATTGATACCTACAGTACAAAAAGTATTGTTGGCGTATCATTTATTATCCAATTTTGGAAATTTGTAGATTATTTTTGAGAAAATTTATTTTTTATTACAAATATAGGTGTCAATTAGATAATAATATATACATATATAATTAGCCCGTCTCCCTTCATACCGACGATTAAGACAAAGCCGTGTACAAACGGTTAAAATCTTCTTTTTTCAAATACAACATTAAACTTGATTTACGGATATTTAAAAAAATACCATTTCAGGTTATACCACGGCTTCTATTATTTAAATGAGCGAAGTTGAAGTTGCTTTTATTAAGGATGTACGAGTAATGAGTTGGATTGTACTTTCCTGATGCAGTTATTTTCGTAATATCGTAGAACAATTTCAACTATACATGTATTGTTTTTTTTGGTAAGCACGGGCGTTTACTTGACTTTTTTTTCAATCATATTTTAAATACAAAAAACAGGCCCTATTATTTCTTTTGGAAGTCATTATAACATTTTTGGGATAATTGATATTGATACAGGCATTTCACAGTTTGAGTCGGTATTGAAGCGGTCGTTTTTTATCTGGTAAGTGTAAATTATTCATAAACACCTCATTAAAATTAACGTGCCTAAAACTTTTTAATTAAAGAATAAAATTTCTTTGAAGTTTTTTGAAGAAGGAACGTTAAAAAATTCAGGTAGTAAGTGTTACTAACAGTACTTAAGTATCAATGCTATTACCAGCACAATTTGTTGTTCTATATTTTTACTATTGCATGGTACTTGTCTATGTTAAGATGGCTTATTCAAATGAGGAATTTTATCAAATTTTTGACCTAGTCCTAAATTTGCTTTTGGGGGATTTTACAGAAAGTGAGTACAATAATAGTGACAGTGATTTTGAATCATTACAATATGAAACAGTAGATTTTTTTTTAAAACATTTATTTACATACTTGAACACATGTTTAATTTTCTTTCAATCATATATGTAATTATTCATACAAATGTATGAATTTCAAGTCATTTGAAGATTTCATGTATGTGAAATTGTCATTTGTTATATGCCTTTTACAGTTTCTCACGGAATTCACTAAATATCCTTAATGATTCATTTTCCACAAACTCATCAAGATCAGTATCTGGACAATATCTGTAAGGCTTGTCAGAATAACAAAAAACTCGTCAGCATGACATCCATCACTGTCAAAGCACTCAAACTCTTTTCTAGAGGTGTTTCATAACTTTGTGGTAGTACCCCATTAACGAAGAATGTGTCACCAAGCGATTTTGATAAGAGGTCTTCCGCCAGAACATCTGCTGACAAATGTTGCTTATGTTCAGTTTGCTTCCGTGGTTTCTCTCGCTTCATTCTTCTACCAATTTGTCCTTTTTTCTTGTCATGATTGTATGTTGATATATCACCAAATGACACCAGGATCAATAATCTGAAAATATATATAAATACCCATAAAATTGAACACATACAAATCAAATATTGAGAAACATTGATGAAGTAAAATTAGTTTTTTCACTTTTTTTAAAATTGTTTTCTCTGCAGTGAAACATATTTTCACTTGTGTCTTGCAGGATTATATTCTTCTAAATTCAGCCGATATTTATTTGCTTTGCTGCAGCCCATTTATTTCAAGATTTTGAATCCAGCTTCTGAGTCAGACAATAACACAAATGAGTTTGTTTCACAACCCTGTTGACAACTAATTTTGCTGTCCCTGATTGTGTTTCAGATTTATATGCAAAATACATGTACAGCAACAAAACATCACTCATGCAATCTGTAATATTTATATCCAGCTCATATTAATTTAATGCTGGTCATATACTTATCATTAAAATGAAAAATTCAAGACTTCACTCCTATTTCTTTAAGTAAATTTTGTCCAGGATTTCTACATGTATTTTGAGTGTTATTGAATCCTCCATGACCTTCAGGAAAAGGGTAAAACTTAAGTTATATGAACAGAATATTAACAATTAACTTAGATGTAATAAACCAAAAATAGACAAATTTCAAACTAAAATTACCAAGGAAGTTTGTAAGTAATTCCCTAATTTTTACTTCTGTTGCACTAATCACACAATGGTGATAATAATAAGAACGAATTTTTGAAACAACAACAGTTTTCCCTTCTATGAAATGGGAAGCAAATTTCGAAGATTTTTTTTTTATTTATGCGGCCATCTTTGAACGAGGGGTGATTTAAAATCTAATGTTGCGGTATTCTACAGCCATATTCTAAGAAAGCCATTTATCTGACTGCACAAATCAATACTATGTTAGTATAAACATTACAATTTAAACATAAAATAAATTCCTGTTTCGTCATATTTGGGCAGCAAAATCAGCTTATTTTCGTTCGTGTTCACCGCCATCTTGAATAATTTTACCGTTACGATAAGCAAAATTACAATACCAAGTTTCACGGCAGTTTGATTGTTTTAGGAGCTAAATAAAATAAATACTTAATGTAAACATATTCAATAATACTTACTTGACAAATAGTGTGTACCAAAGTTGTATAAACAACGCAATCAACAGCAAAAACGAGTTTTATTATCAAATGTTTACACATGACATCGGTCTACGCCATTATTTCATCTTCTTCCGGTGAGAAGATCTCGCGCATGCGCGCGGCCCGATTTAAAGCCCCATCGGAAGTGTCCGATCCTTGTCAATTAAAGTCCGTGGTTGAACTTAGTGTTCAACTTACTTCAACTTAGCCAGTGGCCCAGTTGGACTGTCCAATTTATCAAACGCTATTGGCTATTTATAGTTTATGTTGGTCAAGCCTGACCCAGAAGCAAAAGTATCTCAAAGCTATGTCATATTTATAGGACTAGACTTAGTTAGAAACAAACCATGAAAAGGTCTTCAAACTAGTCAAAATATATTGACTTGCCAATGGTAGATTTTCTTCTGGGTCAGAATCTTGCTTCTACTTGAGGGGAGATATTGCCCAATCACAAATCAGCACAATATCTTAATGCAAAGTACAATAATAATAATTAATAGTTGGAATAGGGTTCAAACAAGAACTGTCATTGAACACAGTGTAAGTCAACCCAGCCCCACCCAGGTCAACCCTGCCCCAAACAGGGCTTCCATTAGAAGTTTGGGAGTCATTAACTCCTTGATTTTAGTTTTGGCTTCCAAAATACAATGCTTTTCCTTCTTTATTTATATAATGGGACTTCCAATGTCAGACATAATTTGAGTCTATGACTTTCAAATGTTGGAACTTAATGGAAGCCCTGCCCCATAAATGTCAATCCAGCCATGAGTCAATCTGTGTTTGGTCAACCAGGCTCCACTTTAATACAACTATCTCATCTTTGTCCCCTATTTTCCTATTTCTCAATAACTTACCTATTAAAATTGATCTTTGTCATTTACATGCTTGATTACTAAAATTACTCACTGTTTTAAAACTTTTGCCTAATTTAGACTGTGGTATTGTATATTAAGTGTCTTTGGCAATGTATATTTATATATATGCAATAAAATATTAATAAACACGATTAAAATTTGTGGTAGTAAGAGCTAGAACTATGTCTATTTTCTTCTACATACTTCTCAAGATCAACATCTTATATTGTCATATAACACTTCTACAAAGCCACCTTCAGCCATATTAACAAAATCAAGCCTTAACTAACTCTAACACTTTTCTGATAGTTACAATATGTATGAGTCATAAAAAAACAGTGGAATAAATAGCTACAGTTAGGGTTATTTTGACATTCTTGGTACAAAGAACCTCTCGGTTTAAAGTACCTTGAGTATCTTATTTATTTAGCTGCATTTTTTTTCTTTACAATGTGTATAATAATCAAGGTAGGTTGAAAATGAATGAGAAAAGGCACCTACTGCAACAAAATAATGATAAAACTGATAAGAAAGGTATAAAAAATGTTAGCAATGCATGTTTCAGCGAACATGGTTACTATACAATCAGGATGTCGGTTTGTTCAGTCTTGTAAACAATTTTATTAAAGTTGGAAAACAATGCCTCAGATATGTTAGAAAATCTTGTGTTTTCGATGTTATTTAACACCTTTTATAATATGTGAATAATGGAAGAAAGAAAAAATACTTTATCTTTTATTATTTTATTGTGTATTAAAATTAAAGAAAGTGCTATTTCTGTACAAAATTTATACAAAAATAAATATAAAGTTGTAATTTTGTCTATTTTCAGAATGTAGATTCAAGTTGCTGGAAAATTTAGTTAGATTAGTAGTTGTCTCAAAATGCGTTGTGTTCCTCGTAAAGGACGTCAACAGTGGGTGTTCTTTCTATTGTTAGTATGTCTACTTGGTGTTTACCTCACATATAAACAACTACAGGATAGTGAACCTGGTCATACAGATATACGACCTGATGGTAAACATGTAGAACATTTACAACAACAGTTGAAGAAAAGAGTAAACGGTAATCTAGATGCACCACTAAAACATGCTGTAAATAGTGCTCACATTCAAAGTTTAGATAAAAAACCTGATGTTAATGTTGTACGACAAGGTTTTCCTGCTGGCAGGGCGTTGGAAAATGAGGATGATTATGTAACAGAGGATGAAAAATTAGCCAGACTTAAACTGTTGCTTATTACCCTGTCTCCGTCAAACTGGAAAACAACAATTGACCCAGATGAGATGATATTATTAACAAAATCTGAGTTGTTAGATTTAGGTATTGAGAGTAAGTTATCTTGTAGAGAGATTGACAATATGAAATCTAGTTATAGTCGACATCAAGGTTTCTATGGTAAGAAAATAATAGACTATGTACAGAGAAGTTACTCCTCAGATTATGTTCTGAAAAGTGTAGGAAGAGATCAACAGTTGAAGATAGAATGTATGAAAATGGATTATAGGGAAGACAGGTGTCATCTGATGGGAAATTATAAACTAGTTAAAGAGCTAGTTATGTTTGCCGTACTAAATCAGCCGTCTATTATAAAACTGGAAGGTTTTTGTCTGCGGGGAGAAACTATTGATCCTCGTGTTAGAATGAAGGGAGCAATTATTGTTACAGAAGCAGGCAAGAAAATGCAGCAAGACTTGTATCAATTATTACCATGGTCATCTAAAATTGAGGTTTGTTAAATATATTCAAATATTCTTGTCAAAGACGGTTTATAGCTTGATCTTTTTCAATATTTTTTCAGAGAATTATTTATGTTCCTACCATTAGAAATTATTGACTTTTGTCATTGTCATAAATTTAAATTTTGTTTTCTTATTTCTCACCTTTCATTGTGCTGAGAAAACAATTTTACTTTAATTTATTATCTATTTTCAAATGACAAATAGGGTCTTTACTTTGGTTTATTTGCTTTTATCAAATTGATACACTTTTTCTATAATTTCAGATTGCTATCCAGCTGATGAAGTTGTTGTTGTACTTAGAAAATAGTCCTATAGGATCCCTGGGCTTTGAGAAACTACAGCTAAATGACTTTGTTATGTTGAACTCTGACATCAAACTTGTAGACCTTGATAATCTTATGATTGGAGAGAAATTCTGTAACACTGACAATGACTGTATGGTAGAGGATATACCACAAAAAGGTGGGTTCTTATAATAGTATGGTAGAGGATGTACCACAAAAAGGTGGGTTCTTATAATAGTATGGTAGAGGATGTACCACAAAAAGGTGGGTTCTTATAATAGTATGGTAGAGGATGTGCCACAAAAAGGTGGGTTCTTATAATAGTATGGTAGAGGATGTGCCACAAAAAGGTGGGTTCTTATAATAGTATGGTAGAGGATGTGCCACAAAAAGGTGGGTTCTTATAATAGTATGGTAGAGGATATACCACAAAAAGGTTGGTTCTTATAATAGTATGGTAGAGGATATACCACAAAAAGGTTGGTTCTTATAATAGTATGGTAGAGGATATACCACAAAAAGGTTGGTTCTTATAATAGTATGGTAGAGGATATACCACAAAAAGGTTGGTTCTTATAATAGTATGGTAGAGGATATACCACAAAAAGGTGAGTTCTTCTAATAGTATGGTAGAGGATGTGCCACATAAAAGTGGGGTTCTTATAATAGTATGGTAGAGGATGTGCCACAAAAAGGTGGGTTCTTATAATAGTATGGTAGAGGATGTGCCACAAAAAGGTGGATTCTTATAATAGTATGGTAGAGGATATGCTGCAAAAAGGTTGGTTCTTATAATAGTATGGAAGAGGATGTGCCACAAAAAGGTGGGTTCTTATAATAGTATGGTAGAGGATGTGTCACAAAAAGGTGGGTTCTTATAAGCAAAATTACCTAAAATAAGCATGAAAAATAATCAGAATCAAGGGCAGGTAAGTGTGAGGTTACTAAAAAATGTCAAAATTTTTAAAGTTTCGTATTCTAAGTTTTCATTCTGCTTATATGTCATTAACTGATTGTCTGAAAAGGATTGCTAGATCTGTATTCTATTATTTAATTCTTGACAGATTCTTCACCCTATAACATTTGCTTTAAGGTGTGATTTTTCTTGTAATTATATTACCTCACTTTTCCTTATTATGATACAACGTAAATATTTTGGTTTTTATAACAATTTTTCTATATGGAAAATTAATTTTACTCTGAAACCTATAATGGATCTACCTTAGATCTAAATTTATATTTATGTACACTAAAATTCAAGTTGACATTACTGCCTAAACGTATGTTACATCATCTTTGTATGTTGTTGATTTTCATTTCTGATGAAGATGTACTGAAATCAAATTTAGTAGAATTTGTTGTCTTGATATTTAACATTATTATGTTGTTGTTTTTTTTATCAAATTTTAACTTTACTTTCCTGTAAATACTTTTTAACGATAATATATATATTGTCTAACAGCTGTTTCAGACAAGAAATGTTTATATATATTACAGTTATATCATGTGAGGAGAAGATGTGTAAAGGTCGTAACATGATGAAAAACTTGTATCTGCTACAACAGTCAGTTCTCTCACTGTTGTTCCAGTACTCACCTGAGGGAGAGGAAACTAAAAAATTACTTGCAAGTCTTCAAATTCTGAAACTTACACCGAAGGAAGTTCTCAACTGGCTAGAAAAAAGGAAAGGAGGTGGTATGTAATCTCTGCAGTTGATTTGTAATGATAAATCTTTACAACAATGAAGCCAACACGACAAAATTGTACCCACCAGTACAAGTTCCATTCAGCTGATAATAAAAATACACTTGTGCAACTTACTTTTTGAAACAGTTCATTTTAAAGAGTCACAGTTATTGTTAAGCAATTCTTAGCCATTGCCCTAGATAAATAATATAATTTCAAAAAGATTAACATCTGGTTGTGTCACAAAAAAATTTATGCACAATGCAACAGCAAAACTAGTATACACTGTACAACAAGGTAGAGAATAATACATAATACTGTTACACATAGCTAATAAATTGAATTATGTACATCATATAGTGTTAGAATGATAATTGATACAATAATACAAAGAAAGTATAGAAAGTATTTAATGTATTTTTCTAGAAAAAAATCCTTCATCAACTTTTACCAATATTTTTGGTAAGTTAAATTACTGTTAAGCTTGACTATTCCAAGAATAGGGAGAGCTATTGCACTCACCCAAACGTCGGTGTCAGCGTTGACGTCACATTTTGGTCATGTTTTTGCATGCAGGTTTGTTACCTCCAAAACTACTGTTTGTAATGGTTTAAAATTTTGCATACTTGTTTGAGACCATACTACGATGTATCTTTTCAAGGTCCCAATGTGGATTTTGAAAAAATTATGGCCCTTTTTGAACTTAGAAAATTCTACGTTATCAAGGTTCTTGTTTTACTATTAAGAATTGAGAAGGTTCAAGCAAGTTGTCTTACCTACAGCTCTTGTTATTGTAAGATGATGATGGATTTTCATTTAGTATGAGAAATTGAATTGGACTTTTATCACAAAGCTTGGAAAGTTGTAAGTTTAAAATACAGAGTTGGATGTGCAGGCTGTCATAGCTTAATACTGTTGTGACATTTTTAGATTTTGACCATTTTGATTCTATCAGCTAAAGCCGTTTCTTTGACAGTCAACATATTTCTAGATGGGAACATGTTTTGAAATCTTTAAACCATGAGTATGAGCATTACTTGTTTTATTTCATTAGCAGATCTATCATCAGGGATAAGGATACTGTATATTATGAACATATCTTCTTTATTTTATATCACTCAAGTTAAAAGTATTACACAGTGAAACCTGTATTTAGGAAATCTAGTTGAAATTTGATTGAGAAGTTAAAATGATAAATGTTCCATTTATATATTTAAGATCATACAATGTTCAGTGATATTTTGAATGTTAAGTTTTATTTATAAATTGTAGCTGATAAAGTACAAGAGATGGACAGACAAAGGAACGTACAGAGAGAGATAGAGAGAGAAAACAGAGAAAGACAACAAGACAGTGTTGTACAACATAATCAGGATACAGTTCAAGTATATACAGTTTTATAATATATAGTTATATACAGTTTATTGTGTTGCCTTGAAAAGGCGACATATAGGGGGTTCTTTTGTCAGCGTCGGAGTCGGCGTCCCATAAAAGCTTGTCACAGAAACTGCTGCTCTGCACTTATTGTTTTTTGAGTTATTGCCCTTTGTTAGTTTTCATATTTCATTTTAGTCCTGGCCATTTCTCCTAAACTATATTGTTCACAAGGTGACACATCTGACTCGCTGAGTTCTAGTATAATATTTACAGTTTAATTCATTGTTGGATACCCACAGTCAACCATTTACATTTATCAGTCATGGGTTTTTTGGCCAATATCCAGTTGATTACAGGTGTGTCAAAGACAGGTATTTCATTGTTTGCCTCACAAATTTATATATGTTTCAACTAAAACCAATCAAAATGCTCATTCTATACGATGTTCGGTATTGCAAAAAAATTGTGGCAACCAATTAAATTCAGCTGTGAAAAGTTAAATATTAAAAAGTTATACAATTTCCAACAAAAAAGCATAGAAAATTTACTGTTACTGATAGTTTTTACTTTTGCCGTTGAAGAATATAAATTTTGTTAAACATGATTTTATTGGTCAATTTTTACGCACCTGTTCTTGTATATCTACGCAAATCAATTAATTTTACACACAGCTTGATTAAATGTTACTCAGCCATGGTTATCTGATGATGAGTTTATTATATGTTCAGTTTTATTATAAGTATAAAATAAAATTGGATATCAATAATAAAGCATGAAATTTATGTATTTGAATTGTCATATCATTGGCACTGATTTTTAGCTCGACTATACGAAGTATATGGAGAGCTGTCCTACTCGCCCCGGCGTCGGCGTCCGCGTCCAGATTTTAGATTAAAGTTTTGGTGCAGTAAAATATTTTTCACTATAACTTTGTCATGTCTTAAGGTATCAACTTCAAACTTCAAATATATGTTCCTTATCATCAACCACATCTTATGTGACAAGGTTCATAACTCTAGCACCAATATTTTCAGATTTATCTCCCCTTGAACTTAGAATTTTCCTTAAAAAATACTATTTTTTACTGATACTTCTTTATTTCTTAAGGGATCAACCTCATACTTCAAATATATGTACATTATCATCATCCCCATCTTATGTGATAAGGTTCATAACTCTAGCACCAATATTTTCAGATTTATCTCCCCTTGAACTTAGAATTTTCCTTAAAAAATACTATTTCTTACTGTTTCTTCTTTATTTCTTAAGGGATCAACCTCATACTTCAAATATATTTACGTTATCATCATCCCCATCTTATGTGACAAGGTTCATAACTCTAGCACCAATATTTTCAGATTAATCTCCCTTTGAACTTAGAATTTTCCATAAAAAATATTATTTTTGACTGTAACTTATTTATTTCTAAAGGGATCAACTTCATACTTCAAATGTATTTACGTTATCATAATCCACATCTTATGTGACAAGGTTCATAGCACCAATATTGCAAGAATTATCTCCCCATAAACTTAGATTTATTTACTAGAAAAATGTTATTTTTTATTTTAACTTTTTTATTTTTAAAGGTATCTACCTCAAACTTCAAATACTTATTCCTTATCATCAATTACATTTTATGTGACAATGTTCATAACTCTTGAAGCAATATTTACAGATTTATCTCTCTTTGAACTTAGGTTTTCTTTAAGAAATATAATAACTTCTTTATTTTTTAAGGTATCTACTTCAAACTTCAAATATATATTTCTTATCATTACACAAATGTTGTGTGGTAAGGTCCATAACTCTAGCATGACTATTTCTAGAATTATTCCCCTTGATCTTGGAATTTATGTTAACAAATGTTATTTTTTTACTATAACTTAATACATAATTATACATAATTGATTTTTCTTTCATAGTTTTGTCCTCCTTACTGCGTCCAGTATTTTATTAGTCGAGCTTCGCTGTCTCCTGTGACAGCTCTTGTTAACATAAGCAGAAGAGAAATCTTGATAAGACATATTTTTACTTATTTCATTTACATCACAGTTTATGTACAGTGGAGGTGAACTACAGTTCATTCGCTCGAACTCGGGTCGCTCGAATACCTCCCTTCGCTCGAACTCATCGCCCAGTCCCGGCAAAATTCCTATATAAGATATATTGTTCTACCTCGGATCGCTCGAACACCGATCGTTCAGACTTTCAAACCTGATCTTTGGTCCTTTCGGCAGAAACATTGTTAAAATCACACCTTTTTGGTCGAAAATAAAAAGACAACAAAAGTTGTGGGTCGACATGTTCTAAATAAGTGACAGCTGGTGACACATGTTTTTAACACCTTGTGATAGTGATAAAGGCAATTAAGGTTAATTGATACAAAATTAGTGGTTTTGTAACCGATTTGTTTGTTATGTTAATATTGTTTATTTGTCGCCTTTAGTAACGATGAAAATAAATAAATATGCAAGTCAATAAATAGATGATGTTTACCCGGATGGCTTAAATTACAGCTGTGGTGCATGTAACCTGAATATCTATAGAATGATACTTGTACGTGTGTTTATTTGAGTAAATTACTACAAATAAATGCTGCTGTTAAATGTTTTTCTTTAATATTAGAATTAATTTTATCCCATAAATTACATATAAATATATTTTGAACATTCAACAAGATTGGAAAATGATTGCCCAATCGAACTCAACCATTTACAATATGCATGAATAATCTGAATATAGATTAACACAATGTACCGTTAATACATAACTAAAAACACTGGGATAATTAAAATACATTATTTATTCTGTATTTCATATTTTACAGGAAATGCAACAAGGATATGACGGCAAAAATTCCTACATTAGACAAAATAATGCTAACTTTCCAGGTATGTGTTATATCTACATGTAGCATCAGTTAACTTTATAGGTTGCTATGTGACAATTAATAAAGATGTCCAATTAGTATACTGTAATTTATGTAAACAAATAATGTTTTCTGCTCAATTTATGCTATATTTCTATGTCTAACGCATGTAAAAATGTGATGGTTAACTCAAATATTGAAGTTTTTTTATATTTCTAAAACAATAATTTGGTCTGGTTAATATCCATGTTTGTGATCCTTAAAAGTACATGTTATAATATCATCATATCCCCTATCATTATATCCCCATCTGTTAGATATTATAATAATATAATAATTTTCCTCTGTTAATATATGTTCAGTTAATGTAAACTTTCCTCTTTTTTTTCCCACTAACCTGGTTATATACAACAACAACGGAAAAGGTTAATTCACAAGTGAATATTTTTTTCTATTTAGATTTTTAGGCAGTCCCAATATAACACTTTTGATTCTTAAACCTTTATTGAGTTTCAACTTCAAGTATTTCCCAGAGCCTTCTTACATAATTATATACAATGTATATTGGGAGTAAGGTGATGGTAAATTTTGCCTGTGGATATATTTATAATATTATATAAACTTGAGATTGAGTTTAAGCTTTAAAATAATTTCTCTTTGTCAAAAGGACGGAGCTACATGTAGGTCAGCAGAAAATATGGCTATCATTTCATTCAAATATATGTAATAATTTATTTGTTTTATTTGCCATGTGATTCATCCAATACTTAACAGAATTTCACTGACAGTCATGAATACTGCAAGTGTCCCTATTGTTGTTTTTTTTCCCAAATTTGTCAGCATTTCTTCCCAACTCTATAAATGGTACAGAATACTGATGATGAAATATTTACTATAATTTGCTGGAAATATTGTGGAAAAACAAGATATCTTCATTTAATCCGACAAGTAGATAATGTTGAAATCACTCCACTGAATACTGTACTTAAGGACAGTAGCTTAGATAGTGAAATAGCTATTGTTGATAGTTTTCACTTTCATCCATATCAAATTTTTTGAGTGCAGTAAGAAAACATTAATTACAAATAATTTTCGAAAGCCAATACCTTTTTTTGCACTTTATATGCTTTCACAAGAAAAACAATAATCAGAAAAAAATCACAAGCTTACTATAGTTAATGCTTGGCACATTTCATACAGAGATGTTTAAAGTGACAGGAGACGTGGAAACATTCGGACAAGATTTATGCTAGTTAGAATTTTATAGTCTTTGAATATTTCAGTACCACAGGACTTGATGATGAAATTATATTTATTACCTTTTCTCCACTTCAGTTTCATCTTTATGTATCTTATTCATTAATTCTTATAGTCTATGCTTGGCGTCATATTTGGGATATGTTTGTCTTGTCAAATGCTATTAATGTGGGGAAAAAGTATAATATATTTTTTGTGTATACATGTGAAAACCTTTTCTTATGTTTCAGGGAATGTTGCTTGTGTAATTATTAATATATATGTTGTGTTATAGAGTGTGTTAACACGTGTATTATACATATTGCATATATCTTACAATAACCACTAGGCCGTTATGACTACTCATGCGGGAAGTCTCGTGTATCATGGGGCTGCGTGCTTACAGTGAACAGCTTAGACGAGGCCAAGTCTCTGTGTGACAGGGATGATAATTGTGCCTCGTTCATCATCTTTTCATCTCACCCAGAATCGGATGGTATATTCTAATATAGTTAACCAAACCAGTTACTGTTGTAATCATTTATTTTTACATGAGAAAGCATGAGATTTTTCTCTCACTTTTCTTCCTGTTTTTTTTTTCTTCTTATCTTTCTTTCTGCAAGCTCACCAGGATATAACAGTGTTCTGTTGGGTAATATTGTGATCATCAAATGTCCAGTAGAAATTTCAGTTACCAACCGGTTATCTTGCTGAATTAATTGTATTTCAAGCTGCTACCTTGTAGAAAGATCTTCATGTTAAACCTTATGTGTCAAAATATTTTACATTTTGAAATTTTATTATTACTAAGTAAAATGAAAGAAGAAATTTTCAGTCCTTACATGGCACATAAGGCCTCCTAGCATTAAAATGAACGATCCGTCAGCCCCAAACATTTACTGGACCAATGCTTTTGAAAAGAAAAAGTTTATCAATTACAAAACAGCAATGGCACCCTTTAAAAATAACAATTATTCATTGGTTGTCAGGACATGAAATGTGTAAATCTTCATGTAATGATTTTATAAAAATCTCTTTGAAATATTCTAATGTTAATGTTAAAGTAGCAAGGTGAGCGATTTTCTTTCATGTCATATCTTGTCCTATTTTTAGTCTTTTATAACTTTGATGGCATTTGAGTTATCATGCTATATGTATATTATAAACAAATATTTATATTGCAGTTTGATATATCCATTTTGCTTGTTTATATAAAGCTGCATTAATGAATTAAATTGCCAACTTTTATATAAATTACCAAGGTTTTTTATTAATTGCCAAAAATTGTATAAATTGCCAAGTATTACATTAATTGCCAAGTATTACATGAATGGCCAATTATACAAATGGCCAATTATTATATTTATTGCCAAGTATTCTATAAATTGCCAAGTAGTTTATGTTAAATTTACTAAGTGTTTTATTAATTGCCATGTATCATATAAATTGCAAAATTTAACAATTCTTTCCTCATTGAATGTTCAAAGTAATTAAATCACTCAATGTAGAAATATTTTGACTTTTTATGTCCTTTGTAATCTATTATCTACTGTAGTAGGTATTTTTGGAAGTGATACTAAATGTTGCAACTTGAAAGTTACATGTAAACACAAGATTGGTAGACTGTGATTGGACTTTGTTACAATTTTACCAATTTTATCCTCAAATTTATTTGAACTCACCTAGATCAAATAATTTATCACTATTTTGTGACTTTAAACTTTAGTTCATCATCAAACTTGATTGACCATCAAAGTTTTTAGTTAACTACTCTACAATTAGTATAGTTTGACACATTTCAATGTTCCTTATGCAGGTTAAAGTATTGTACATTGGATAGTTTAGTTTAAACATATTTTATTGCTAATATATACATGTAAATATACAGAGAAACAAATTAATTTCGAACTAACAAATAGCAAAAGGGCCCTACATTGGATATACAATTCATTATTCACAAGAAGACAAAAACATGATTTGAGTAGACTGTGAGTATATAGAATACTTCACAATATTACTGGAATATTCCCTCATAAGTGCATTTTAATTTCACTAAAAATAACAGCTTGGTATATTGTAAGAAGTTATAAGTCCCTTTTTGTCTGTCTGAAGTACAATACTTTAACATTTTGTTCTCATGGTATATATTAACTCTTACAGTAACACTCTAACAGTTTATAAATGTAGTTCATGTTCGCACACACAGACAGTGTGTATTTACTGTAGTAAATAATAATTATTGTTGGTGATATACAATTTAGTTTAGTTAAATTGTTCAACATGAATGTCGGTGGTGAGTACAATACACCTGTACAAGTGACACACAGTCTGGTTTCTGAATTGTTGGTCACTCTATTGTAGTATATAATGATTATACTGAAATCCCTTGTACCAGTAAAGCTCTGTTGTTAATTTAAATATAAAAAAAATATTAAAAGTTAATGTTATCAAAATTTCAAAAAAGAAAAAAAAATCAGTTTTACTTTTTTTGGTCTAGTCTGTTAGTAAAGATTTTATTTTTTATTTTTGTCAGTCTGGTTTAGTTAACTGGAAGTGATTTTGTGGTAATATTAGTCTCCAGAGTGATTTCCCCTACTATATCATTCTGTGTTTGTATTTGTAATGTTCCAGTTTTCCCAGGTGTTGTTAGGTTGATGATTATCACAATTATAATTTATTCATCTTTTCTCATGTTATTTTATAAGTTACATTTTCTAGGCAGTATAAAATATAAAAGAAACATAATAATCTTAATGTTTGGAAGATTTAATACATGTCATTGTATATTGCAGAAAATGACTAGAATTTGAAAACTAAACAGATGAATAGACAACTTTTAAAAACTTACCATAGTTAGTGTGTATCTCAGTTTATTATACTTGGCATCAGTCGCCAATATGAGGGAATCCTTCAAAAGAGTATTGGTCATTTTAGATATTGGAATAGAAAGATGCTCCAATTTCAGAAGCTTCTCCTGGTTCTTTTGTATGTCAAGTGTTCACAGGACCTTGATTTAAAGTCTCATTCGAAAGACTGTTTAGTAATTTTAGCTGGCCATCCCGGTAATCAAACCTACCATGTTTAAATTACAAGTCTAACGCTCTAACCTTTGTATTAAATATTTTGATATTAAGATACCTTGGTAAAAATAAATATAAGACAGTTTATAAAACAAAATAGTGAAAGACCTTTAGTACAGGGGTTTTAGTATGGTGAATGGGCGATGGGAGGCGGGCGGGCATTGAAAACTTTTCGTAACAGTTTTCTCAGCAACTACCAATCAAAGCCTCTTGATATTTGGCATACAGCATTGACACATGGTCCCATACTGTGTGATTTGATTTCAGATCTGTCGCCTTTTCACTTCCTGTTAACCGACTTAGTTAAATTTTCGACATAAATTATCATTGGTAGGAAATTTTCGTAACAGTTTTCTCAGCAACTACTTAAAACAGCCTTTTGATATTTTGCATACAAAATTGACATGTGGTCCTATACTGTTGGATTCGATTTCAGGTCTGTTGCTCATTCACTTTCTGTTAACTGACTTAGTTAAATTTTCAACATTAATGGTCATTGGTAAATTTTTTTTATAACATCACAGCATCATGATGTTTGTTATACAAATGCAACCCAGCATTTTCTGTCTTTGACCCATTTTTACAAACCTTGAGAGTTTTTTAATGAAATAAATTCTTGTTAAATTTACATATATAACTTTTTCATAAGCCAGTTCTTTTTAACATGAGTCATGTTCATATATGTTTAATGTTCATGTATATGTAATGTTTACCAGTGTGTAATGTTCACATGTAGGGTGTCCTGTTCACATGTTATGTTTGTGTTTTATCATCAATTTTTTTTATGTAATTCATTTTTTTCAGCATGTTACAAGCTATACTATTTCAGCTTTGTGAAACAATGGTCTGATTCAGGAAATGTAGAGAAAATATTGTCCTTCCACTCATGTTCATAAATTTACAAAATATTCATAAAATCAAGTTATGTCAAGTATTAATTTTCTGTGAAAGAAAACTCAAATTTGCAGTATAAATTGTTATTTTGGTCTGTAGATCTGTTTAGCTAAAAGTTGAATTACGTTTACTTAGTAAGTTATATTAAATACATGCATACTTTATACTTGTATAAATTGACTTCCTACTTTCAATAGTGTCTGCTTATTAACATGTATGATGTTAATTTATAATGTAAGTACAGTATTAATGTTTGGGTTTTTTTACCGTCGCCACAGGAAGTGATAATTATGATAATGACATGTATATCTGCCAGCAATATATGTCATGTGACCACTAACTCAGTAAGATGCAGAATTTCACAAATAGTTCCAAAATCAAACTAATACAAGTCAACTGGAAGTAAACAAATTTAAGTTACATAAATTATTAATGCAGAGTTATAAAATAAGTGTATTCTCCTTCTCAGAATTTTTTTTAAACTAAATACAGAAAATATTTTGTTGTTGTTCTTTTTTTTCTTAATAATGATTAAAATCATTGCCAGTTAGAACAGACAGAAATTTAGTGTATGATTCAGATATATTTATGCATGGTCACGAAATTATTAGATTGCAATATAAACATCAAGTTAAAAACTCTGAATTATTTACAGTAGGAGCCATCTTGTATACAAGAAATACTGCATGGCATGAACTTATATTGTTAATCTTGTAATTTTTATAATGGCTTTATTTTCTTATTTACTTTGTTAAACTTTAACTGCATGAATTTGTTTACTCTATTTTACAGCTTAATATAGATTAGGCTTGATTCCATATATATATTTCTTTAATATTATTTTCAACTTAAAATAGCAAAGTAATCTAATTAATGATGATTTCTTTTTTGCATTTGTTTAATAATTTCTGCAAATATTTCTTTGTGTGAAAATAATTTGCCTGTAACTGTCTGTTTAACATTGTGACATTATTTAACGATAATCTCTGCTGTTTGATAATGATAACAATAATTGCTGATGCTTATGAGAATGATAATTAATAGTGATAATGATAATTGCCAATGATAATTGCTAATGATAATTTTAATTGCATGTGTAGCTGGTTAAATGTGTTAGGTGCATTTGTTACTTCTTACATATTAATATTTCATTAAACTTGAGTTTTCATTTTAACATTATATTATACTACAATTACAGCTGTGATGACTATGGTAATGAAGAACTCGTTGTCTGGAAGTCCTGATCCAAATTATGGGGCAACATTGTTTAAAAAGAACAAACGCAAAAAAGTGGATTATGTTGAACGTATAAGTGATGCAGCCAACAATGCTGGCAACAATGCAGACAATGCAGGCAAACTGGTTGAACAGAAAGAAGAAACCAAAGTGGAGGCTGTAAAAACAGAAAATACAAATTCTAAATCATGTTTCACTAAGGTTGCCAACACTACAAAGAGTGCAAGAATAAGACGTGAAAAAAGGCTGTTTATACATCTAGGTCTTAGAGGTGAGTTAATTGTTATATTTCTTTATAACATACATTATGCTATAAATGTTACATTGCTGTTATAGACATTGGTCTGCTATACTTAGTATAGAAAGTATTAGGTGAAAAGATATATGTATTGATCTTCACACAGGTTCATATTTTTACCATGACTATTTTATGAAGATAAGTGTTTTAATGCTATTCATACTATTGTTTTAGATTCTGTAGATCTATATAGAAATGTTGCAATCACTTGAGGAGGTAATGGGTTGGGATACATGAACAATCTTTGTATTATAATGATAAATACTGCTCTCAAACCAAACAGACAACATATATTATTACTATAAAACATTTATTATTCGCGAGAAATTTATTTTTGCTAATATTCGCGAAGTTTCTAAGACGTGAATTCATATTTCTCGCGAATATTTCACTTTGTCTATACACTTGTCCGAAAATGAACACTATCCGAAAATGGGTACACATGGATATATATCTGCGGGAAAGTATCGAAACCAGTTCTAGTTACATCATGTAGCTATTCAAGTGTTGCAGCATATACATATCGTACAGATTACTAGTATTAAATATTTACCTGTAACAATTTGGTATTATTGAGGAATTGGAAAAAAACTTCTTCGCTGCATATTACCTGTGTCAAGGAAGGTTACTATGACTTGCACGAGAGTTAAGTATAAACAAATTAATGTGTCTCACAAAACTTTAATGGTATTTCTACAGATTGTTCTAGTTATTGTGAAAATCTGTCCAACCTAATGGATTAATTTAATTTTGGTACAAATACTGTAGCACCTGCGAGTTGTTAGTAACATTTCTATTGTATTGTACTACAGTTTAAGCCGGAGGGTAAACATAATCGTTTACTACAGATTAGGCAAATTACAGTACCGTTTAATTGATTTTCGTCTGCTTGCCTTTGAATGGCTAATCAGTGAAACTTTCGAAACATTCAATACTAGTATAACTAGTAGCAATGCTTGAGGCACAGAGTATAATCAGGGACAAATTACATGACAAACACAGTGAACACATATCAAATAATTATCAAACTTTATTGACATATTTTTAGACAGACGGTTTCACTTAACAAGAAGATAAGCAAGCTATCAGAAAAATCAATACAGATATAAATGCATTTGTCGCACATTAAACAACGCAAAGTTAGTGAACGGACAGAAAATATCCGAATGACATCGGGTTTCCGGTTTCACATTTTTCGGGAAGACGCGAATTCATGTTGACGCAAAAAAATTATTTTGGACATTTTGCCTCAAATTCGCGAAATAAGGTTCTCGCGAAAAATAAGTGTTTTACAGTATGTCACAGATGGCTGTCTAAAATGTTTGGAGGGTTACAAAAATGATTAATTGAAGTGAAAATAATGCATGGATATCATAATTATTATTTTATGAATATTATGATAATGTATAGAGCTGTCTTTGATAGAAACAATATTGATGTATTGTTGATATTTCTGTCATAATGGATACACATTTAAAAGAATCAATAATTTTTACTTATCAATTAAATGTCTAGCAATTAGGAAAATTCACCCAAAACATATCCAGAAGCTGAGGTGTCCATATCTTATATTACAAAATGTATCTGTTGTTACAAAGTGTAAATATTTCACAGCAGTGAATATATGATGACAAAAAAAAAGGGTCTGGATCAAAATTATGCAATGGGCTTTTATAAACATGACACTGTACAGAACATGTTTTAAACTGAAATCATTTAAACAGGTATAAAAGTGTATGACTGACAAGTAATTATAGGTAATTATCTATATATTGGTGTATCGTTGATATTTGTCATCCGATTTAGATATATCATTGATATGTCTTGCCTTGAATCAATGGCAGCTCTAATAATGTATGAATATTATGATAATGTATGAATATTAGAATGTATGTATTATAATAATGTATGAATATTAAAATGTATGTATTATAATAATGTATGTATGTATGTAGGTACATCAGAAGAAGACTGGAAGACATACGCTGAGTCAACAAAGATAGTTAGATATCTCGGTCCGTCACAACTTGCCTCTAGTTCTGTAAGAGGGGGACGTTTTAGATTCCAGTTTGACAAGAATACATTAGGATTGACTAAAGGAGAGTTTATAGCAGAGAAGGGACCAAAATATTATCATCTAGCATACCTTGCTTCTTACCATTTAGACAGAGTGTTAGGTGTAAGTTAATATAGCATCTTATATTATAGCATGTTTGTAATAGCAATATACATTGAATAATGGTATTACACCACTTATATAATATACATTGTATATACACAACTGGTGTAGATTTTAGTATAACACAAGATATCACATCAGAATATATGTAAGGTTGTGCAATACCACATATTTGGCATGGGTGTATGATAAATACTGTGGCGGCATGGCGGATTGGTGAACTTGTCAAACTAGTAATTTTAGGATGGCTAGCCGTGTGGGTAGTGGGAAAGTCGTTGTTTCCATGAGTAAGAAACTTTACCCTCATTGCTGAGAACTGGTTGGTTCCAGGAAGGGATCCGAAAGTGTGTCAATTAGCTTATAGCTTCCTACCCAATCAAACTCAAAATAAATTCTGTATAAACCAAATACTGTTTTACTTAAATATTTTAATATTCTTTATCAATGCATACAGTATTATACTCTCTAGTAAGTATGTTAAAATGTTGAGTTAAAGCACAGGTTGATAGGCTATATTGCATGATATGAAGTATATCTTAAATGGTATTATTTAAATAATTTTTTTCCTTAATGGTAAATTTTATATAGTATAATTGTATGTAAGATAACAGTATCTTTGTAACAGGTAATAATATAATAATAATATTTACATATTTACAAAATTTCAAGGTGTCCTGTGATGACCTTAATTGGTTTTTCAATTGATTTATATATACAACTAAAACAAAGTTGAGAATAGAAGGAAGAAAAGCTACATTTATTATTGATATGTTTTGCAGCTTTACCACATTCCACCAACTGTGTCAAGGACATTGAAGACATCAGAGGTGAAAGCTATACAAAGTGAAACATTTCCAGTACAGAAATACCTGAACATTACTAGTGATGGTGGTCTGAAAGGTATACACATACATAATTATAATCATAGAAACATATTCAACACTATTTACAAAAATGTCATACCTGTACCACTAGTAGGTTTAAAGTAAAACATTTACATGTTTTAGGAACGTTGTAGAGAAAGTTATTCTGATATATTTCCTTGCAATAGAATTTGACATAAGTATATGCCAATGTTAGGAATAATTCTTCTGTTCATAAATTTGATTCATCAGTTCATCCTTCTTTCAAAAGAAATCTAAGTTTGAAATTATATATCATAACCAAAACCTTTTGTTGTTAATTCTAGGATATTTGTACATTTATAAAGAATAGCAGGTTTTTGTTTGCAAAACTGCAAAGCCATATTTTTAAAGCCATATTTTCAGGCTGTGATTTTTTTAAAGTGCTTGTCTCATTATTATAAATTATTATTTAAGTATGGCTTTAAACTAATATCTGCAAACAGTTATTTAAGTATAGATTAGATAGATAGATTTATTTTGGTATAGAATACATGATATACATGGACATTTAAAACAACATGTATGATACAAACATTTAAAACATACATGTGAGTAAATAAGCCACGACATGCACACCAGTATCAAGGATAGCACAAAAAAGAGAGACTCTTATTTCCATTGTGATCTCCTTTGTTGGTGACATGACATAGAGAGCCTTTATCCAGTGCAAATAAATACTTTCAATTAAATATTATCACGGTTACATTTCAATTATTTTAACACAAACTAGAATTACAGCATTGTATCACATTGAACAAGTTAATACAGAATAATTTTACTATGAAGCTATGACTTTATAATGTATATATATATATATGACTATAGGATTGGTGACTGTATCTATGCCACCGGTTATGAAAACAAGTGAACTGACTATAAAGAAACGAGACAGTCTGGTTACAGAAGTTGTAGAGTTTACCAGGAACCAGAAAGTTCAAGTAGAGTATATATTAATGTGGGCATTAACAAAGATGATGCAGCCTCAACATGGTTATCTAGGATATAAAGGTAACATTATTTTACATGTTTATATGTCTAATATTAGGTTTATCTGCATTGAAGCTAATTTTAGTTTATAGATGAATTTTTTTTTAGACAGTTTTTATCAGGTGGTTCCATTGAATCATACAGCGTTCTTAGCTACCCATTTAAACCTGGGTGAAGTTCAGTATTGTAGAGTAAATTTCTTGCTCATGGAAATAATGCAGTGGTCCATGATCTAGCCAAAGCTTAGAGTCTTTAAATCCCAAAGTGATTTTGTACCACTGAACCACTGTTCTCCATAAAAAAAAATCTGTTTGTTATATTATTTTACTTACACATATTTTACCAATTTAGTGATTCATATAAAAAGCAAGAATCATAAAGAAGCAAAAAATGTTTGATATATTGTTATGTGATAACTGAATTGTGATAACAAGGCTAGTTTTAACAAGACAAGTGTCGTGTTATAAAAAAATGATTTGTTGTTATTTTAGGACATTTGATACATTTTGAAGCAGATCTAGCATTTGAAAGTCTCAGCAAGTCTTTGATTGGATATTTCTATAACTGTCAGTTTCCTAATACAGTATATAAGACACTGGTATGTTATAAATGTCCTGATTCGAAAAAATCCAGTAATATTTGTGGACTTGGATTTGAGGTAAGGATATTATATTAAGTTTATTCTGCACAGCTTATACTTGTTGATTTAGGTATTATTTACTATTACTGAAATACATAATAATGGTTGAAGCTTAGAATGATTGTTAAGTTTAGATTATATACAGAGTTTTAAAAAATAAATTTTTAAGTCAACGCACTGAGAAAAAATAGTTTCTGAAGACTCAGTTTGTAACCTATAACCAACTGATTCAAATGGAATGCATTATATAAATAGGCTGAGTCCATTAAATCTGCTGATTTAACATATAAATTTAATACATACAGTTGAGTTACAGCACTCACCATATGGTAAATATTTTCTGGAATACCAAGTACTGATATTTTATGAGAGAAAATCCCTGGGCTGTGTGTCAAAACCTGAATAATTTGTTAAACAGTGGGCAAGTTTTACATGCTGTACTATTTTTACTTGTATACATGCATCACTGGTCTTGTTTAATATGGGGAGATATTAGACACGTTTTTCTAGCACCGGTGTAAATAGTAGATAATCTTGTCTGATATGCAAGAATGATTATACTTTATAAAGATTATATATTTTATATTATAGATTATATTTTATATTAAAGATTATATTTTATATTCAAGATTATATTTTATATTAAAGATAATCCTGTCTGATATGCAAGAATGATTATATTTTATATTATAGATTGTGAGAAGGATCAGGAACAGTGGATATACAACAAATGAGATTCGTGTTGGTTCTATCAACAGTAAAGATCTGATCAATATTATAGACAGTAGTGCCTCAGCTGTTCTACAAGTGGTAGAACAATGTATTAAAACATTCGCTAGAGAAAAAGTCTTGTATTAATTTTGTTATATATACAAAATATGAATTCCATGATATTTTCATAAAATTGCATAATTGTGATGTCCCATTGTTTGTTTTTATGGTTATATATTGTTACATAATTATATAAGTTTCTTACATATATTATTGATACAGTAACCTCCCTGATATATGATATTTTTTATAAAGTTATTTTCTATGTTGATATTTTTTGTTCTTATATTCTATTATAATGATATAGATATATACATGTATATCCAAGTCTATTATATATCCTTAACTATAGGTGTGTAGGATCTTATATAAGTTGTTACATATTAACATTAAACAGAACTTAACATAGCTATATTCAGATCTAGTTATATTGTCTACAGACACTATGTAAGATATAGATTCTATATTCAAATGAATTATTTACCTGCTAGTTTTAATTTGTTGTCAGGTGGCACTACCTTCACTGGAGAATTTTTCATAAAGCTAAATTTTAACAATTGACTTAAAATACATATGTTGTCTAATTGGTTGAATTAAATGACTCATATTTCAACATTTGCTGTGTCTATTTGATATTGAAAATGTTTTTGATAGTGAATATAGTTTTGTTATCATAGAAACTTTGATAATATTTTATAAACTATTTTGTTGTTGTTGTTATATGGCATATTAAAATAGAAAATGTTGGTAACTGTACATAGATACAGTTATCTGATGAAGTGTTGGTTGATAAATCCAACAACATAAGATTAGTGCTTGTATTTGTTCATTTTTGAGCTCAAATAAAATGTTGTTGTTTTTTCAACTGAGGTTGTATACTAGAAACTTTTTGTTTTTTTCTGTTTTATCTATATTTTCTTACAGGCTGCAAATGTTAACAACCACAAAACAAAGAGTCCCTTTCTAGACTTGTATTTTTCAATGTAAATAGATGAGATAAAATTGTTGAAGTATATCTAGGTTTATAATAAGTGGAAGTAAAAAATAGAAAATATATAAACTTTTTTATTCAGATAAGCTGTAGATCTGTAATTCTCTTATTTTTGTTTGCATTTTAGATAAGAATCATCAAGTTTTTGCATGTACACGATATGTCTGTGATGAAATCCAGTGTTAAACTAAAAGAAAAAAAAACAAACATAAAATAAACAATTCAATATCACATTAACTTCTTAATGGTATTTGATTAGGTTTACGACAAATGTTTGTCATTGTTGTTCATAATTTAATTTTCTTGTAAAGTTTCCAAAAATCGGGTTATTTTGATTTAATTTTGAACATGTACAATTTGGTGTTTTTTTAATATACCTACAAAATTGACAATTTTTGAGAAAGAAAACAAAGTTAGTTAAAGGTTAGATAACTCTAGAGTGTTGTACAGAAGATATGTTTCAGTTAGATAAGCTGGATACTCCTACATTTATATTTTATGTTAGGTGTATAAATCATTATTATCAAATATAGCTTACACTTTAATCAAAATATTGTTTTGAAATTAATCATTTTGTATATTTTAGTTTTGATATAACTTTAATTTTTGTATTTCTTTTATGGGTCAGTTTATTTTTTGTATTTGTGGTAAGATAACCCACCTATTTGAGTACAGGTACTTTTTGCAATTTGCAATATTTTTTATATATTTTTTGTTGTTGTATTTTTCTGCAAATGTGAAGGGAATGTATGTAATTACATGGAATTTTTGTCTATATAAAAATAAATATTGCAATGTTTAAGTTTAAATCAGTTGATTGAGATATTTGGTGTCTATATATTTACTGTAGATTTAGACATGGGTCAATTTGTTGTTTTCTATGAAAACTATGTGTGATGAAATTGATGACATGTGTAAAATAGAGATACAATTTTTTGTCATTATAAAAACCAGTCTGAAGAAGATGTCAGTATAAAAACCAGTCTGAAGAATATGCTAATGGTTGGATTTATAATTAAGTCTTTATTACAAATATAAAAATGTCAGCATATAAGTGACCTAATTAAGCATTGTCTGGTTATACTTTATTGGTAGCTTTATTTGTGTATTATCTAGTTATATTGGTAGCTTCATTCATAAATTAACCGGTTATATATAGTGGTGGTAGATTTATTTATGAATTATCTGGTTATATACTGGTAGATTTATTCATGAATTATCTGGTTATATACTGGTAGCTTTATTCATGAATTGTCCAGTTATATATTGGTAGCTTTGTTCATGAATTATCTGGTTATATACTGGTAGCTTTATTCATGAATTGTCCAGTTATATATTGGTAGATTTATTCATGAATTATCTGGTTATATACTGGTAGCTTTATTCATGAATTGTCCAGTTATATATTGGTAGATTTATTTATGAATTATCTGGTTATATACTGGTAGCTTTGTTTGAATAAACCAGTTATATACTGGTAGCTTTATTCATGAATTATTTTGTAATATACTTGTAGCTTTATTCATGAATTATCTGGTTATATACTGATAGCTTTATTCATGAATTATCTGGTTATATACTGGTAGCTTTGTTAATGAATTAGCCAGTTATAAACTGGTAGCTTTGTTAATGAATTAACCAGTTATATACTGGCAGCTATGTTCATGAATTATCTGGTTATATACTGATAGCTTTATTCATGAATTATCTGGTTATATACTGGTAGCTCTGTTAATGAATTAACCAGTTATAAACTGGTTGCTTTATTCATGAATTAGCCAGTTATGTACTGGTAGCTTTATTCATGAATTATCGGGTTTTATACTGGTAGTTTTATTCATGAATTATTTTGTTACATACTGGTAGCTTTATTCATGAATTATCTGGTTATATATTTGTAGCTTTATTCGTGAATTAATTGGTTATAAACTGATAGGTAAGGTTTATGTATTATCTGGTTATATTATATTGGTATCTTATAATGGTTGTATATTATGATGTTGTCAATCATATCATTATTCTTTATGATCTCTCTACATTGCTATGGTAACTATAAACTTTTCCTGCCAATACAACCTTTCACATGTTTTCTTTTCTTATATATAAAGTTATTTGGTTACTGAAAGGACATATTTTAAATCTTAATAAATGAGTATTATATATATATGGTTGTATACTTGGTAGGATAAATTTTTGTGTGTTAAATTGATTTAGAACTTGTCATTGGTACTGTAACTTGAGTTATAGGAAATGCTCCATCCAAACTTACACAATGTTTAGGTTATATTATGAATGGTGTTATTACAACACAATATGTGAAGTTTTGCCCAATGCTTTTTTTAAGACTTCATGGAAACTTTTTCTTGTATTATAGACTTCATTAAATCCCTTGAAAGACATCATAGAACCCTAATAGAGACTTTATAGAGCCCTGTTTAAGTTAAAAACTTTTAAGAACTCTGTTTGAGATTCAATAAAACCCAATTGTAGGCTGCATAAAATCATCTTTTTCACTTCATAAAACCCTCTTAAAGTATTCATAGAACCATGCTTAAGTTTTCATAATTATAGAAGACTTCATAGAACCCTGTTAAATTTTGTTTAAATATATTACTGAAGATATGATTAAATCTTTTGCATTTTGTAAATTAACCAATGACTGGTTTACCGAGGATGACATATTGTTAACAAGCTTTGTTGATTTTGTTTAGTAAAATACACTGTAACAAATGTTGTTTTTTTTACTCATTTTTCTTTTCTCAGCAAGTTTCCACATATTTCTTTACAAAGTCTTGATTTTCATATAATTTTTTGTTGGTGGATTATATTTGATATTATGAAATGTGTTCGTGAATATTAAGTATACTCAAATTTTCGCTCACAAAATAGTTTCATTTATCCAAGTCACTTTTCTTTTTGTTTTTAACTCATGTTTTTCTGATATATAACATACTGTTTTGATATAAGAAAATTTAAAAACGTGATTTGTAAATTTAATCTGTCCAAATAAAACTTAAATTTTGCTCAAAATGTTATTTTGTTTGCATAATAAAGTAGGTTATTTTTTTGAAGCAATTTTAAGTGAGATGATTACCAGAACTTCTAAATTCTAATTTGATAGTTATTATGTATTATTATAGACCCTGTAGCTTATAATATACACAAATATATAGATGTAATTACTAGCGGTACAACAATATACCGGTGCAATGATGTATTGCAATGCCGCGCCCACTGATACATAAATGTGCTATGATGTTTTATATTATATATGATCAAAAATGTTTCAATTGCAACTTTGTAAATTTACAAATACATTCATTTTTTTTATTTTTTGATGAAGACCTGACAACTGTAAAAAGTTGTCCCATACTTTATAGTGCTGTTATAGTTTTCAGTTTGTTTCGGGATCATTGATTGTTAAAAATTTATGTGCAGCCTAAGCCAGTGCCAGTGATCTCAATTTGGGAACATTTTATTGTGAAATTATATACCTTTTATTATGTTCATCTCAAATAAACTTAGAGATTTTTTCCCTCAATGTTTTGTAAGTTACAGAAACATATAAATGTACAAACGCAGTAAACACCTGTAGCTATATGTTAGACATATAGCACAAGCTAAGGGGTTGTATACAAAGTATTGAATAAGAAGGATACAGTTCTTTTGTAGTCCAAAACAACTGTATTTTCATCATAAAACTTATAGATATATAATGCATTGCAATACAGGTATGGTCATATTGTTGCACCTCCAATAATAACTATTTCTACTTGTATAAATTGTCTACTATAAACTATTGTATAACATTCCCTATATTCTGGTCTTGTAGCTTTTGGTGTAAGGATGTGTACTAGATATGGTGTTTTGGAGAATATCTTCTTATAACATAATAATTATGTAAATATACATTCCAGAATTACTTATAGTTACTTTGTTAGCTGCTAGAATGTTGAATGGGCTTGTATATTATAGTGTATCTTGATAAAATCCCTATAAATCTTGTATTGATATTGTCAACATATTTCCTCGCAGCTTGGACAATGATATTGTTTACAGCTCTCTGTCTGTAACACTTTGAGTATATTCAATATTTTCAGTACCATGTGACCAAAACGGCTTTTAAATGTTACAGATTCAAACTTTACTGGTTGTTATTCGGTTAAACCAGAAAGGGGAGGGGGGTGGGGGAGAACATGATAACTATTGAAATTTTAAGAGCTATATTGGTCAGTTGGTACTGGAATTATTGATACAAGATACGGTTTTCTTTTACAAAAACATGTCTAGTATCTAGATAATGTTTTTCTTTATCATAAAAGTGTTCAGACAGACAGGTTGAAGTTTTTTTTTAATTTTGCTGAATCTTTCTTAATATAGTTTATAACAAATGATGCTGTATACTTGATCAAATATGTGAGAGAGAGAGAGTTAATATAAACTAGGCTGTAAACTTGATTAAATTTGAGTGTTAAAAGAAATAAGGTTGTAAAATTGGTTGATTATGAGAGATAATATAAACGAGGCTCTATATTTGAAATATATAAGAGTTATATAAACTTGTCTGTAGAGTTGATTAGATTTGAGATGAAGCTGTAAACTTGACAATGTGAGGGTTTATACAAATTAGACTGTAAATTTTATTAAATAATTAATGTCGTAGTTTACATATCTTGATTGTTTCTATACATGCTGCTATTTGATAGTAATAAATGATCTTGCAGAAATTATAAACTAATGATATATGAAGACCTAACTGTACGTTTACTGTACACAATACTTTCAAAAAATACACGACTGTACTTTACTGATATCACTAGCAATGTTAATCAATTGCAGAATATATTTGAATTTTATCACTTGCTAAAGATTACAACGTCGGTCACCGTGGATTCACGAGCAGAATTATTAAATGGTAATGGCAATTAGATATACTCGTTTAACATCACGTATTTTATGTTTGGTAGTTGTGTCGCCAATTCTGCAATTAAATTTTCGGGGTAAATAAAAATTGTTTATTTTAATGTACAATTGATTTTCGTACGAAGGGTTAAGATTGAGTATATAAAGCAGAGATTTTATATCTTCATTTTATGTAGCAATTCGTCCATAATTACATAAATAATTATGAAAAATAAGGGCATGACCACATCTGTCAAGACAACATATGTGTGTACTTTTTAATGAATTTCTTTGCATTTTTACTACATAAATAGATAACTAACATAACCAGATCTCTAATTGACAATTAAAAGGTATTTATGCTTTTATGGCCCCGCACATAGTACATGGGCCGGAGGCATATAGTGTATACCTTTCCGTCCTTCCGTCATTCCGTCCTTCCGTATTCCGTGCCGTCCGTCATTTCCCGTCCTTGCCGTCATGTCCGTTTCATCTTGTCATGTCCGGTCATATCAGTTTCGCGCTGTCATTATCTAGAAAAGTAACGGTATGACACACATTCAACATCAAATTTGACATATGGAGATATGTCATGAGGAAAACTTACAGGTCAGAAATGTTCGATATTTTGGGTCATGGCTTCGGGATGATTTTTGGCAGAGTTTATGCCCCTTTTACTCTTAAAATAATAATGAAATTTTCAGTTGCTCATTCATTATCTCCCACGGCCCTACAAGCACATTCAACTCAAACCTTGAATATTGGATACATTCAAAGGAATGCGCAGGTCAAGTTCAAATTTGGGATTGTGGTTCAATGATTTTTGCAGAGTTTATGGCCCTTTCACTTTGAAAATGAATATGAAATTTTGTCAGTTTCTATTTATTTATCTCCCCAACAGTTACAACACATTCAACTCAAATTAAACATATGGATACGTTTTTGGAATGCCCAGGCCAAGTTCGAATATGGTCATGGTTATCAATGATTTTTGGCAGCAGTAATGCCCCCGTTACTTTGAAAAAATAATATATGAAATTTACAGTTTCTGTTTATGTATCTACCAACGTGTTTACATATTCAACTCAATATTTGACATATGGGATTATGTCAAGGAAATGGGATAGGTCAAGTTGGAATTTGGTCATGGTTCGATTGATTTTTTTGGCAGAGTTATGTCCCTTTCACTTTGAAAATATATAGATACATCTTAGGAATAAGCAGTTTAAGTTTGAATTTTCGGTCGTGGTTCAATGATTTTGGACAAACTTATCTTTCTTGAATGTTGGAAAAATTTTGAACTTTCAGTTTCAGCAACTCATACTTTTGTGGAAAGTTTGAATTTGGTCGTGGTTCAATGATTTTGGACAAACTTATCTTTCTTGAATGTTGGAAAAATTTTGAACTTTCAGTTTCAGCACTCATACTTTTGTGGAAATGTATGTAGCCATTATTTTGGCTACAAATATGAAATATGCTATTTTCAAAAGGTTAAGACTAAATAATTTCAGTGCTTTGAACATTGTATGAAAATGGTTTGTTTAACATTGAAAAGTTTTAAGGCTTTTGAACTGCAAATGAAAAAAATAATTTGTTGCAAACAAATTTGGAACTAAATATTATAACATCTGAAATTTTGGCTGCATGCGGGGGCATCCGTGGCATGATGACACATTTCTAGTGATGATATTGTTGTTTCCTTTAATGATATACGATTTACTGCTATATGAATAAAAATGTATTATGATATTTGATATGTTTAGTAGGTAATTTTAGTCCAAACACGTGATTAAACAGTTCAATACAAATTACAGGTTGGTCAAACTAATCTAATATGTCAGCTATATATATGTGTATATCACGGTGGACTGTACTTTACGTTCTACACAACAGAATCCGTGTTGTATAGTCTTAGGCATTTATTTCTCGCAAGTACTTTTTTCTCATATTCAAGGTAGTTACACTCTCTGTTAGTTTATTAATTGTTTATGATACATTTCAACGGAAGAGTCGTCCTCAGTAATACACCACGAACATTCGGTTACAAATTTAATAAACACTCAGGTTTATTTTTAATAATCATGATTATACAAAATAAAAGCACGCTTTCTTATGTAAATTTCAGCAATCACATGTGTCTACAGTTAAATTTGTTAGATGTGTGGTATTAAGACGTATGTTGTTATTTTTTACGGTAAGATTTTCTGAACATATATGCTGACTGTTATAGAAAGGTTTCTTATTATATTGTTACTGTTAGTGTTAAACTGTTGCTCTATGGTAGTTGATCAAATAATATATCTACTATTTTCATATAGATATGTATTGTATATGTAAAGTATCTTGATATTTTCACAGTAAAACTTAACAACTCTAGTTATTGTCTTCTTATTATTGATATCAGTAAACATTATACGAGGGTGTAACTATAGTAACCAACAAAGTTTACTCACAGTAACATTTCATCATTTTACGCCGATTTTAACACTTTTATATCATTGTCGATGTCAGTCCAGATGTCAGTCCACCTATACGGCTTCCCTAGATATCTAGCCACATTGACTACTGACTTCTCTGTAATTGAAGGACTACTAATCCTACATGATTTCTGAATCAGCAGTGAGAGACAAATGACCAGTAGACACAATGTCCGAGATCATTCGTCACGGAGAAATTTAGCCACGCTCGAGGATCGAACAAGCGGTCCTTGGATTACAAATATGTTGCTCTAACTATTGATCTTTGCTGGGGACAATAAAACATTTTAAGGCTAGGATCTTCATGTAGTATACATGTATATGTAAGAACACTGGTCAAGATCAATGTTGGATGCACTACAATGAAACATAAATTTCAAACATGTTTAATAAAACGCTAAATTTACAAATGTGTCAAACTGTATTATGACGTTTTTAAGAAAACAACAAATGATAGTTGTGTAACATGTCTTAACAAACAAACAAACAATTACAAAATAATAACTAGAAGCTCCTAGACACTTTTACTAACAAAGTAAAGTCTGTTTTCATTAATTATTGGTAGATTATAACATTTAGTAGTTATAAAGTCATCTAGTAATATGGTTCATCTGGTATTTCAGTAGACGGCGACGCTATAGAAATTCTCTCAGATCTGAAGTCGTCATCAATGTTTTCATACTGTACTGGTGATGGTGACACTGGTATTGACATCGACGGCGTTTGTCGTCTAAAACATTTGATATATATTTTTAACTACACAGAATTCGTAAATTAGGAGATAATTTGAAGTTTCGGTGCGTTATCGAAGGGAACTATATTGTGTGATACGTGCTCACTGTTCGTACAATAGTATACAATTATTGTATGATAGTGGGGTGAATATCCAAATAGACCGAGATAATATGATATTGAAAACGATGCTAAATTGATAAGTTTGGATCTCCAATAATGATTTATATTAGGAGATTGCATGTTGCAATCGCTTAAACTACATTGGTTACAAATTATACGTTGTTGAATTAAAAATAATATCATTACTTATGTCACAATTACTTTGCCACTCTTATTTGCTTCAAATTATAATTTAATACATACAGTTATGACCTCAATGATAATTAATTAGTTTGTAAACATGTGAGTTATATTACATAACATAAGGCATTACAATATAATCTATACAAGTATCCCTTTCAATATAACAGAAACACATGGAACCCGGACATATCAGGCTAAATTAGGGACTCATATATCATAGACACTATTGCGTGTGAGGCTAAAATTACAGATGGTTTATAACAATAATACAGTTATTGTCTTACCATAACACTGTAATTAATAACTGTGTTAAATTCAAAAAAGAAAATTAAATATGACTAGTGAAAACATACTGTAAAGTGTTACGACGTTGTTTGGACAAACTTGTGACTTGACTCAATGACGATTGTTCCGGTCCATACATGACGTCAGCACTCAGTCTGCCAGTGTCTGTAGTTGAGCGTCTGTTAGGATTCATATATTCCCAATCATCTATTCGAGGACGGGTTATAGATTTAACAGGAGCAACAGACTGTTCAGGGCTGTCTGTAAAACAACATAAATGTACATTGTCATCCATAAATACTTTTACACCTCTGGGAAAAATGTTTTGTTGTTGAAATACAAAATGTGTATCAATTTTGTTATATATTTATCATAACATAAGGTAACAATCATTTATACTGAAGTGATGCAATCTCTATTTCGGAAATGAATGACCAAAATGAATTTTCCAAAAGTTATAAATTCATTTGTGTTTATTCATAGTGGTATGTGCTTAAGATTACCAAATTGAATGAAATAGGAATGTCCTATTTGGAAATGTCTTCTTAATTTGAGTAAATTATTCCAGAAATTGACATTTATCCTGACACAATTTCTCTTGTAAATTGTTTTATGATAAAAAGGGAATTTTTGTATAAACTTACAATTTTAGCAGAAGCTTCAACACTAATAGCACTATTCTTTCCCATTTTTAACTTTATAGCTGTAACTTAGCTAAAAAGGTATACAACAAAAAGGAGAGAATTCTTATGTACATATATCAAACACATTAAAATATTAAAAATCTCAGAGAACAAGTGATGAAAATTTGTATTTCTTACTTGTTCCATCCATCCATTTGCTATCGTTCACCCTCACCTCAGTTACCTTAAATGAATCAAACAATCAAAATGAAATATAATTGCTATGATTCGTCTCTTTATAGTTATTTTCACATAACAAATTTCACTGCTAGTCACAAAAATTAAAAACCCAAATCTATGAACGGACAGACAATTATATTGACCTTATGGAATAATTTCCCTATCTATCACACGTCAAGTTATTTTCGTTCCTTTACCATATAGCTTAAATAAATAGTACACTAAGATATTTTTTTTAATTATAATTACCGTAACTCGTCCGCTTGTAGCACTGCCGGGCCTCATTGAGTTACCATCTACCGGCGCTGGTGTTGCTAGTAATACACGTGACGGTAGCAGAACCTCGTTAGCATGCACGTGTCGATATTGGGCTAAAAAAAGAGCAAACAAACTTTGACGTTTTCTCAAAAGTTCATAGGTCATCGTTTAAAAAGATAATATAACTTGGTGTTGACAGATTTTTTGTCAGAAAATTATCTATGAAAAACAAGATTATTCAATGAAAAGTTCAAAGTTATTATTAAAACATGATCATTTATAAAAAAAAAAGAAAATGTATACAGGATTTTTCTTACGTGCTTCTTGTTTACCAAAAGGCATTGGGCGTCGTTTCTTGTCTAGTTGACGCTTCGGTTTACTTTTAAATGCCCTGTAAATAATATATATGATTATATCTATTTACTGTCTGATACTTTCATATCTGAAATTATTAATCATACATGTATATGTTTGTTTGATGATACATGTATATGGAATAATAAATGATATATTCGTTAACTGCTTAATGACAAACAAAACAAAAAAATATCCTACCTAAAGACTCGATTATCAAATAACAACTTCTACATGTACTAATATCTTGTCAATCACCAACTTCTTAATGTTGTAAAATCTTATCAGTTAACCACTTACTTCTTCATGTATTTATATCTAATCAGTTAACCACTAACAGCTACATGTACTTATATCTAATCAGTTAACCACTAACTTCTTCAAGTACTTATATCTCATCAGTTAACCACTAACATCTGCATGTACTTATATTTAATCAGTTAACCACTTACTTCTTCATGTACTTATATCTAATCAGTTAACCACTAACATCTGCATGTACTTATATGTAATCAGTTAACCACTAAACTTCTTCATGTACTTATATCTCATCAGTTAACCACTAACATCTGCATGTACTTATATTTAATCAGTTAACCACTTACTTCTTCATGTACTTATATCTAATCAGTTAACCACTAACATCTGCATGTACTTATATGTAAACAGTTAACCACTAACTTCTTCATGTACTTATATGTAATCAGTTAACCACTAACATCTGCATGTACTTATATGTAATCAGTTAACCACTAAACTTCTTCATGTACTTATATCTCATCAGTTAACCACTAACATCTGCATGTACTTATATGTAATCAGTTAACCACTAACTTCTTCATGTACTTATATCTCACCAGTTAACCACTAACATCTGCATGTACTTATATCTAATCAGTTAACCACTAAACTTCTTCATGTACTTATATCTAATCAGTTAACCATTAACATCTGCATGTACTGATATCTAATCAGTTAACCACTAAACTTCTTCATGTACTTATATCTCATCAGGTAACCACTAAACTTCTTCATGTACTTATATCTAATCAGTTAACCACTAACATCTGCATGTACTTATATCTAATCAGTTAACCACTAAACTTCTTCATGTACTTATATCTCATCAATTAACCACTTGCTTCTTCATGTACTTATATCTAATCAGGTAACCACTAACTTCCTCGTGTAGTTATATCTAATCAGTTAACCGCTAACTTCTATATGTACTCATATCTATCATATCAAAAGTTAATGAATGGCTTACATGAAAAAAAATCCAAAATCGTCACACTAGACCTACTGTTGATGGCCGTTTTGTGTGAACTTTAAGATAGTTTCTACACTCGTACAATATCCCAATATACAATAATGAACCGCTAGTACTGTACTGGTACAATATCCCACCGAACAATAATACTGTATCATGTTTTTGTTCGCTTTTGTTAAAAACAACAAATGTATGTTACTATCAAAACAAATCAGAAAACTGCATGTATATAAAATGTTGGAAACTTACTGCTGGACTTTACTCCAGTCAATTAGAGGAGTCTTTCTTCTCATACACACTTGAATAATGCAGCAGACGACAAGAAGTAAACATGTTGCTATAGTAACTACAGACATAGTTAACCACGTGATATTTCTTTGATCCTCTGGAAAAAAATAACATTGCAAATAATGATCTAAAGCTGAAACATTATGACAGAATTGTAAAAATATTGAATATGACATTGAATAAGGAAGAATCGAGTTTATCTTTACAAATTCCAAAACAATGAAATATTGGTAAATGACCGCTACATTTGTCTCGTCACATATTTACGCCCCGACTGAATGATAATGGTGTATCAGACACAGTTGTATGACTTGAACAATGCAACATGAAATATTGTCAAACAAAATGAGACGGTTACATGTCTTCATTTCTTAAATTTGTTCAGGTTAAAACGATTATAATAAGACTATACCAATAAATTCCCAGTTTCTATCAGTTGTTGGAAGTTTGACAACAGTAGAATCTAAAAATGTCATGGTAACTGTCGCTGTAGCAAAATTTCCATCTTCATCAGTCGCATTCACAATCAGTGTTTTAGTACCCTCTATAAATATCAACATTTACTATATATAGACATTTACAATCAGTGTTTTAGTGCCCTCTATAAATATCAACATTTACTATATACAGACATTTACAATCAGTGTTTTAGTGCCCTCTATAAATATCAACATTTACTATATACAGACATTTACAGATCAACATTTACTGTGTACAGACATTTACAGAATAACACGTTAATATCATCATTTACTTTATATACACATTTACAGAATAACACGTTAATACCAACATTTATTGCGTAGAGATATTTACAGAATAACACGTTAATATCATTATTTACTTTATACACTGTACACACATTTACAACTGTCATAACACGTCATCATTTATTGTGTTCAAACATTTTCAGAATTATACTTTATATCAACATTTACTGTGTAGAGATATTTACAGAATAACACATTAATATCATTATTTATTGTGTCCAAACATTTACAGAATTATACTTTATATTAACATTTACTGTGTACAGACATTTTCAGAATAAAACATTAATATCAACATTTACTATCATTTACTATATACGGACCTTTACAGAATAACACATTTGGTATCATTATTTACTGCGTACAGACATTTACGGAATCATTCTTTATACCAACATTGACATTTACAGCATTCCACGTTAATATCAACATTTACTGTGAACATAAACATCAATATTTACTGTGTAAAGACATTTACAGTATTCCACGTTCATATCAACATTTACTGACTGTGTGCATATATATATTTAGAGCATCATATATTCATATAAACGTTTACTATGTACATAAAGCTACATACTTCCAAATATACATGTATATATTCATATTATCTGTCAATAGTCTACATACAATTAATACATTACAGTACATTTAAACATAGTTCGCAGTAGAAGTATATTTAAATTACTAATGTTATTCATGTCATGTGTTTAAAAATATCATGAGCAATATCACGATACTGTATCATGTTGTTAATAATACATATACGATTTTTTCCTTGCATTTTACACTTATATCTTTTTAAATAAATGGCATTGCAAACAACACATTAATTGATGTAAACATCTGAAAGACTAACCATTGGCGAGAGCAGTTAGAACATCTGTAGCATATATGATACCATCTTTAATAATGAAATGATCCCCGGTACCAATCGATGACTGATCTAATGCATAACTTATAGTAGTGTCTTCACCAAGATCCGCGTCTGTTACTGTTACCTGTATTAAATATGTATATGTATAACAACAATAACAACCAATAAAAACAATATCAACATCAACTATAAACGGACAAAAAAGGAATCAATTTCACAAGAACTTGTGAAGTGGTCTAAATTTAACAATGTTAGACTACAAATCTATGGGTCGCGAGTTCGACCATCCCTCCATCCCTTCCTGTCCCTCAACACGCTTATCATAACAAATCTTACTTGTGAGAAACAAACATTCTACAACACATTTACTTTTTCCTTGTGACTCTTAGAATACAATAATCTTTTTTTTATATGCTTGTATATCAACAAGAGGAAATTGTTTAAAAATATTACATATATGTCGGTGTATTGTCTGTGCTTGATATGTAAGAGAACTAATTTGTACTGTTACCCACCCACAAAGTTCATTGGCGGATATATCATTGGGGTTGAATAATGTCTGAAATGTTTAATGTTTATATGGGAAATGAGTTAATGCGATAAAGATCAGGACAAAGTCGACTAGTAAACTTACATAATTATGATAATGCCCCAGCTAGATTTACCTTTATTATTGAGAATCCCATCGGTGTATCTGAGCTCACTTCAACAGAGTATGTAGTTGGATTAAAGACTGGAGTATGTTCATTTACATACTTTATATCTATATACAGACGTGCTGTATCTGTTGATAAAAATAATACCAAAAATTCGTCAAATATTCTTAGAGAAACAACACAAAATAATTTTTAAAAGCATGCATATAACAAGATAATAAGTAATGATGTCGGACATTTAATGAAAATTCTATAATTTCTAGAAATACATATAAATTCTGAAACATTTAAACAACAAATTATTATACATGTATGTTTAGCTGAAATATTGACATCGCAAACCCACCATGACTTAGGATTAACTGTAAATTTTTAAAACTATGCCAATGTTGGTATTACATGCATATTATATTTAAAGAATCGCGTGAAAAAAAAGGTGACACAAAGTAAAGGGTGCCATGTCATGATTTGCATCATCAGTCTTTGTGACATTGTTTATATCCTGTTTTCATAATGGACTTGTTTCTAATCCAAGTTTGGTGAGGTGGGAAATCGTTCACCGAATAAAAAATGGAACTACATTCGTATTATATAACTATTGAAGCCTTGGAGGGTCACTTTTGAGTTTCGACTTACGGATGTTTTACTTTTGACTTTTGATTTAAGACTTACGTCTTATGACTTTTGGCTAACCCATTTTACACGTGCTTTAGAAGTTGAAAGCAGCAACTTTGGTTTCAGGTATGTTTTTTAAAAGTTTTAAATAATTTCATTGAGATTTGTCATGGAGGAGAGGATGTGTTAAGGAGGGAATTTAATATTATTTGATATAATCCCATTGTGGTAATATATCACAGACTTTAATTCCACAAGTGTGACTGTGTGTTTTGTGCAATCTGCTGTGTTCTTAATATGTTCATTATATTAGTGCTTATACATTTTTTGTCCTCATCACAAAATCTGTCCATGAGTAACAAACAAATTTTTACAAGTAAACAGGGAATACAAGTTTTACGTCTTAAAATGGCATGGTGCACAGTATTAAACATGTATCGCAATTCAGCATTTTATTGTGCTAACACAGACTCAGTATTTCTGTAAAGTACTTAGATAGTGCTGACCAATTTCATAAAGAACGGCAGTGCTATGTTCATACACACAAGTACAAAGTTAACTGAGCACCATTTGCATTTAGCATTAATGTCTAATTTTGTTGTATATTTTAAGTTTTTAACAATTGAGAAAAGAACACTTAAGAGCAAAAATAGATATAGGACCAGTTAGAACAAAATATCCTACTAGCATTTTAAATGTTATATTTCTCGCACCTATCAATCTTTAAAAGACGGAGCTAAGAGATTTACCCATTTTATATACTATGAATGTATAAAGATTTAGATAAAAGATAAACTCTTATTTCAGACACAACTACTGGACAAAAGGTAACGAGGACGAAAACCTTGATGTTGATCTGTGTCTTCATCATTATACTGTTCGGCATTACCAAAGCTACCATGCCAAGATACCTACCCTCAACATCTATAACAAACAAAACTCTGCTGATAATAGAGTACTTTCTGGTACGGCATGGCATTACGACGTCATTTAGTACAGTGAATAGACTTTTTAAACGCTTAAATTTAAAACGGCGTAATGGAATATATATACTAGGGCCGGGAATTATATTCGAATATTCGAATATTCGAAACACTACCGAATATTCGAACATTAAAAAACGAATACGAATATTCGAAAAATATAATTTGATATTACTTTCAAATTCAATTAATATCGTAAATTAAACCTTTGACCTGTATTTGACCAGGTGTTCACACGTTTGTATGACACGTGTCAACGATTATCGCCAATTAACTGTGAAAACTGTGGGGTCTAGTTGATCAAAAGGGCGTTTCACACTTTGCAATTTACCTGTTTAACAGTTTAGATTTTTTCCCGATTTTAATTATCTTATTTATTGTTTTCTGTGCTATAATCTTTCCTATTAATCATTGTCTTAATTTTGTGGAGAAGAATAAATAGGCACGCATTAATCGGCGGTTATGAAAGCATGGGAAGTGTCTATATTCCGTCAGAATATTTATTCCGTAGATATTACACTCCGTGTGATATTTACTGCGTTATAGCTATATTTATTTTAAGAATATTTTAAATCTTATCTAAAATTATAAATTAATATAAAAAATAATACAAGTTAAGTTTAAATATAATTATTTGTTATTGGGGCTAAGAGGTTACGATGATTCATATTACTGTCAATCAATCACGCGAGTTACATAGCTCCCGTTAATAAGACAAATATAGGATTAACTGAACAAAAGGCAATCAAATTATGAATTTATTTCAAATTGTAAACATATATGTCGAATAACAATATATAAATTTTAGAAAAAAAGCTGACGTAGTAATGAAGGTATTTTTAATCGTCGATTATTAAAAGCATATTAAAGTAGTATAGTATTCGACTCAATCAAATTCGGATACGTATACGTCAAAGAGAAATATTGGAACAAATGTTGTAAAAACGAATATTCGAATATATTCGAATATGGAAAACGAATATTCGAACATCAAATTCCTTATTCGTTCCCAGCCCTAATATATACTCCTTTTGAGACTGTGTCTGATGTTATTAACAGAGAAATACAAACAAGTGGGCAATGCATAGGGTACCGTACAATATGGCGTAGGTTTATGCTGGATTACCACATGTACGTCAAGGGGGACGACGTCATGTAAATAATAATAGATGGTATTGAGATGCGGAAAGCTCATCGCTTATGCCGACGCGTATACTACGCCAAAGGACCAGTTTTATATGACATATGGATGTTTAAACTTACAATAAGGATTTTGTATCCATGGTGCTGTGAATGGGTATAGTAGAAAAATAATATGGTTAGAGGTTTCGGACTCAAATAACAACCCACACCTTATTGCAAGATACTTTTAGACACCTTTACTAAACATTATCAAGTCCCCCACCCAATACTACGTTGTGATGTTGGTACGGGAAACTGCATTGCTTTACTATTGCAGCAATACTAAAGCACATCTAACCAACGCATTGAGAAATGGTGTAGTACATTACGACAAAATGGAATCAATTGGCGGATACCTTTTTTTCAAAGACTTACGCGATACATGTGTATTTAATGATCTGGACACGATACAATGTAAGAACTCAAAATTTTGCTTCATGGACCTCATACAAACCGAGTTAGGCCGGATTGCACATGAAATAAGGCAACAAACCAGTTATTCTGTTATTTGTGGTAAACCTGACACAACGCTCTTTACCAGGTCTGTATGAAACTCACGACTTCGGCAATGCAGCTAACTTGAGAAACGTATATATTTGCAAAGAACATGTATTCACGCCCAAAAAGACAATGTGGGGAATTCGTAGAATTAGAACCCCTTCTGAAGCCAGATCTATTGATGCCATTGGACCCTGATTTAGCACTACAACTGTGTACCGAGTTGAAAGATTTAATTTTGAGAATAGATTTAATATAAATACGCTTTAAAACGACTAATACTGATTGTTTTCGTGTTATTGATATATACTAGGTTACTATAGGTTAAGTTTCAAAAAATGATTTTTTAAAATCATAAAGACGATAGTTAACGATTTCACTTCATTATATGGTGGTTTGTAAATATTTAGCAAAATGTTTACAATTTATTTGTGAGTTATCTTTTAAGTTATAGTTTTTAACCACTCTAATTTGCATTATAAGGCATTGTAAAATTGACAACATTGTTGAGTGGTATACCTAAAGGACACCTGTATGCAAAATTTAAGCAAAATTTACCGTACGGATTTGGAGTATGAGTCAGAACATATACATTAAAAAGGCTTTTTAAAAGAAATACATGTATTGAAAAAAAATATCCGTTGTCATCTAATCATTATCATGTTTTGATAATATATCTATATTATATATTATATCTATATATCATATATATGACGTAATATCATGTTTTGCAAGTGATGCTTGTTTAGATGCAAATAATAACATTCTAGTAATGAACTATGCATGTTAAATGCATGACTATTCTCGACACGATAGAAATATGCATGGAAATGTTTCTTTACCCCACCAATTTGAACATTTTCTATCATATCATTCTAAATTTAAAAAATCACTAAAATTACATTTAGTCAAAGGGCTTGTATCAAAGTCTGCTAAAATCTTTCTAGAAAGTATACTGATTCATTCTGTGAAATATGTAAATCTTTTATCGGCTAGTCTGTAATATATAAAGCATTGGACATGTTATATGTCGAATTTGCTCTTAGATTTAGCATTAATTAGGCAATGAATATCTGTAAAAAATGATAAAAATAGAAAACGAGCATATTTTCCCATCTAAATATAGCTAGAAAAATACAAAAATACTGAAGAAAAAAAAATGAAGAAAAAAAAGTTGGCTCCTATGGGATTCGAACCCACAACCATCTGATTTCATACAACTATTGTAAATACTCTTGAAATGGAGGTAGTGCATTACAATGGTCATACCTTAACGGGTCATTTCTTAAACAGTCTTTGCATGTAATTTTTCACGAAAAGCATACGTGTAGTGGGAATCTTCCTAAAGTTATTTTAAAAAATCAAATCTAAACACATTTATTGTACAAGTTAATGGTCCTTTCCAACTCAGCAGCCTGTAAATATTAATTTGTAAAGTTTTTACATCACAATATAGGTATGTGCAATTTTGTGACTTTTTACGTAAAATACATGCTGTATTTCTTTTTGTTTTTGGTATACGTATTACGCGATTAACTACACTATATGAATCGACTTCTGGTTGTATCTCTTCTATCAAGCCCTGGTTACAAAAAGGCTGCCCGACTAGGAATAGAACATCGATCTCCCGTGTGACTGGCAGGGACACTTTCCACTATGCCAAATGTCACAGGGGGAGAAAGATATGCAGCCATATCGGGATTCGAACCCGGACCCCCTTACAGGGCTAGTTCTGTCCCGACCGAGATCGCACATCATCTACTGAATATATTCGTTCCGTGACATATAAGTTATACTTGTAATTTCAAGTATGTGTAATTAGATTCAAACGTCTTATTCATTCGCAACAAATAGCAACCATACTTTATAGGATGTATTATGGTATTTAAAAGGAATATATATGATTGTTATTCAAAACTAATAATTGATCTTTGTTATAAATGCTGACTTATTTTCTCGTTTTTTATGTTTTGCCTTGTGACTTTTCACTTATAATTTATCACTTTTTACTTATGACTTTTATCTTTTGACTTTTGACTTATAACTTTTGCTATTTTCTGTTACTCTTTGCCTTAGTATAAACATTAGTTTTACTTGATTTTAGATTAATGCAAATAAGCAAATGTGTGATACAATCACCAAACGCAAGGGAACACATCAGCCGAGAGTGGTGTTGAAATCATATAATGTTTACAAGTACATTTAGCCACCAGCCTCATTTTTGCATTAGAATCCTCATTTGTTGACAATTTATTATTGTGTTATTGTAACTTTGTTATAACCAAAATAAATTTGTAATTTACCACCGGTATAAACAGTATATAAATGTTACAGAGATTTTTTTTTATCCATGTAGAGATAGTGTTCCATTAAAATTATAAGTAAGAGGTTGAAATGAGCAAAGTAGAAATAGAATAGCAATCACTATAGAAGTAAACTGTGTGGAACCAGCCAACTCCCTCAACCGACTACCTAAATATACCTCTACCGAGAGACCACACTACCAAAGGTTTTTACTTCACGGTCTAAACCGTGACAGGTTGGCAGAGCTATCAATACTTTTTTGGAATAAATGCGTTTAAACAGATAACAACAAACATTGTTTATTCTACAAACATGCTTTATTTGTGTTAACAAAATTGTTGTCTTATAAGAAAACAAATGTATTAGATATGCAAAAACAAACTGCATTTGAGCTTCATTATATTTTAATTTAAAAAAGAGATAAGAAATACAGAGGTAAGCATTTTGTTTTAAAAAATAGCACATATGCCTTACTTAAAAGCAAACACTAAGGAACAGCTAAAAATAAACACTGCCATCAACAAAAACTTATTAACGTCACAGAAGACATATATACATGCAATATTTCTACAAAACAACACATTGTTGATACGTTACTGATGAAAAACTAAAAAATCATGATTGTTCTAACGAAGCTTTTGAAAAGATAAGATAAATTAGGTAAACTAGCAACGCTAGAGTGTCTGTATTATTATTGAAGTCATGATTTTCAAAATCATTGTCAGAGCGTTATTTCTTCATTTCTAAATGTTCAAAAGAGAGAAAAAGAAAAAACAAACATTCTCTAGCTAAAAATTTCCTAGTTAACTTTAAGAAACTGTATACATTGTATAATGTATATATTAAATAACGTCCACAAGTTTTTTTTTTTCGAAGAATGACCGACTTTATATGTAATGGAAATCTCATAGTATTTCGTAACGAGCATACCTCCAACCCACAGCATGTCGAAAAAGGGAATGTGTAACTTAGGAGAACGATTAAATGTTATAATCAAAAGTTTTTTAACAACACAATGCACTCTGTCTCGCCGAGACATATCTGCCAGTAAATTCAAGTTGATGCCTTCAACAGTTTTTGAGATAATTATGAGTTTAACAAAATCTAAGTATGGAAAAACAACAACAAAAACACACACAACAAAGGGGAGTTTCTAAAATGTATGTTAGCTATGATAGCAAGAAGGATGTTTCTTTCTGCCTCGCCAAGCTATATGAACATGCAAAGTTTGATTTCGGTACCTTTCATATAAGTTATAAATTTTATGGCCAAATACTGAAAATTATGAAAGCCAGAATAATGAATTCATGATTTTTCACACTTTTCTCTGTCTCACCATGACCTGTCTATCAATACAAGTTTTATACCATATTGGTGATATGGACAGGATAAAATAAACGTGGCGGGACGTGACATTGCGTGTTTCCACTAAAGCGTCCACAATTAGTGGTGGGGTTAAAACTTGAAAATTATCGAGCGTCTAAAAAACAAGTGTGAAAAAGTAACACTCGTTTTCCGAAAATGACTTAATAATTCCATAGACAATAACGAATAAAACCAAATCACCCAGTGTTTGGACATTTTGCATTTGCTAAACTGTACTACTTTCCACTCGGAAGGAACGCTGTTTTGCGATGAAACCTCTTAGTCTTCTAAACTGGCTCCGAAAACTTGAAAAATATGTATTGCTGATGCTCTTGCAACTGCTTTGTAGATGAAACCATTCGACAGCACGTCCTTAATTCCTACAGGTAGCTTTACTAGAATTAAAATTGAAAACATTAAAAGTATGTGTTATCTCAATTGAAATGAAATACAAATATATACAAAATGAAATACAAAACATCCCTTAATACATAACTGTATACAAAAGTTTATATACAAATAACATGTACTTTGTACTTGGTAGGACTGGTGTCCTAAGTTATTGATACTGAACAAGTGTATAAAGTTTCAATATTATATCATAACTGGTTTATTTGACCATATTTCATAAACCTTCTGACAAAACATTTTAGCTTTAAAAATGGGCATAAGTATGTCAAATTGTGAGCCACTCATACGAAACTTGGTCATTGACCTTAGACGTCAGCACTTAATATGTGTTTTAAGTTTCAAAGGAATCGCTAAAATAGTTTTTGAGAAACCATTTTTCATGAAAATTCTAAACCATAAATTCAAAGTCGAAAAAGAGGCATAATCTGATAACAAAAAAAAATCAGAGATTTCTTACTTAGAGCGTGTTCTAAACAAGTGTGTGAAGTTTCAAAGCTGTATGATTTATTGTTTTTGAAATACCATTTTTCATGAAACTTCTTAACTTTAATTTTTTTTTTGTCAAAATAAGGCCTATAATTTGGTCTATATTTAACATAAGATGGACGAAGAATGAACTACGGGTGAAAACCGATTGAAACTGCAGCAAACAACAGTGCGAGACTTATCTGGATTTAAAACTGGAACCCATATAAAAAATAAAGCGTTTGATTCATACCCTGTATGTCAATTTGAGATAATATATGCCTGTTCCGGAAATCAAAATAAAAAATGGATACCCAATGCAATGCAATGCAAGCAAAGTATTTTCTTTTCCTTATCAATTAAAAAGGCTTATATAAGAATAACATTCTGTTCTTGCATATGAATCCACATATTTTGTTTTTTAAATATGTCTCCAGGAAACTTAGGTAAATGAACTTACCTCGTCTGAATCGTTGTCATATTCTGCCATATTTTCCTTGGAAATTATGAGGCAAGCACGTGGGACAATAACAAAATCCATAAGTCAAAAATCAAAAGTCATAAATCAAAAGTCATAAATCAAGAGTAAGAATCATAAGAAAATAGTAAAATAAATCTATAAGTCGAAACTCAAAAGTGACCCTCCAAGGCTTCCATATATAACTCTTTGACTTTGTTTTTGTAAGACGTTAAAGACTATGACCTGCAAATGTTTGTTGGAATATTATGCTGATGGAATTACAGATTTCGGATAAATTTCGGTTCTTCTCGCTATTGAAATATAGTCATTAATATTTCTTAATGAATAATGATTTTCAAACTCCAGCTCGACAAATGATGGGGAAAATTGCGTAAAATAATTTGGTAGTAAAGTAAATTTTCCTTTTTATATTTAAACTAATTTTTAGATTTGCTTTATGTTTAAAACATTAATCGATTCTATCTCTTTAAGTAAATTTTGAATTGGTACGGATCTTGTTCAACCAGTTAGTACTCGAGGGGCTTTGGGTCGAACATTTTTCTAACGCATCTTTTCATATATTGTGCAATTGTCCACTACAAAAATTGCATAATAATTCTATGTTAGGACGTACGTTAGATATGTACATTTTATTGAGAGTGTTCCTTTTTATCATAACTTTTCAGTATTTTTATTGAAACAACAACTCTGGAAGCTATAGAGACGGTCATACATACACATTGATGTCCTGTCCTATCTTGACTAAAAATTACCCATAAATGTTATCAAATTTACCCATTCTTACCATTTAATCCTCCGGCGTCAGTGACGTAAAATTTACCCATTCTTACCATTTAATCCTCCGGCGTCAGTGACGTAAAATTTACCCATTCTTACCATTTAATCCTCCGGCGTCAGTGACGTAAAATTTACCCATACTTACCATTTAATCCTCCGGCGTTAGTGACGTAAGATTTACCCATACTTTTCATTTAATCCCCCGGCATCAGTGACGTAAAATTTACCCATTCTTACCATTTAATCCTCCGGCGTCAGTGACGTAATATTTACCCATTCTTGCCATTTAATCCTCCGGCGTCAGTGACGTAAATTTACTCATACTTACCATTTAATCCTCCGGCGTTAGTGACGTAACATTCACCCATACTTTCCATTTAATCCCCCGGCATCAGTGACGTAAAATTTATCCATTCTTACCATTTAATCCCCCGGCGTCAGTGACTTATAAAATTTACCCATACTTACCATTTAATCCCCCGGCGTCAGTGACATATAATTTATACCCATATTTACCGTTTAATCCCCCGGCATCAGTGACGTATAATTTACAATGAACGGCTGTTCCTAGACCTAGAGCGGCATTATCTAAATCATACTCCTGGATGAACTGTAATTGTCCAGATGACGGTTTGATATTTATATAAGCATCGTATAATGTCCCACAATCTGTTGAATACGTGATTGAATCACCGTCCGGATCCACGGCAGACATTAGTCCGGGATCACTTGCAAAGTCGGCTGCCTGAGATAGATAGATATATCATTATTATAGTAAAATATAGCTGTGCAAAACTTAGAATTTTCGAAATTATTTTACATAATTACTTAGTGAATTCGTATTGTAAAGTATATAAAAAATATACTTATGCATGTAAAGTTAATAAGACGTTGTTATTTTTTTCGTTGAAGACACGTCCGGGAGATTATACGTAAACCTATGGTAAGTCACTTTTTTTCCTTAACTTTAGGTACTTGAGACTCCTAACATTAATAGAGGAAGATCGATTCATTACATAATAATAGTAAATACCATTTATATCAGATATAAAATGTAGATATTGATATCAATTCGATTTGCATCAATAGATATTAACTTCTTGTTATAATTCTAATTGATCTATGATTTTAAAGATATAAAGTAACTCACAACTCCCTCATCTTGTGAAACCAGCCAATCAGCGTAGATGAAAACAGGTGCTTCATTAACGTTATTAACGGACGCTGTAAACGTTTCACTAACTTGCGTCTTTCCGTCACTCACGTAAATTGTTAGAGTAAAACTTTTTGTAGTGAGAATATCGTAGTTAATACTGTATGTAGAATGAGTTGTTAGCTCACCGCCTGGTTAAATATATGTAAAAAAATATGAAAATGTTATCTAAATTGATTGCATATATTTTCACAAATAAAGTCTTACCAGAATTTCAGCAAATTTGATACATAAAAATGAAATATCTTGCTTACTGTTTCTAAGCAATAGTTTCTGCTACTTTTTTTTCAAAAGATTTTTTCTTCATTATTTTGAATCTTCCTAGGCAAAAACTTACTCTAATTTTTGCATGTATATGAGAAAACTTGAGAATAACACCTATACGAGTATTTGAAAATGTTATAGATTTTGCTAGCAAGTATTTGGTAATTACTCACTTGAGGATAGCTGAAATACATCGTATCCCTCTTGGTCATTTATTGTCATATAGTATGTTAGTGTATCACCACTGTCAGCGTCAGTTGCCGACATCTGGTACAGCGACTTTCCCAGAGCCTCGTTTTCATCTACTGACACGCTCTGACCATTCACGTTTGTAAACACAGGCGCATTATTTACATCTGATATAAACATATATACATACATGTAATTAATACAATGTACCTATTATCCTGATTTCTAAACCACCGTTTAATAATCTCATAAAGTATTGTACCTTTTTCTTAAAAAAGTAGAAAAAAATAGAAAGGTTCCAAATAATAGATTAGAATCAACAATATAATGAAAATATATCTGCAGATACTGTAAATGGATACCAAATATTTGTTTTGTTTAATTTCAATGGGAAAATATATATAACTTCCGTATCTTCAAAGAATAAAGAATGGTTAATTTATGACGGGAAGTGCAATGTAAACGTACTTACTTTTCACATAAACTATCAGGTTTTCCGCTGTAATTGCCGGAGGTCGTGAGTCCAAGGCTTGTATAGATATTGTGAAAGGTCCTAGAGGAGAAGTATGTCTTAGCATATCATCATTAGCTAGAACTTCTCCCGCTATAGAAATAACAAAAGTTTTACAGTGATAAATAACATATACAATGTAAATATAGCTGACCGGCTATTATCGAAGACGAAACATCAAACAAGCCCCGCCCCGCCAAAAAAAATTATAAAAAAACCCAAAAAACGAAAATAAAACAATACAGATTAATGGTAGAGCCTCAAATACTAGTAACATTTTATTGAATTAGAATATGCAAACATTAAACCATGATAAACAATATCACTAATAAAAAACTGTACAAAGTTTCGGAATCCCAAACATCGTTAATAACTTCAAGATATATACAAACAGTAAATATATCATTTATAAACAGGGTAAACTACATATAATATTTCTATTCACATTATTCGTGGTTCGTTAAGAAGCTAGATATCGTATTTGTACCGTGAATTGCATTTTAAAACTTTTCTAGTATGTTTGGTAGAATAACTTACAATCTAATATAGTGAAAGGACACGAAGGGGTACATGACGTCACAGTTAATGTTCTCTGGTCAGTATCACCGTCCCTGTCAGTGGTTGATATAGTCAGTAACACATTACCGGCAACTAATGTGGTAGCGTCCACTTCTACCATGTCTTTTAAGATAAAAACACACATTATAGATAGCTATGTTAACATAAGAACTAAAATGATATTTACAATGAAAATACGGAAATTTAAAATACACATTTTACTTTATCAATATTTCATTTATAAGTTTATGATAAACATGTATAATTTAGTAGGGGAACTCGTTGAATAAGATGGTTTTGGTCTAAATCTTAACAACATATAAACTATTGTGAAAACTTAATTGTTCACTAGATAAACGAAATCATATCATACTTGGTAGGTTTGCGAAGATTGGTTCCTGGTTTCTTATAACATTAACCCAGAATGAGCCGGTTACTGTAGTACCATATGTGTCCGTACATTCTATTGTAAGGTCGTAGGTACTGGTGGTATCATAGTCTAACTTTGGATCCTCTATCAGATATATACCAGCTTCTAAAATATCAAAATATCTCTTATACCAGTTTCTAAATTATCATGTATAACTATATACCATGCTCTAAAATATGAAAAAACCTCTAAAAGCTTTCTAATACATACTAGCCTCTTTAAATAATTATAAAATACACAAAATTCTGTTATATATATCGTATAATTATGTCACTTTCAGATATGTTCAAAGCTTCTAAAATAACCCAAATTTTGTATTTTATATATAGTATAATTAAATCACTGTCAGCCTTAAAGTATCATAATATACTGGTCTTTCAAATATAAAAATATATGTGTCAAATATCATGCAGCCTATAAATTATCAAGTATCTGATATTTGTTTCTTTGACTTTGTGTAACAATAACAAAATTACGTGAGCTTCCAGGAGTAGTTGAGATCATTTTAACAATGAAAGGTTTTTCCCCGGCTCCTGTTCCTATAGTCCAGTCATTTTCCTTACACCACATGCCCTGGTTAGCCGGATCTGACATTGTCACTGTGTATAACAGTGCCTCATCTAGGTCATCCTCGTGTACCGTGGCAAACCCAGGTAAATTGTCTATAGATGGAGCCTTTAATGTTTATATAAAATAGTAGAAATGTAATAGAAAACATTACAAATGTAATTATATACATTACATTAGTCTTCAAACTAAAACCTTGTTATTGTTGTTGTTTTTGTTGTTTCTTTTTTCTAAATATGTTACTAACGTTGTTTCATTGTCATATTCTACTTATAAAAGTGAAACTTTTATTTTCTGAACATTTGTTTAGATACAGTAGAAGATTATATGTAATTGATAATCAAAACAAATATATAATATTCATAATCGTATATTCATAATGAAACAAATAGTAAATGACACAGTATTATACGAACTTAAATTGTAGGCAGAATGGGTGAATTGAGACATGTATGTATAGAAATACTACTTATATAACTTACACTGTCAGTGACAGAAACAGTTAATGTTGCTGTAGCAGTTTGTCCACAGTGACCTTCTTCAATACGAAACACGGGGTGATATGTTCCTGGTACAAGACTCTCTTTTGTCTTTATCAAATTCGGGGTAGCTGAAAGTATGTTACAATGTATTAATATTTTTGATGTCATGTTGACATGAAGGCTATAATTCCTTTATACAACACTTGCTGACTTATTATTAATAAGTTTGTGAAAATGCTAAATATACTCTCGGAATGTCCTGTTGCCTTTAGAATTGTTGGTAAAGTTGTTTATGTCAGTTTATACAGCAAGTGAATTTTAGAAAAAAATAAGCTGTCATGAGATATTATTATATGTAAGATTTCACTGATTCACACCTAAGTGGCCTAGAACTCGATCACCAACCAAACAAATAAAATGATAGATATGTGGTATGTAGATACATAAATAGAAATTATCAAACAAATAATTTATGATAAGGGTAAAATTAACCTCCTGTTGTGAGTTCAAACATGTCACTCCAGGCTGGTGATATTGACACAGTCAGGTCGGCAACATCATCTGGGTTTATATCGTTATATGACAACGTCATCAGTGTAACTCCACTTACAGCAACATCTATGTCCGCATAGCTTAATGTAGCTGGTAGATTCTTGAAATACGGATGTGTGGCTGATAATAAACTAAACTCATGTAATATCTAACATAAAATATATATAACATGTAATAACTAACATAAAATATATATAACATGCAATAACTATCATAAAAATAAATATAATATGTAATAACAATTATTTTATATTAAATATGTAATTCAGAGACAGTATTTTCAATGACTTCTATAAATTGATATAAGTTACACAGATAGATGGGTACATTCCTATGATACGATATTTCTTTTTTAGTTTTTACATGTGTAATGTTATTTTACATTCTTACCGAGAAAAGACATTAAAATGTTTCATATTCAGGTGCTTTGGAAATAGACACGTACAATTTTTATAATATCTGAAAATGTTCTATAGAAAATAATTAAAAAGAAAAAACAAACTGTGATGGTTTTATAAGATTATTAAATAAATACAGTTATAAATTATTGAACATATAGAATTTCTTACATTCTCTTGCTTCAATCTGAATTTTGTATTCGTTATCCTCGTCAATGTCCCCAGAGTACCAATTATGTGTGTCGCCAACAGACGACGCTGATACGCTCGTAGATGTCCAGCTTAAAAGTTTGTCTGCATTAGTGACTTTGTTTATGACATTACCAGTCCTGTAATAATATATAATGTATAATGTAAAGTAGAAGTAACTTTTTTGTCTATATTTATTATTTCATTTAATACTGGGAAGACATTAAAATAGGCTACTTATTTAACCTCGTATAAAAATAGAATGAGTTCAAAACACAACTAAGTACAAACTTATTCCATGGTGAAAATTAAGCCATATTCTCAATATGTTACAATATCGTAACATTGTTCAAAACTTTCTTAAATATAACATTTGTAACCACTGAAATAGTTTCACAAGAAATTGATATACTAAATGACTGAAACTACAACGGCGTAGTGACTGGTCAATGTTATTTACTTATAATCATGTTGTCTATTTTGAAATATAAACGTGAATACATTTCTGTTATGTTATAGTTATTATTTAGATAACTACTGTACAAAAACAAAGATATTTGTGTATTATTTTGGCCTTTATAAACCCGACAGAGCACTTCTCTTCCTACCCTTAACGAGCCAAACCAGCTAAACATACTTGTAATCTGACCTGACTCTAAAATATAGAACTGTTTGAAATAAAAGCTGGATAAAACCGCGACACAAATATAACAGGTTAAAGAAAATGATAACTTAAATTAACATAAAACAATTTCTCACCATCCGAAAACATCTCCTTCACGAAATGACACACGTTTATCATCGTCTGGCGTGAATGAAGTACCTGAAACTGAAAACATGTCTTCCACAATAATGACCGTTCAACGTTAACAATCTGTGCATCTTGAATAAAATTATTAAATGAAAAAATCTTCATTAAAATACTATTAACTTGAGATTTTTCAATTTTTACCATCATTAACAAGTTGTTTAAGATTTTGGTGAATCAGATCAACATTAGATGAAACTTACGGGTATAATCCTGCGTGCTCACAAGTTCAAAATTTGTATTAGCATTTTGTCTCCAGATTTGAAGTGTGAAGGCACCACCAGTGCCTCTGAAGGTGATTTTGTTGATGACACCACAACAGTCAATATGATAATCAGGGTCCTGCATCAAGTATGACGTGGCTACAAGAACAGACGACAACATACAATAATTATTACTTTACAAATTAATCAATAACTTTCATAAGTATATAGATAGATAGCTGCCTAAACACTAGAAAAAAAACCCGACTGCCTTCTTACGTAGAACATAATAAATAATACAATTAGAGATAAAAAAAAATAATACCCGGCCTTTCAACACAGTAACAGTTATTATATATTCAAGACCTTACCAGGGGTTTGGGTGAACCTTTATTCCTTCTATTTAAAGATTCACACTTAACGAGAAGCGAATAAAAGGACAATAGATAAAAATCAAAAAGAAAAACGCGGAAACTTTAAGAAATGTAAAATAACACACCGTGCAAATGTTGATTTGCGTGTTTAATGCAATATGTTTCTAAGTTCTGTACTGTATAGTTCTACACATGCATATTTTGACATATTTATGAAACTTAATTAAGGTTGTATAACATAACTAATTCATGTGACAGTGTTTTAACTCTCTTGAAGATTACTAGAATGCATATGGATACTCCCCGCTATAAAGAAACTAGAACATTAAATGTACAATGACAAACCTGAGCCTGCCGCACCACCAGTGGCAATAGGCGTGCTGGATCCGAACGTGTTTGTGGTACAATGTTTAATACCTGAAACAATTACAAATTTAAAATGACTGAAATAAAGTAACTGTAAAAATCGTAAATCTTTTACAGCAAGTGATCCAATCGTTCGTAATTATAAAACCTACTTAAGTTAATTGAACAGGATTCGTAAGATCTGCTTTAGTATAGACACTATCCGTATTTAACCATGTATTGGCAACGATCAGTATGGCATCTATTCAAGATACCTATACTTTGCAACTGTGCGCATGATACCTAGTCAAGTAATGAGCTCGATCAGTAAGGACGCTTATGATAATAATTATATATATAAAATAATAATAATAATAATAATAATAATAATAATAATAATAATATAATCATAATAATAATAATATTAAGAAGAAGAAGAAGAAGGAGAACAACAATAATAATAATAATATTAATAATAATAATAATAATAATATTAATAATAATAATAATTGTGTCACTAGCCGTGAGCTATATACGTTGGGACAGAACAATTTTCTTGTTTACATATCTTACCTAAGTATTTGTTGTCAACTTACAATTATAGCTCATCGTAAGCTCATTTAAACATATAACTACGCATTCTTTTCTCTCTCCCTTAAATTCTAACTTGATATATAGATTATTTTATAAAACCATGTCTATAAATCAAAATTTAATGATATTATAGTATACATACCTGCCCTCTCAAATGAAGCTGGACGAAAAAATAAACAAATAATCCAAATGATAAGTTTCATGTTGTTATTTCTTATATTATCACCACGAGCTTGTCATATTTTCCTTTTAGTTCCATTTAAGTATTCTTCAAGATCTATAATTTCGTGTATTTGTTTTCATAAAATCATAGAGCATAGAACAAAAATAAAAAGGTTAAAACAAAAGAACTTTCATGGATCAATGATATATTTTTAAACAATAGGTAAGTCATGACGAGTATGTATATTACGTATATACACGTACAAAACTAAACAATTTTAAAAATCAATATTTCAATTCTTTAATATGTATATATTTATCTTCTTTTATGAAGACACTTGTAATATCTTTTACAATGAAATCATAGTTTCTTTTGTATAACTGTAGAGATTTTCTTCTATATAATTCATTACAGACTAACCACTTTTTCAAGTTTTAGAAACGATTAAATTTGAGTTTTATGTTTTCTAGGATTAAACTTTTATTTGTATTTATCATTTATACTGTATCTGTTATTGTAGGGATTTCAAATTAGTACTGTTCACTATAATTGTATGGATTTCAAATTATAACTTTAAATTTTCTCGCTAAGATTGCTATTTAGAAATGGTTTTATCATTGAAGGTATTTCAAATAAGTTCTGTTAACTATAATTGAAGGGATCTAAAATTGGAAATTTAAATTTTCTCTAACAATTTCTATTTAGAAATGCAACTATTATTGAAGGGATTTCAAATTAGTACTACTCACTATTATTGTAGGGATTTTGATTTAGATAGAACTGTTAAAAAGATCTCAACTAAAGAATGTTTTATGGATTAATGGACATCCAGTTAAGATAAAATTATTGTTTACGTATATATTTAAACAGTACTTTTTTGTTTTTACTATATTTGAAAGAAATCGTGTCCCATTTTATAACTTAACACTTTATCGTACTGATTTTTGTTATATCAAATTTTCATAAATATTTTATAAATTTTCCCCCTAACAATGGGGCAACAAAACATGATACAATAATAAACCTTATGTTATCATCTCCGTTCTCGTGTTTCAAAACAAAAAACGGAGATGTTTTAGGCAACAAGGTGTTAAGTTACTACATGTATGTAATGAGAGAGATTTCAAAATCAGCCAGCAGGAAAAGTCTGATCAATGCTAGTAATACAGTTCTGTAATGACATAAGTTTAGTTAAACATCAAAACCTTCCAAAACTGAGATTTCTTAATAAGCTATAGGTCTAGTATTTTGTGCTTTAAACAACTAGTGTATTTAGAATAAAATTATGTTACTGTATTGAAATATAGATACACTTGTCTTGATAGCACAGTATACAGTATTTATATTTATATACAAATATGACCTTATTTCTCTAATCTAGGTTATATCGTTAACTTTTTAAATCAGTCGAGTATAACAAATATTTTCATCCATTAAATATCTCCGTGTACCCGTATTTAGCTGATTCATGGTGTACGTAAATATAGAACATTATAATGTTTACATAAAACACGACACATATATCGTCTTATGTAAAACGATAGAAAGTTTGGACGAACGTATTTTCTCTATTTTCTGTTTTAGATACTCGAAATTAAAATATATAAATATACCAAACATGGACTATAAAGAATGGAGTTTTGTTGTACTTATTATTTTGGAAGGTAATTAAAAGGTTTATTAAACGTATAAATTTATCTTTTAAATTGTTTCTTTAATGGTTACTCAAGATTTTAACTTCCGTTTACATTTGTTATTTTTGTAACATTGACTATTGGTCGTTGAAAATGAACAACTAAACTAGCCTTAGACAAGAGATACATGGTCATTGTATTGTTTGAGTTTAAACTAGCCTTATATAAGGGTTACATGATTATTTTATTGTTGGAGTATAAAGAAGCCTTGTATGAGGGTTACATGGTTAGTGTATTGTTTGAGTATAAATACCCTTGTATGAGGGTTACATGGTTAGTGTATTGTTTGAGTATAAACTAGCCTTATATAACGGTTACATGGTTATTTTATTGTTGGAGTATAAAGAAGCCTTGTATGAGGGTTACATGGTTAGTGTATTGTTTGAGTATAAATACCCTTGTATGAGGGTTACATGGTTAGTGTATTGTTTGAGTATAAACTAGCCTTATATAACGGTTACATGGTTATTTTATTGTTGGAGTATAAAGAAGCCTTGTATGAGGGTTACATGGTTAGTGTATTGTTTGAGTATAAACTAGCCTTATATAAGGGTTACATGGTCATTGTATTGTTGGAGTATAAAGAAGCCTTGTATGAGGGTTACATGATTATTGTATTGTTGGAGTATAAATACCCTTGTATGAGGGCTACATGGTTATTGTATTGTTTGAGTATAAACCAGCCTTGTATGAGGATACATGGTCATTGTATTGGTAGAGTAAAAACTAGCCTTGTATGAGGGTAACATGGTCATTGTATTGTTGGAGTATAAAGAAGCCTTGTATGAGGGTTACATGATTATTGTATTGTTGGAGTATAAATACCCTTGTATGAGGGCTACATGGTTAGTGTATTGTTTGAGTATAAACCAGCCTTGTATGAGGATACATGGTCATTGTATTGTTGAAGTATAAACAAGCCTTGTATGAGGGTTATATGGTCATTGCTTTGTCGGAGTATAAACAAGCCTTGTCTGAGGGTTATATGGTCATTGCTTTGTTGGAGTATAAACAAGCCTTGTCTGAGGGTTATATGGTCATTGCTTTGTCGGAGTATAAACAAGCTTTGTCTGAGGGTTATATAGTCATTGCTTTGTCGGAGTGTAAACAAGCCTTGTATGAGGGTTATATGGTCATTGCTCTGTCGGAGTGTAAACAAGCCTTGTATGAGGGTTATATGGTCATTGCTTTGTCGGAGTGTAAACAAGCCTTGTATGAGGGTTATATGGTCATTGCTTTGTCGGAGTGTAAACAAGCCTTGTCTGAGGGTTATATGGTCATTGCTTTGTCGGAGTGTAAACAAGCCTTGTCTGAGGGTTATATGGTCATTGCTTATTCGGAGTGTAAACAAGCCTTGTATGAGGGTTATATGGTCATTGAATTGTTGAAACATAAGCTAGCCTTGTATGATCATTGTATTGTTTGTGTTTTACTTTTAGGATAGTTACCATACTTTCTTTTTTTTTACATTAAACTATTAATTTTAAAAAAGTCAAAAGGCTTTGCCAGTGCACCTACTTTCAACAAACATAAAACTTTCACTTTCTACATTATTAAAACTATAACAGAAACTATAATAATAGTTACTTTAACCACAATAAGACTTTAACCTTTTATAATATTAAACAATAAATATAGTTACTTTTACCACAATAAAACTTTAACCTTTTATAATATTAAACAATAAATATAGTTGATTTTACCACATTAAGACTTTAACTTTTTATTATACTAAAATGTTACAATTATTACTTTTATCACACTTAAGATTATCACATTATACAATATTAAATTATTATTTTAGAGTTTGTTGGGATTGTTGCGGGAACCACTTGCAGTTACATTTCATCTACAGGTGTCAGAAAATACACATTCTGTATGCAAAAATGTTGTGAACGCGGAAATAAAAGTTATTCTAACGTGTGCTGCACGTAAGTTTCTTCATTTCAAGTTGATTATATTTCTACAAATGTATATAAACTAAACATTATTTGAAATATGAACGGAAATCTGAATATTATATAAGTTACTTAGTAACACTTTTATACGATTCCTTAGTTACTCTTTGGTCAGTCAGGTATGTAAATTACTGATTCCATCAGAGGTTTTTATCTCTTAACATATCTTGAAGTGATATTATACGTATATTTTACTTGTTTGATAAGGTATGAAAAAACTATGAGTACTTTGAATTTAGATTATCATCTTGTAAATCAAACAATATCATAAAATAATCGCACGAGTTGCTGATATTCCTTCATGTCAAGATATAAGAATGTCCATGATCAAAATGTTTCCAAAAATGTTATTTTGACATTGAAACATTTTTTAATTTAATATTTATCTCGTTAATGTAGAAAGAATGAGTGTATTCAATCAGTTACAGTATGTGACACCCTGTGAACGGTTATCTATAATAAAGCTGTTATTTTGTATAATATACTATGTTATATCAATATTATAAATAAACGCTATACTGGGGTTTATATACGTATATACCATGTATTGTTAGGTACATTGACTTATTGTGAAAAAGACCCCAGGTTTTATACATCTAGATATCTAACGTTTATATTGATATATTAGACATAAACTATAATGTATTGTATATTTCAGATATGACGGTGAGAATCAAGTATATTTGGGAGCTGGCATGGCAACACTTATTGTTATATCTGTATTTGTAATCTGTTTTGTATATGTTTGTTGTAAAAATCGTATACAGAGGTTACATACTCGTGTTAGAACACGGTCACAATCTGGAACACCAAATCAACCTGAAACAACAATACCAAGTAATTTCTATTTCATAAATTCCTATCATTTTCTAAATATCACTCGCACATGAAACGAATGAAGGTATATCAACTGTTCTAATTGATATGTACCAACAGATATATTTTACATTTGTTATTTTTCGTACGACATTTACATCAAAGTAAAGATAGAGTCACACATAAACGACCCGGGGTTATTTGATATGTGTCTAGCTATAAAACACATACGTTTAAATTTTTTTTCGACCATAGTGAAGAATTTGTTACAGGATTTTACCATATGTTTTGTACTGACATTATACAGTGTTTTATAGGTAAAAACTTGCCTCTCATTAACATGTTCGTTCGTCCGTCAAGGACAAGCAATCTTAAATTACTATATGTAGTAACAGAACATTTGATATCTAACAAATATTTGTAATAAAGATATAACATAATGTCCTATACATTTTATTGTTGATACAAAGGACCTTTCCTGTGTACAATTTTACTTGCAGGCTTACCAATTGCTACTTGTTATGACAAAGAATAGAATAGATGGGGCTTAATTACTTTAATGACTGCTATAACCTGGGAGACATTTTTTTTCTAATTAGAATGTAAACATCAGAAGAAGATATAAAAAGAAAGAAAATAATATCTATATTAAAGCAATATTCAAAAACTGTACATATTGAACAATAAATACAACATATGTAATAATGTATAACATATGTATAGTATGTTTACACCATTGATGATCAGTTTATATTTTACCATAACCTTACTTTATTTCAGCTGTCAGTTTGCAAGTGGAACCCTTACAGCCACCGGCCTATGAAGCTTTACCACCACCTTACTATAGTGTTGCACCAGGAACCAGTGATAAAAAATACGAGTTTTCTTCTTTACATAACGAACCTCCACCCGCGTATACACCATAACATTTCGTGTGAATATTAAACCATAACCTGAGATATTTCCATGTCTTTTCAACTGTAACGCACGTGATCACGTGATAAGAAATCTTGCACTAAAAAACAACGTAATTTATCGTTTTGAGGTTTAAGTTTTTTTATGAACTTTTCGCCATGTCGACATTAACCAACAAACTTTTTACATCGTTCTTTCTTTTTATTTAAATATATCTTCCGGTTATTTTGTTTTAAGAATAATCGGTATGCTTGTTTTTCTTTCAATTGACGGAGAAGTTTAATTGTTTATATAAATTTGTTAAAATTATGTATACATGTATATTTATTTGTAATAAACATTATAATATGTTACTCTCTTCGTTTGTATGCGATCCTATAGTTAAATTAGAACATCTGAATTTTCTTCCCTTTTGTTGAATAAGGTCTACCCTCAATCAGGGCTAGAATTTGCGACCCTTTAGTTGAATTAGAACTCGAACTTGCAAACATTTATTTGCGTTAAGGTTTGAGCCCATATTCCTCAATTTGTTCATATGTGCGACACTATAGTTGACTTATGGCCCAAACGTGCATTCACTTGGTGGAATGAGGGTTTACATATTATTTGACCCTCAATCTTGATATTGAATGTGTACGACTTAAATTTCTTAAGCATCAATTAAAATTTAAAAAAACAAAACAAAAAAGAAACAAACATATTTATGATACATGGAGAAACTGCATGTATACCGCTATCTTTGAATTACCAAATAAATCATCTGCAATCGTTTTCAGAAATGTAAAAAATTGCTTAAATTTTGGACAAGAAATTATCATTGGATTTATCATATTAATGACATTAACATTATTCGTTTACTAAAATGTGGAATGATAGAGATATATATGTCGTATATGGACGAACCATCACTTCAGAAACAGAATATGCCTTAAACTACGCAATGATAAATAAATAAAGATTTGTTTCTGAACGAATGATATGACTCTATGAGATAGTAAATTTATTTTACAATAGGAAAATTATTTTACAATTTTCTATTTTAACCTTCCAAATAATTTCCATCTACAGAAATACAAAGTTTCATATGTTTAATCCAATATAATAGTACTCTTTAGTTAAACCTTCCAAAAACTAGCTTAAAATGGCCAATCTTAAGACCATTTTTGTATTTTCTGATCGCAAGATCAGATAAATACATAGCTTACATCCACGGTCTAACACAAAATTTCCTAACAGTTCTAACAACGCAAAGTAGTTCTCACTCAAAACTGCTTAAAAACCAGCAATTTAAAAGAAAGAACAATTTTTTGTTACAAGTGTCCAACAAATTACTACACATTCAAACTTTAAAAGTAGCGTTGGATTATAGAATTGTCAATAAATGCACACTCACAAATTACGCGGATGAATATGATTTTAATCAATGAAAAAGCTATTTTTAGCGAATACTACACAAATTAATCTGACTGCCGAGTAGTTGAATATATAGTTTCTACATGTTGGACTGTTTGGGCGAGAAGATTTTTTTGCTAAATTATTTACTTCAATTTTAAACAACAGGTTTACCCTGAACAAAATACCTCGAAATTACCTTAACCCGAAATCTGGGACATACGATACGTTATCGTATATCCCAGCCGAAATGCAATGAAAATTTTAAATTTAGAATGACTTGATTTTATTCAGCCACTGATTTTATAACTTCTCCATGGTGCAGGGGTAACGCGCTCGTTTAATGCGTGAGAGGTCTGGAGTTCAAATCCCAGTCGAGTGAACATTTTTTTAAATTCTTTTTTTAGTGTCTTTGTTAAGGAAATAGCCACGATATGCAAAGATAAAGTGTGGCTAACATAAAAAAATGAACATAAATGATTTTTTAGCAACGGATATACATGTATACAATCATTTATAATCCATATGTGTAATGCATGATCAACACCACACTTGTGTAATTGTCCCTTATTATGTTATCGCTATTAGCGAAGACCCCCTCTAAAGGTATCTGTTCACACTTACTAACAATATGACACTGGTTACATTACCATGTTGAGCAAAATTGTTTATTATACAATAATTGTAATAAAAAATACAGATTTTATGAATATTGCTTTCTTTTCTTTTTTGTGTTTTATGTGCTATTTTAATACTGAGTTTTTACGTTTACTACTATTTCAATAATTCAATTGTCATATTGACCGACGATTATAAGTAAAAACTTAACTGGAAAAAGTCAGTAAATTATGGTTAAACTTTTAATATATAATATTGTTTATTCTTAAAACATATACATGTACATTTGTATTTTTCTTTATCATTTTTTAAATTATCAATCAATTGAATAATTCATAAAATCTAATTTGTAACTTTGAATAATTCCCCGGCATCTTTACTAAACACGAATAACAAATTAAATAAAATGTTTCAAAGTTGATAGTGTCATATTAATACCATAAAAATGTACCTTTTTTCTCAATTATTGTACATATTTATCGTTTTTATCTCATATAGATAAAATAAAACATGTTATTGTTGTTGTTGGGTTTTTTTTCGAATTGTATGTTTATTTATAATAATAATCAATAAATTTGAGAGTTGATCTGTGTTTATTAATTATTGTAACCAAACTAAGTGACAAACATTCATTTTGAAAAAAACTTATATAACTGTAAATATTTGTTCTGTTCTGTAACGATATCAAACATCTACTCCAAAACCGGGAGAGACCGGACAATAAACGTGTGGTACTATTCGCCGGTCACTAGTAAATTCCGGTCAAAATAGACCAGGAGAGACCGGGAATTACCGATAGGAATACATCCCTCTATAAATAGATTTTCGGAATATATAGGTCACCAACTCATCATTCTATTCAGCTTTCGGATACATGAACCATAATAACCCACTGTGTACTACAAAATGATAAATAAAAATACCCCGAAGAGCGCGATTTATTGACGGAAAAGGTTATTTCATTTGAAAATGTTTGCATTGCGAAATTCTCCAGTTCGCTATTCATTGTATATATCGCGACATTTCATTTTTAATTAATAACAAGTAAAATTGTTTCCTGCGGGGAACGTTTTTAATGATATAAATATATTTCATTTAACTATTTTCAATGGGGGGGGGGGCGAGGATAAATAAACGTTTGTATCAGGAATATAGTTGACAGTAATCGATTAATATAGAAGAAGGTTTTTGGAAACTGGTGACCGTTGATGACCGGAGAAGGTCGAACATAAAACAATTATTTCTTTTTTAAGAAAATAATTAAATAGGCCTACCATTTTATGAATAATTCCGAGCAAAAAAAATAATAAAGTAAACACACAAGTATTAATGATGGCAGATGCCACTACGAATATTTTAATTTTGTAGATTTTCAGTGTTTGTAACATTTTGAGATACATATTAAAGAAACATTGATAATTTTCAAACACATCATTCAAGTTTTTCCACCTTAAACGGTAACATAATTATAGAAAATAAAAAATATCACGTAATAGTTTTTTGTTCTTAATTAGGTGTCTTATTCCCTAGAGGATTATCCGTAACGTACCGGCAAACGGTATTTATCCAGGTTTCCGAAAAGGTCAATTAACCAATCATGTACGGTTTACAGATCACATGCTCCTCCATGTACCGAAAACAGGTCACGTGCTCCTCCATGCCTTAAAAGTTAAACGCGTACCAATACCAGTCTCCAGACCGCAGGACATTTAGAAAAAAAAATTCATTTTTCACATTATTAAAAGAAGTGTCATTTTTATCCACTGTATATAAAAGAAATATCCTTCTCTTTTTCCCCTTTTCTAAATATATGATTAATGTCTTGGAAGTTAGATTACCCACTATATATTTCTCATATTGACGTAACTGCTTCCGGATTGTATATGATATACACATATGTTTAATGATTCCCTGCGGTCCGGAGACCGCAGGATATTGGTACTCGTTTTACTATTGAGGCATGGAGGAGCACGTGACCTGTTTTCGGTGCATGGAGGAGCATGTGATCTGTAAACCGTACACGATTGGTTAATTGACCTTTTCGATAACCTGGCTAAATACTGTTTGTCGTTAGTTTACGGAATTACCTCGAAGGAATTAGTCAGAATTAAACCTAATTAAGAACAAAAACCTATTACGTTATATTTCTAATTTTCTATAATTATTTTACCGTTTAAGGTGGAAAAACTTGAATGATTTATTTGAAAATTATCATTGTTTCTTTTATATGTATCTCAAATTTTACAAACAAGAAATTGTTTATACTGAAAATCTACAAAATTAAAATATTCGTAGTGGCATCTGCCATAATAAATAGAGATATTTTCTGCGTAAACTTGTGTGTTTACTTTATTTTTCTTTTTTTGCTTTTAATTATTCATAATATGGTAGGCCTATTTAATCATTTTCTTAAAAAGAAATAATTGTTTTATGTTCGACCTTCTCCGGTCATCAACGGTCACCAGTTTTGAAAGACCTTCTATATTGATCGATTATTGTCAACTATATTCCCGATATAAACGTTTATTTATTCCCCTCTGCCAAAACGGTGTTGAAAATAGTTAAATGAAATATCTTTATATCATGAAAAATGTTCCCCGCAGGAAACCATTTTTACTTGTACATAAATGTTTTGACTCTATACAAACTTGAGTACTTGATTCTTGAATTTATACAAACTTCACTAAATATTGCAATATTATAGTATTTTATGGAAAAATATTTTATGTATATTAACAACTATTTGAGCATCATTGTACTTTTTACATCAGGAAAAAGAAACAAACTACTACAAATTAGAAATTAGATACAAAGTTCTCTATGACTTTACAAACTTAAAATTGTAATGTTTATACACATTTAAACAGAAAAAATCTGGTACAGTACACCATACAAATAGCGTATTTAAATAAAATGGCTGCAGCCACGTGAACACTAATCTTGTCAGTGACATCAACATCAACAAGTAAGTGCATTAAAACAGGGGAAACTTGTCTTGTAAGTGACATCAACATCAACAAGTAAGTGCATTAAAACAGGGGAGACTTGTCTTGTAAGTGACATCGGCATAACACCAGGCCACTATTATGTGGTAGACTTGTCATTGACATCAGCAAAAATGTCATGGTAGTATCACATGTGGAAACTTTTAAGCGATAAACAGATTTTTTTTTTCAAAATTATCTAATTGTCACCGGGTAGCTCTACTAAATTTACGTTAACAGTTTGTTGCATAACGTCACGGGGTGGGAACTTTTACGCGATAAACTGAATTCTTCTCAAAATTGTTAAATTGTCAAGGAGTTTTTCTTCCCTATTTCGTTATTGTTGCCACACTGTTCGCTATTTTTTGTTATTGAGAAAGTTTAGTAAAAATGTCACTTTTTAAAGTCATTCTGTGACACTTTTAGAGGTATCAACAGAATTCCATGGATAGGACGTTTGCAGTCTTTTATCAAATTTATGCTATGTTATATCTTCAGAAAGAAAACGATTAATACATGGATTACAATGTATGAATAAGAAAACATTTTTTTCTATTTATTTTTTATAAATGATGTTGCTGGCAAATAATACACGTTTACTAGTAACTCTGTCCAGGTTATTGTCGTTCCAGGTACTAGTCGTTAACCTCAATAGGTATCTTTTAGTGTACTAAACAGTGCCCACCCAACTTTGATACTCGAAAAGTACTGAACTGCCCCGAGAAGAAATCTTAACCCATTTCTTCATGAGCATTTTGTGAAAAATGGATGTTTTCATTGAAAAGTCTCCTGTTAAAAGTTCAAATTGCTATAAGACTATAAAAACTGCCTCAATACTAATCAAACTTGGCACAAATGTTAACTGGACCATTGCCTTTGTAACAGCATGCTCAGGCCTAAATTTTCTGTTACCATGGCAACGAGGGGACATCTCAAAATTGACAAAAATCACTATTTTGTGTTGATTTTTTTCTATCAAAATTGATTTCAAAGTGTTGCAACTTCTCAATGGATTGAGATAGAGTCAAATGCTTTTCAGCGTTGGTTACGCGTTACCTTATGATCGATCTGGGGTTAATTTTAGCCTCTCACAAGTCCAAGATTTTCTTGGCGATGAGGAGGACTGCCGCCCCCCTTCAAACCCCCCAAACAGAAGGGGGGCAGACCCCACATCTGGCAACCCCCTGATGTATCTTTTGGTTGTGAGGCCGCGCCGAAAAAGTGGTCACTTTCTTTAGCAACATTTCTGAAACGAAAACATGTGTTTGGGGCCCAAACAGGACATTTTTTCACTATTTGAGGCCTAAAAGAGGGGGGGGGGGGAGTAGAAAGTGCGTTGTTTCGCGTATATATGAGGTAAATGGTTAAAAGGCGCAAAATATCATAAACAGTTTACGTATAACAGCTCTTGATTATTGCAAAGCTTTGGTATTAGAGGGAACCAAAAAGTAAATCCGGGTACTTTAAAGGTAGATTCAAGAGTGTCGGCCGGTGTATACATTTTAATGTTCGTTTTAAACTTCAGCTGCAAATGAAAGATACAGCATTGAGGGTAGAGGTACCAAGTTATACCAGGGACGAAAATGACCTAAATAGAATTAGCGTTTTATAACTTTTGTTGTAGTCTACATTGATATATAATGTACACAAATATAGAACAATTAAATCGATTATACGATATTGTTATATTTGTTACAGTTTTATGCATATTATCGTTGTTTGTTTAACTGCCATCAAACTTGGTTTATTTCGTAAAGTGTGTATACACGCTAATAAAATTTTTATAGTCCTACTTTCCGGGATTTAATGTCAATAAACTTTACCCGGATATCTCACAAAATACAAGTTGAACCCAGATTTTAAAAACGTGTGTAGCTTTCCGTAAAGGATTAAATTTATTTACCTTATATACAAATACAATGGACACAGAGTATAAATGTGTATGATAGTTGTCATCATTACTTTTCAAGGTAAGTTAACTAAAAATCTTGTTTAAAATTCGTCTTTGGAAATAGTATGATTAAAGATTTATGTAACATGTACATGTTTTCATAAGATTTAGAACATGTACGCTTTTATCTAATGTAATGTTTTGAAAAAAATACTATACTGTAATATTAATTAAAGCTTTAATTCCAATAACATGTCAATTTATAAGATAAACATTTTCAGCTCAATATGTATATATCACAATGTTTACAAACATATAACACATGCAGATTTAACTATTTATATACTTAAGTATATCTGACCTACTTTGATAAAAGGTCATCTATATGTAGACAAATTTTAGAGGTTTATACAAGATGTAGGTAATAAACAACAACAAATATAGGGGAAAAGACATAAATAATGATTTATTACAAAATAAACGACTTTTATTAAGTCATTGTTATTTATTATTTTTCTTTAATACTCATAAGTTTTCTTATTCTATTCTTTATCCAATTTTATTATCTTTTAAAAATTAATACCACAAGTGATTTTAAAAAAGTTTTCAATAAACGTGGTCTTCACATTTTATTCATTAGTAAAATCGGAAGTCTTTTAGACACCAAAACTACCATGAAATTTAAAAATTCTGTAGCTCGAAGATGCTTCGAGCACCAGCATGTAATTTGGAAGTTTCCGAAAACATTTGGGTTAGCATTGACTCAGTTCCCAGATTTCTGAAGTTTAACATCGACAAACTATTGATTTTCAGCGCAGGGATGAAACAGGACAAGGGGGTTTGGCGTTTGGTATTTAAATATCAGGAAGGATTTATCCACACACCACACAGTTTGATGATCTCCAAGCATGAAGAAATTTTAGAAAAAGCTACATTGGATTGATATACTTTTCCCAAAAATTTAAAAAACCAAATTTATTTGGTTTTATTTAAAAGACCCCCCTGTGAAACAAAACTTTTATAAAAAAAATTTTAAAACCTCTTTATCCCCCGGCAAGTATTTGGATTTTTTTAAAGTAACCCTTTTTTAGGAGATTTTAAAATACAAATGTGTCTAAATTTAAAAGTCTTTACCCCTTTTTTTAATTTTTTAAGTATTGGAAAATAATTTTAAAATTAAATTTCAATTTTGGGTCTAAAGGAACCTACAAAGTTATTTTTTACAAAGGTTGCAAAAATATTTTGCCCTTTGATTTTGGTGCTAAAATGATAAAAATCGTCGGGTTTGAAATTTTCATCCCTTTCTTTAGTAAATCTAGTTTAATTTTTGGGTACAAAAAAAGTAAAGTTAAAATTTCCTAATTTGTTTTCAAAAACGAATGTCACTTAAGATCCTTTGAAAAAATTTATAAAAACCAAAGATGACTTTCAAGGGGCTTAGCTTCTAGATACTGAACTGGTCTCCTGGGTTTCTACCCAGTGGATAATGCTAAATAATGCCTGGGAATATATTTAAAACAGTTTTACTTTTATCTTGTAATAGACCAATAATAAAGAAAACCCTTGTGAAAACCAGGGCCCAGAAATTTTAAACAAGAGAACAGAACCATGGATTGGGACTCAGACTTTCCTTAGTGAAATTTAATGGTGAAAGGGGATAAAGCTTTTAATAAATATAAATGTGATAGAAACTGGATAAATTATGCATTTCATTTAAGCTCTCAAGAACAAAGTTTCAGATATCTTGTTGCCAAAGCAAAAAGAAATATTTTACTAATACACTGGATGAGAACAAAAAGACTCAACCTCTTTATGGAAAACTGTTAAAAATTCTTGGTTTGCTTGTTTGCGCAGCAAGGGGTTCCCAAGAAGGGTTCATCTTCAACCAGTTCAAATATTTGTTTAAATATTGATGATAATTGTGTGTTTTGAAAAGAAACTTATTGCTGAATCATTTAACAAATTTTTATACAACAGGTTGCATGTAAAACTTGTTGAAAAGTTGCCAGAAAGTATGCATAAATTTGGTACGAAATTTTGTTAATACTTTTTATGCAAACAAGGGTGTTTTTGCAAACAGTTTTTCTTTTTTTCCATTGTTTCTGAAAGTAAAGTTCTTAAATACTTAACTTCATTAGGTGTCAAAAAAAGCTTACTGGCTTAGATGGTATACCCTCACGTTTTATCAGAGATGGCATCCCCATTTATTGCTAGTCCATTAGCTCATTATCATAAACTTATCCCTTATCCAAGGTCAAAGTCCCTGATGACCTTAAATCTGCAAGAGTTGTTCCCCTCTATAAAAAAACGACAAATTGTCTGTTTGGTAATTACCGGCCTGTGTCCATTTTTAAATGTTGTATCTAAAATCCTTGAAAAGGTGGTTTATTGACCAGGTTGAAGCTTATTTTAAGGATAAAGATCTGCTGTATAAATTTCAATCAGGTTTCAGGAGTGGCTTCTCTACTGATACTTGTTCTGATTTCACCTTTACAAGACTTTATCAGGTATGAAAATGATTAAAGGTAATGTTGTTGGTAGGTGCGTGCTGCTGGATTTGCAGAAAGGCGTTTGACACAGTCGACCATTCCATTCTTTTAATGAAACTTGCAAGCATCAGGTCTTAGTATTGACGTCCTAAATTTGGTTCAAATCATATTTATCAGATAGACAGCAGCTTGTAGATGTCTCTGGTACTTATTCTTCCAATTCCAAAATAACATGTGGTGTTCCTCAGGGCTCAATCTTGGACCCCACCTTCTCTTTTTAATTTATGTGAATGATATGTCAGCTGTTCGGTCAAAAATAAATTGCTTTTGTATGCTGATGATTCTGGTATCCTTGTATCTGGTAAAAGTTTATCTGTTGTTGAAAAGGCATTGACAGATGATATGGAAATTGGTCAGCCCAATGGTTAGTGGACAATAAGTTGTCATTGCATTTGGGTAAAACCGAGTCAATTTTATTTGGGTCCAGGCAAAAAAACTTAGGTCACAATCTAACCTGCATATAACCTGTTCTGGTACATCCATTGAATCAACTTCATCTATCAAGTATCTTGGGATTACTATAGACCAAAATCTGTCATTTTGCGCCATGGCCGAGTCTGTTCTTTTAAGAAGGCCAACTCTCGGTTAAAATTTCTTTACCACAAGAAAGAGTTTCTTACTCAGCATACCAAGAAACTTCTGGTTATGTCTCTTATTCAGTGTCACTATGATTACGCATGCTCTGTTTGGTATAATAGCTTGACACAGTCTTTAAAAAATAAGTTACAAACTTGTCAAAACAAAATAATGAGATTTGTACTTGACTTGGACTCTAGAGCCCACATTGACCCATCCCACTTTAAGTCCCTTAACTGGTTACCGGTCCACAAAAGAGTTGAACAGATAATGTTGTGTCATGTTTTTAAGATAAAAAAATGGCCTATCTCCGGATTACATGTCTGAACACTTTATTTCACAAAGATTCCATTCAATAATTATAGTACAAGACTTAGTCAAAAGGGAGGATATTGTCTACCTAAGGTCAAACGGCCAGGGTTCTAAATCATTTGCTTTCTCTGGTATTAAATAATGGGAATGATTTACCTGTAAAGTTAACGGAGATGAACAGGTTACAAAATTTTAAGGTTGCCATCAAAAGTCATCTTATGAACAGTATTTAAATTTTTTTTTTAAACATGTTTTTACATATTTCGGCTCAGGATTTTAAATTGTCTGCCATTTATCTTATTACAATTTTAGTAATGTGTTTTAAAATCCTAGCTGTAAACAGGAGTATCATTAACTCAAGATTTGACTGTGATATACATTTTTATGATTTATTAGTATTCTTAAACATGATTATTGCCTCTCTATGTCATGCCGCCAATACAAAGGACCACAATGGAAATAAGAGCTTTTTTGCCCTTTTTTGTGTTATCCTTGGTTTTGGTGAGCATGTCATAGTTTTACTCGTATGTGATATAGTATTTAATAATGCTCATTATTTTATCCTATGTTATATTGTCAACTATGTATATGCTTCCTTTGCCGAAATAAATCTATCTATCTATCTACATACATGCACAATGATGGATAGAACTTAATAATGATACAAATCATTACTTGGACATAGTAAAATATAAACAAAAATCTATTAAAGGCACTTGGTTTCGGGGAAAAATTCATATTGATCTGAAAGCATGTTAATTTTAGGTGCATTTTCTCAGAAACTATAAAATGTATTTCTTCAAACTTTGTGTACATGTTTATTGTAACGAAAGAACGCAATTTCAGTAGAGCAGATTATCCTAAAATTATTTTGTTAAGGTTATGCTCCCTTTACAACTTCGATTATTTTTTGCCATTATTAACCTCTTTGTTAATGTCAAATCCTCAGAAACTATAAAAAAAGTTAGATCTATTCACTTCAAATTAAATACACATATTAACTATCAACATTTTGAAGATACAGCAGATAATCATATAATTCATTTGTGTGATAAAGTTTCGTAATTTTGTAAATTTACACACAAGTTATTTTTTGCCTTCCTTTCAATTTAAATATCATTATTTCTCTATACTTTTATAAAAGTTATTCATTGTGGCTTTTATTATGCTTTTATATTCTTAATAGTTTATAAAAGTTATTCCACAATGAATAACTTTCTTACCCAGCTTCCTCGTAGACGCTGAACGTGTGACGTCATCTTAATTATTTTTAAGGCAAAAAGAAAAAGAAAAGGTGTTTTGCGTTTAAATGCTATAAATCACATATGTGACTAAGAAGATAGGTACATTTTTAACTTGCACTATGCACTCGTAAAATATGCAATTCTCTCACTTCTCAGAGTAAATATAGTATGAACAAATATCCTCAATATATTGTACAACTAGCTACCTTGTTAAATTTAGGCTTGCTATATTGACATTGCTTTTAGTGGGAGTAATGGAAACATGTCGAATATTGTAGGACTAATAGTTACCTTGTTATATTTATGATTGTTTCAGTGAGAATGAAGGAAACATCTCGTGTATTACACCACTACTAACAAACTTGACCCATTAATGTTATTTATATTATCATTGTTTCAGTGAGAATGAAGGAAACATCTCGTGTATTACACCACTATTAACAAACTTGACCCATTAATGTTATTTATATTAACTTTTTTTCAGTGAGAATGAAGGAAGAATGTCGTTTATTATACCGTTACTAGTTACCTTGTTCTGCTTGGTTATTGTCGGCCTTTGTGTCATATATATCCGCTGCAAACAAAAGATACTTCAACAATCAAGAGCATTTGATGCACGTCAACATAGAAATACAAGACTATGTCAAACGTCGCCTTCCAGACACACAATTGTGACTAGTTAGTATTTTCATAAGGTCATAAAGCTCGTTTATCTTTAAGTGAATAATGCATCATTATATTTCTAACTTTTCATCACTGTACCTCACTTACATCAATCGATCACTGTACATGACTTACATCAACAGATCCCTGTATGTGACTTACATCAATAGACCACTGTACGTGACTTACATCAATAGATCCCTGTATGTGACTTACATCAATAGATCCCTGTATGTGACTTACATCAATAGATTACTATACGTGACTTATATCAATAGACCCATGTACGTGACTTACATCAAAAAATCACTGTACGTGACTTATATCAATAGATCCCTGTACGTGACTTATATCAATAGATCACTGTACGTGACTTACATCATTAAATCACTGTATGTGACTTATATCAATAGATCACTGTACGTGACTTATATCAATAGATCACTGTACGTGACTTACATCATTAGATCACTGTACGTGATTTATATCAATAGATCACTGTACGTGACTTATATCAATAGATCCCTGTATGTGACTTATATCAATAGATCCCTGTACGTGACTTATATCAATAGATCACTGTACGTGACTTATATCAATAGATCCCTGTACGTGACTTATATCAATAGATCACTGTACGTGACTTACATCAATAGAATTAGATCACTGTACGTGACTTATATCAATAGATCCCTGTACGTGACTTATATCAATAGATCACTATACCTGACTTATTTCAATAGATCACTGTACGTGACTTATATCAATAGATCCCTGTATGTGACTAACATCAATAGATTACTATACGTGACTTATATCAATAGATCACTGTACGTGACTAACATCAAAAGATCACTATACGTGAAGTTTATTAACAGATCCCTGAACGTGGTTTATATCAATAGATCAATGTACATGACTTATATCAATCGATCACTGTACGTGACTTATATAAATAGATCACTGTACGTGACTTACATCAATAGATACCTGTGCGTGGCTTATGACAATAGATTCCTGTACATCACTTACACCAATAGATCACTGTACGTGACTTATATGAATAGATCCCTGTACGTGACTTACATCAATAGATCACTGTACATGACTTACATAAACGATCACTGTACGTGTCTTATATCAATAAATTCCTGCGATGACTTACATAAATAGATCCCTATATGTGACGTACATCAATAGATCACTGTACGTGACTTACATCAATAGATCACTATACGTGACTTATATCAATAGACCACTGTACAAGACTTACATCAAAAGATCAATGTACGTGACTTATATCAATAGATCACTATACGTGACTTACATCAATAGATCACTGTACGTGACTTACATAAATAGATCACTGTACGTGACTTACATCAAAAGATCACTGTACGTGACTTATATCAATAGACTCATGTACGTGACTAACATCAAAAGATCACTGTACGTGACTTATATCAATAGATCACTATGCGTGACTTACATCAATAGATCACTGTACGTGACTTACATAAATAGATCACTGTACGTGACTTATATCAATAGACTCATGTACGTGATTAACATCAAAAGATCACTGTACGTGACTTATATCAATAGATCACTATACGTGACTTACATCAATAGATCACTGTACGTGACTTACATCAAAAGATCACTGTACGTGACTTTAATAAACAGATCCCTAAACGTGGTTTATATCAATAGACCACTGTACATGACTTACATCAATAGATCACTGTACTTGACTTACATAAATAGATCACTGTACTTGACTTACATAAATAGATCACTGTACTTGACTTACATCAATAGATCACTGTATGTGACTTTCATCAATACATCATTGTATGTGATCTACATCAATAGATCACTGTACGTGACTTACATCAATAGATCACTGTATGTGACTCATATCAATAGATCACTATACGTGACTTATATAGATAGATCAATGTACGTGACTTATATTAATAGATCCCTGTTCATGACTTACATCAATAGATCACTTTACGTGACTTACATAAATAGATCACTGTATATGACTTACTTCAATAGATCACTGTACATGACTTACATCAATAGATCCCTGTACATGACATATATCAAGAGATTACTGTACGTGACTTGTATCAATAGATCCCTGTTCATGACTTATATCAATAGATCACTATACGTGACTGATATCAATAGACCACTGTACAAGACTTACATCAAAAATCAATGTACGTGACTTACATCAATAGATCACTATACGTGACTTATATCAATAGATCACTTTACGTGACATACATCAATAGATCACTATACGTGACTTACATCAATAGATCACTGTACGTGACTTACACCAATAGATCACTATACGTAACTTTAATAAACAGATCCCTAAACGTGGTTTATATCAATAGACCACTGTACATGACTTACATCAATAGATCACTGTACGTCACTTATATCAATAGATCACTGTATGTGACTTACATCAATAGATCACTGTACTTGACTTACATCAATAGATCACTGTACGTGACTTATATTAATAGATCCCTGTTCATGACTTTCATCAATAGATCACTTTACGTGACTTACATAAATAGATCACTGTATATGACTTACTTCAATAGATCACTGTACATGACTTACATCAATAGATCCCTGTACATGACGTATATCAATAGATCACTGTACATGACATATATCAAGAGATTACTGTACGTGATTTGTATCAATAGATCCCTGTACATGACTGATATCAATAGATCACTGTACATGATTTATATCAATAGATCACCATACGTGGCTTATATCAATAGATCACTGTACGTGACGTATATAAATAGATCACTGCACGTGACGTGTATAAATAGATCACTGTACATGACTAATATCAATAGATCACTGTACTTGACTTATATCAATAGATCACTGTACATGACTTGCATCAAAAGATCACTGTACGTGACTTATATCAATAGATCATTGTACGTGACTTACATCATTGTACAGGCTCAATCTAACCGAGCCTGCAACAGTTTCAATTTTGCCGTGTTTGGCTTTTTTAGGGATTTCTCTCTATTTTACATCAATAGATCACTGAGCGTGACTAACATCAAAAGATCACTGAACATGACTTACATCAATAGATCACTGTACAAGACTTACATCAATAGATCACTGTACAAGACTTACATCAATAGATCACTGTACAAGACTTACATCAATAGATCACTGTACATGACTTACATCAATAGATCACTGTACATGACTTACATCAATAGATCACTGTACAAGACTTACATCAATAGATCACTGTACAAGACTTACATCAGTAGATCACTGTACAAGACTTACATCAATAGATCACTGCACGTGACTTACATAAATAGATCACTGTACGCGACTCACATCAATAGATCACTGTACAATACTTACATCAATAGATCACTGTACGCGACTCACATCAATAGATCACTGTACATGACTTACATCAGTAGATCACTGTACAAGACTTACATCAAAAGATCACTGTACAAGACTTACATCAATAGATCACTGTACAAGACTTACATCAATAATTCACTGTACGTGACTTTCATCAATAGATCACTGTACATAAGTTACATCAATATATCACTGTACGTTACTTATATCAATAGATCACTGTTCGTGACTTACATCAATAGATCACTACCCGTGACTTACATAAATAGATCACTGTACGTGACTTAGATCAATAGATCACTGTACGTGTCTTACATCAATAGATCACTGTACGTGACTTACATCAATATATCACTGAACATGACTTACATCAATAGATCACTGTACAAGTCTGACATCAATAGATCACTTTACAAGACTTACATCAATAGATCACTATACAAGACTTACATCAATAGATCACTATACATGACTTACATCAATAGATCACTGTACATGACTTACATCAATAGATCACTGTACATGACTTACATCAATAGATCACTGTACGTGACTTACATCAATAGATCACTGTACATGACTTACATCAATAGATCACTGTACATGACTTACATCAATAGATCACTGTACAAGACTTACATCAATAGATCACTGTACAAGACTTACATCAATAGATCACTGTACAAGACTTACATCAATAGATCACTGTACAAGACTAACATCAATAGATCACTGTACATGACTTACATCAATAGATCACTGTACATGACTTACATCAATAGATCACTGTACAAGACTAACATCAATAGATCACTGTACATGACTTACATCAATAGATCACTGTACATGACTTACATCAATAGATCACTGTACATGACTTACATCAATAGATCACTGTACATGACTTACATCAATAGATCCCTGTACATGACTTACATCAATAGATCACTGTACATGACTTACATCAATAGATCACTGTACAAGACTAACATCAATAGATCCCTGTACATGACTTACATCAATAGATCACTGTACAAGACTAACATCAATAGATCACTGTACAGAGTTGTCTTTGTTCATCTTGTAGCTTGATTCGGTAAAAAACCCTGTTATAACATTCTCATTTGCAACGGCACACATGTCAGTGAAGAATACTCTATTAAAATTCCTTAAGTTTTTATGCATATTATGAAATTTAAAAAAAAAAGAAAACAGAGATGATAAAATTACTACTTGAAATTTCAAACAAAGGCATACAACACAAGGATTATTCCTTTTAACCTTCCTTGATATTTAAGTTTTTTTCTGTGTGTGAATATAACAATGTTAAAATGACTTTTCAACTTTATTACATCTGTTATTGAAACTGTTATGTTAAATTTAATAACTTATCACACATGTTGATTATTTTTCTTTTCATACAGTAAGAAGTGACTTGTAAAATATATACCCAGCATTATATAGGCTTTTCATCATATTAATTGGTGTTTAAAGGAAAGGTGTTAATAATTTGATTCACATCATTACAAGTTTATGACTTTTTTTCAGCCGTCAGTTCTCAAGTTCAACCTGAAATGCCTCCGCCTTACGAAATTCTCCCGCCACCTTACTACACGATAGATGACGGAACCAGCGAGAAAAAAGGGAACAAGACTGCATTTCCGGACGAGCCTCCACCAGCTTATTCTCCTTATGATACCGGTGTTGTCTAAACTGATTAGTTGCCACAAATTATGAATCGTTACTTTAATATTTGATTAAAACCATATGACAAACATAGCACCATAAACTGTCAATTATAATGAATGTATTGCTGACAAAGACAATATGTAGATTGAAAAATAAAGGTTAAAACCTTGCTTCAATAATTTGGATACGTAACCAGTAAATTATTATCATGTTTTACATTTATGTTGTTTGTTTAAAATATCATTTTTACAATAATTTACTTTCATACTGTTTGATAATAAACTATTAATATGTAAATTATAACTTTCATGTTAAAAATTCCATTTTCTATAATACCTGCGTGTTTGAATTGAATGTTCTCTGAGAATTTCTATACACATATATACATTCATTTGCTGAAGGGTCTGTTAATTCTATGATCGTTAATGATTCACACAAATACGCTTATGATAGTTTAAATGAATTCTAAATACAACAACAGATCATGAATTTATTTACCATACAAGCAGCATTTCTTGAATCTAACTAGTGTTGTCAATTAAGCATTATGGGTATTATTATTATTATTATAATGGGTAATTATTATCACGTTTAACAGAGCGCTGTCAGCCAAAAATCACCATTCCAAAAATTGGCACTAGACAGACTATACCCCACTCATGATTAGTGTAAGCATACATGTGTATGTATCGTTAAATTATTGTTTAGTTTCACTTTGATAATAAAAAATTGCTGTATTTTATATAAATAATTACGGAAACATGAAGCACTATATTGTGAAGCTTTTTGTTTATATTATATATATAGAAAGGTGCTTTTATCGGCCTTTAGGAAATTAAAAATATTTCTATTTTGTCGCCTAGGAAAATATAAAGGTGTGTTTTTGTCCGTATAGAAAATTTAAAGGTGTGTTTTTGTCCGTATAGAAAATTTAAGGGTGTGTTTTCCGACAGCTAGGAAAACCGTGTTTTCCGACAGCATAGGAACATTAAAGATGATTTTAAAGGTTATTTAAAATCAGGCACGGCAGCATTTATTTGATGATGTCGTGTCAGAATCGAAATGATATATCCAAATCGGTAATTTTATCGCTTGATAAAATCACTGTTTGTCGTTCGAATGCGCATCAATATATCACTCGGGCTACGCCCTCGTGATATAATTCTTCGCATCCGAACTCCAAACAATGATTTTATTGAGCGATAAAATCGCAACTTGGGATATTTCATTTCTTAATCAAAATAAGTTAAAACAAGAATTTGTAACAGAGTTACAAACGTTCCTCGCCATAGGAATGTTTTACATGAAGCACACAATTGTGATATTTCAAAGAATTGAGGTATATATCTGGGCTTCAGTGCAATATCTTTTTCAATGCAAAGTCATTGAATGGTCTAGAAAAGTACGAATATAAGGACATGCAGGTCATGGGTCTAGAAAAGTACAGATATAGGAACACGGAGGTCACTAAATTGTCTAGAAAAGTACGGCATAGGGACACGTAGGTCATTGAATGGTCTAGAAAAGTACGGATATAGGGACACGGAGGTCATTGAATGGTCTAGAAAAGTACAGGTATAGGTACACGGAGGTCATTGAATGGTCTAGAAAAGTACAGGTATAGGTACACGGAGGTCATTGAATGGTCTAGAAAAGTACGGCATAGGGACACGTAGGTCATTGGTCTAGAAAAGTACGGCATAGGGACACGTAGGTCATTGGTCTAGAAAAGTACATGCATAGGGACAAGGAGGCCATTGAATGGTCTAGAAATGTACAAATATAGGGAGGGACACGAAGGTCATTCAATGGTCTAGAAAAGTATGGATATAAGGACACGTAGGCCATGGAATTGTCTAGAAAAGTAAGACATAGGGACACGTAGGTCATTTAATGGTCTAGAAAAGTACGGATATAAGGACACGTAGGTCATTGGTCTAGAAAAGTACGGTATAGGGACATGTCGGTCATTAAATGTTCTAGGAAAGTACCGATATAAGGACACGTAGGTCATTGGTCTAGAAAAGTACGGGCATAGGGACACGTAGGCCATTGAATGGTATAGAAAAGTACGGATATAATGACACTAAGGCCATTGAATGGTATAGAAAAGTACGGCATAGGGACACGTAGGTCATTGGTCTAGAAAAGTACGGCATAGGGACACGTATGTCATGGAATGGTCTAGAAAAATGCGGGTATTGGGACACTTGAGTCATTGAATGGTTTTCAAAAGTACGGATATAGGTTCTAAAAAGGCCAATGTATATAGAAATTTATGTCATTTATTGAATAGTCTTTGAAAAAAATACAGATGCATGAGGATTTAAGTCATTGAAAGGTCTGAAAAATTCGGGGATAAACACGTAGGAGATGATTAGAAGATTGGTCATGAGATTGCATTCAGAGCAATATCATATGTACAAAATGACCTTTGGAATAACATGAACAGAACTTCTGTTGAGATAAGTATTTTAATGTAAACGCAAATATAAGCTACTCGACAAAATGGCAAATTGTTCCCATGTTAAATAAAAGTTTTATAAAAATATTTCAGTGGAAATATTAAATATAGAAACACACTAGAAATGGTATGTTACCCTGGCCTTGGGATTGAAATATACATGGTTAATATCAAAACATTTAGGTTTTTTTTTTCGGCAAGTGTTAGATTTCTATTGAGTTCAAATGCTGATGTGAACAAAGGACATGACTGTTGTCATGTACAAGTTTGTTAAATATAAAGATATTTTGTACAACATAATACTCTTTATGAACGTGTTCCTGAAAAAACAATATACAAATAGTTGTCATGGATAATTAATGATATGGTGATATATTGTCGGAATAAAAATGGAATGCGTTTCCATATAAAACACCTATAAAAGCATTGAACACATGTAAAAGTCATTATAATGCTATCTTTAATAAAATGAACATTCCATCAAAATTGTTTGTATACTCAAGTGTTATATAATAGTTCTATAATATTCACACAATATGAGCGTCATATATTATACTCATATTCTCATACTCATTATACAAAATAAGTCTATTTTGAGTATTTGTAACTTTATCACAACAGCATTGACAACAACATTTAGTTGAAATATTTCATAGATCAGAATGCTTGCCACCTTCATAGATAGGCTGCTAAGGTTTCCAGTCTTAACTAAATGTCTCCATTTCCTCCGCATCCGCCATCATGGATCTGCCATCATCTTTTTCTTGGCCTTCTTCCGGTTTATCAACACTCCAATCTGTTTTCCTCCGCGCTTTCAAAAAAACTAGAAGTTGCAATAAGATGGTAATGACTTTTGGCACGATTTCAAATGAATGTTTTTTGATCCTATAATCGTCATTATCATACAATGCGCATGCGCCTTGATCGGTGCAAGAAGCACTCCATATTATACATGCTGTATCTATGATCCGTCCAAATACCAAAGGACCCGCGAACCATCCTACAAAGGTGAATATTGTTTTCGTTCATTCAAAAAAGAAAAGAGTTAGGAGGGTCATAATGGCCCAGGGGATGTGGTCTACATGGTTTAACTACCTGACATTCCTATGGTTCATGTTAAATATCTTAGCTCTAGCAATTATAATTTCAGAGATGCTTTTAAGTTTTTTTGTTATACATATGTGGTAAACACATGACCCCGGGGGCTTTAATTTGAGCAACTTGGTAAAGACCCATCAGATAATGTCATACGTCAAATATCTAAGATCTAACCTTTACTGCTTAGCAACTTACTATATAGATGTACAAATGTACTATATAGATGTAAGGAAAAATCAAATTTCCCCCTTGGGCGTGAGCAACTTTTACCAAATGGCAATAATTTCGGCTCAGGCTTGGTAGAAATTTTCATGACGATTATCTTAGCTGTACCTTCATAATTTCAATCAATTATTTAAGCTCTAGACATTATAGTTTTACAGGAGACGAGTTTTAAAGATTTTACTATATACATAAAAGGAAAACCCTGGAACCCCCACTCACCCAAAGGTCAGGACAAAGTTTGTTCCCAGGGATATTATTTGATCAAGCTTGGTAGAGGTCCACTGCATGATATTTCATTGGAAATATCTATGCTCTAGCCTCTATAGTTTGAAAGATAATTTAAAAAATACTATATACATACATGTATAAGGAAAACCCATGAACCCCAGAGCAGAGCCAAGTTTGGCCACAGAGCTTTATCTGAACATGCTTGTAAGAAGATCCACTAGATGATGTTTAATGCCTAATATCTATGGTCTCAGAGGAGATGCATTTTTAAAAAAAAAAATATTTACATGTAAGGAAAACCAAGGACCCCCTTAGACGGGGCCAATTTAAACCCAAAGGCCATTATTTGAACAAGTTTGGTAGAGGTCTACTATAGGATGTTTCATGTCAATCATGTAAGCCCTCGCGATTATAGTTTTATAGTTTAAACAACTTAAAAAAAGCGTCGCCTAAGGATCATTTCTAAAAAGTTTTGGTATTACTGACCATATTATACAGATGTGACTCTTCAAATTCAAACTAAACATTAAAAAAATCAAATAAGGCAACTAAAACTTTTACATCAATCCGTAACACTTACCACATAAAGTTGATAATAGTGATGAAAATCCGACAGCCATAGACTTGTCGAGCTCACTAACACTCCTGAATTAAGTAAATATTTGTAGACATGAAGACATGCATTACATTTTGTAATTGTTGTTTTATAAATGATCATGACGCTTATTATGAAGAAGCTAAAATGATATTTTGGAAATGCGACATATCATGTCAAACATGATTTCATTTTTAAGTCTGCACAAAAATCATTTAATGCTTTGAAAACTGTTTTGTTCATCAGTTTTATTGGAATATAATGCATGAAAACTATTTATTTATTAATAACTACGTAATAAATATTTTGTAAGTAAAGATCACAGTGTAATAAAAAATTTAACAACAATACGTAACAAATAAAAATGGCATTCGTATTTAAAAAAAACACACATACAGCATAACAATATATACTGTTCTATGTTTAAACACAAAGAACAAAATGAACAGTTTAAGAATGTGCTATATTAAAGTGTGCAATATCAAACTGTACATTTAAAGAGTGTGCTTTGTTAAAACATGCATGATCATGAAGCATAGAGGTAAGTGCAATTAGGACAGTGCTTACGTCAGCGTGACTATAAAGCATAGAGGTTAGTGTCACTAGGGCAGTGCTTACCTTAGCATGACTATGAAGCTTGGAATCATACCAAGTGTTGCTAGAAACGCACCAAACACATTATTGATGAGATATGGATACAACATCCCACATGGAGTCTCACAGAGGCCAGGGATAGCTTTGGCATTCTCACCAGCGCATGCGCAGTCTTTAAAATTCTGAAAATGTAGCTACATGCCATTATTTATTAAATTGATTAGATAAGTATTTAATTTACCAATTTTGATTTTAATGATTTATATTATCACTATTACTAGTATATGTTTGTGGCGGTAAATAATAAATCTTTTCAAAAGATACACTTAAATTTCTTCAAATTTAAAACAACCTGATTTCTCAGTTTTTAAAAGTAACCAAATTAGATAGGTTGAAACATTCAAATGTTTTATGACAATGTTCTTACATCGATGCGTTTTGTCAAAATGCAAAACAGTCCCCCTTCAGGCGGAGACAATGTGTTTACGCATGATTAAAGTTTAGCCTGATTCCACTATATTTAGTCTTGTAAACTATTCTCAATTACACGAAATCAGACTGTTGCACACTACGGAGACAAAAAAGCATTGTCTTTCCATTTTTTTTGCAACTAAGCAAGAAATTTAGAACTTGGTCCTGAAGTGTAAAGATATGATGTGAACATATATATTTTTATTGACGACTTGCAAATTAAATCGTGTTATGCCGCATTAAATCATGTGTCTTATTCAAAATCCTATAAGACTGAGATCCAGATCAGTCAACACGTTAACATGTGAAACCTGCCAAAACTTCTTTTTTACATTTATAATGGCAATAGTATACGAATCATAATTATAGAAAATCAGACTAATGTACCACGGTGTCTTGATGTTGACATCCGGCATGGCAAGGTGACATATAGTTCATGTCGGATACACATACAGGGAAGTATGTGTTCGAATCACATCCACACATTGACGTACATGTTATGTTTGTGTTGTTAAGTACCCGGCTGTAAAACAATATAATGAACTCGTTAGAGTAACTTAACAAGATACATTTCGAGCCCTAGATATACTAATATTTTATTTGAAGTCTTTAACATTCTTACACACGTGACAAAAAAAAAGAAAAGATAAAATAGCTTACGTAATTTCAATACAGTATGTAATAAAAACAAACTAGTAACATTCGTTTTTGAAATTGTACCGATAACTAACAAAAATCGAATGTTGAACTGAATGTTAATTGTCTAGCTCGACATTGAATGTCGATTGTTGATTGTTAATTGTTCTGCTGAGAAATTGCACATTAGAATGGTCTAAAATACCAATAAATCAAGTACACATATAATGATTTTTTACGAACAAGTGACATTATTTTAAGGCAGAGGTGCACGTGAGTTCAAATATGCGCAGGTTCATTATGATTATATGTCATATAGTGTTGATGACAGTGTTGCATAATTTAGGGTTGATTTAAACAATCCACGATCGCGATCATGCTTTTTTAAGAAAAAAAAATCATAATTTTGTTGACAATTGCTGTTGAATGAATACAGTATGTAAATAAAGTTATCAGTGGTCTTTTTTACGTCGTTAAAGTAAGATTATGCTTATGTTTTATTGTCAACTTGAGCTGAACTGAATATATTTTCAAAAGATTCACTGTTATAATGGTTATTGACCAATGGATATTTATAGACATTTCTTTGTGCCATGTGACTTATTTATTGTTCATGTGAAGTAAATGATATACATGTAACTGAAAGGATTAATGGTAACGTGCATTCACCTGTTCACTCGCTATATATCTTTGGATTGTCATATAATGTCACTAACTAGAGTGATATCGTTTTCAAAGCATGGCTTTAACAACTTGGTTTCTATAGCATCAAAATAACAAGTACAATTGAGTAATTTCAGATTTTGAACTATTTACAATCTAACCTTAGAAATGATGTTACAGTTTTACCTTGGAGCATTAAATCCTGATATTTCAGCATTACTACAACCAAACACAAATCCGAGGCAATTTTGTGCCAGTGATAGACAACCTACCAATAGTAACATCTTCACACAAGACAAAGGGGACAACTTTCGCTTTGTTACAACAAAACCTCCAGTTACCGTTCCTGCCGATGCTGCTACAATGTTCATCACGCCTATAATAATGTTTGTCATAAAAAACTTTAAAATTTAAACAAACTGTTTTTTTTTTAAATTCAAATATTTTGTTCGACGAAATGAATAATGTTCTTTACTTGATATCTGATTGAACTATTGTCATGTTTGCATCTGGGCACATTATCTACTCTACCAAATCTGAAACTTTGGGCTCAAATCCTTAAACTAAAACAGTTATGTACGAGTGTACCTCTTACTGAGCACAAGTGTCATGTTTAGAATTAAGGATTTAAACAACTATAACAACATAAGTTACCTAATAAAACGTTTGCTTTCCATGCTGGAATAAAGAATTGAGTTTCTAGATATTTTGCACTAAACGCTAACATGCCAGCAACAGCAAATAATGTAACACAGGTGGAGGCAACAAGTGGCATATAGACGGTGTTACAAACAAGCCGCGCAATAGACTTGAAGAAACCTGTAAATATAAAAGTAACCGGCTGGTTAATATGACCAATAGACCGACCGTCACCGTGGCTATTTTATGTGATTTTATCAGTTAAATATGTGATAATTACTAGAGCTTAATCCTACCAATAATGTTTTCGAAAATACAGTAGAACTTGATTTAACACATAATGTTTTAAGAAATACAGTAGAAACTTGATTTTACACATAATGTTTTAAGAAATACAGTAGAAACTTGATTTAACACATAATGTTTTAAGAAATACAGTAGAAACTTGATTTTACGCATAATGTTTTAAGAAATACAATAGAACTTGATTTAACACATAATGTTTTAAAAAATACAGTAGAACTTGATTTAACTCATAATGTTTTAAGAAATACAGTAGAAACTTGATTTTACACATAATGTTTTAAGAAATACAGTAGAACTTGATTTAACACATAATGTTTTAAGAAATACAGTAGAACTTGATTTAACACATAATGTTTTAAAAAATACAGTAGAACTTGATTTAACTCATAATGTTTTAAGAAATACAGTAGAAACTTGATTTTACACATAATATTTTAAGATATACAATAGAACTTGATTTAACACATAATGTTTTAAAAATACAGTAGAACTTAATTTAACACATAATGTTTTAAGAAATACAGTAGAAACTTGATTTAACACAGTCATAATGTTTTAAGAAATACAATAGAACTTCATTTAACACATAATGTTTTAAAAAATACAGTAGAACTTGATTTTACACATGATTATTTAAAAAATACAGTAGAACTTGATTTTACACATAATGTTTTAAAAAATACAGTAGAACTTGATTTTACACATAATGATTTAAAAAATACAGTAGAACTTGATTTTACACATAATGATTTAGAAAATACAGTAGAACTTGATTTTACACATAATGATTTAGAAAATACAGTAGAACTTGATTTTACACATAATGTTTTAAAAAATACAGTAGAACTTGATTTTACACATAATGTTTTAAAAAATACAGTAGAACTTGATTTTACACAAAATGTTTTAAAAAATACAGTAGAACTTGATTTTACACATGATTTTTTTTAGAAAATACAGTAGAACTTGATTTTACACATAATGTTTTTTAAAAAATACAGTAGAACTTGATTTACACATACTGTTTTTTAGAAAATATAGTAGAACTTGATTTTACACATAATGATTTAAAAAATACAGTAGAACTTGATTTTACACATAATGTTTTTTAAAAAATACAGTAGAACTTAATTTACACATACTGTTTTTTAGAAAATACAGTAGAACTTGATTTTACACATAATGTTTTAAAAAATACAGTAGAACTTGATTTAACACATAATGTTTTAAAAATACAGTAAATCTTGATTTTACACATAATGATTTAAAAAATACAGTAGAACTTGATTTTACACATAATGATTTAAAAAATACAGTAGAACTTGATTTTACACATAATGATTTAAAAATACAGTAGAACTTTATTTTACACATAATGATTTAAAAAAATACAGTAGAACTTGATTTTACACATAATGATTTAGAAAATACAGTAGAACTTGATTTTACACATAATGATTTAGAAAATACAGTAGAACTTGATTTTACACATAATGATTTAAAAAATACAGTAGAACTTGATTTTACACATAATGTTTTAAAAAATACAGTAGAACTTGATTTTACACATAATGATTTAAAAAATACAGTAGAACTTGATTTTACACATAATGATTTAAAAAATACAGTAGAACTTGATTTTACACATATTTATTTAATTGTTTTAAAACAACAAAAGAGCTTGATTTTACACATAATGTTTTAAAAAATACAGTATAACTTGATTTTACACATAATTATTTAAAATACAGTAGAACTTGACTTTACACATTGTTGTCTGTAACTCAAACAGTTGTCCCTTTTTCCAGTAGAGCATTGTACAGTGTTAAATATTACAACTGTTAATGGAATGAAATAGCAATAAAAAGGACAAGAACGTATTAAACTATTATATCAGGCTGCAGATTACAACTTACCGAACATTGATTGTTTGAGCGATGTGGGTTTTGTTTGCGGTTTCTGATCTGGGCGGCGTGGGCGCATGCGCTTTGGAAAACATAATAGCGGAAACGAGACAAAAATAGCTAGAACACCAAACACAAGAAAACCGAGCCACCATGCTCCTATCCATGCTGGATGTCGTGGTGAAATCGGCACGTCTGAAATATAATTATATTTATACTGTCAAAGTTTGAAGCATTTTTTTTTTACTTTTATGTTCGCAATAAAGATAAGAGAAGCCGTAACCTAATCATAGAAAATATAATAATAAAAACAGTGTAAAATATGTTTGGGTAAAATCCTGGTTAACAGAACTCAAATATCAAAAAAAAAAAAAAACATTACTAGAAAGTTTTTTACTGAAATTTCTTAAAATAATTAAAAATTTCAACATGTCATAAAAGAAAACTTGACTTATACATTCAGTGTAAAGAAGTAAACGTTACCTCTACGTTCCGTGTCAAGAAGTGAACATAACCTATACATTCCGTGTCAAGAAGTGGACATTATCTATACATTCCGTGTCAAGAAGTGGACGTTATCTATACATTCCGTGTCAGGAAGTGGACGTTACCTATGCATTCCGTGTCAAGATGTGGACGTTACCTATACATCCCGTGTCAAGAAGTGGACGTCACCTATACATTCCGTGTCAAGAAGTGGACGTTACCTATACATCCCGTGTCAAGAAGTGGACGTTACCTATGCATTCCGTGTCAAGAAGTGAACGTTACCTATTCATTCCGTGTCAAGAAGTAAACGTTACCTCTACGTTCCGTGTCAAGAAGTGGACGTTACCTATACATTCCGTGTCAAGAAGTGGACGTTACCTATACATTCCGTGTCAAGAAGTGGACGTTTCCTATACATTCCGTGTCAAGAAGTGAACGTTACCTATTCATTTCGTGTCAAGAAGTAAACGTTACCTATACATTCCGTGTCAAGAAGTGAACATAACCTATACATTCCGTGTCAAGAAGTGGACGTTACCTATACATCCCGTGTCAAGAAGTGGACGTTTCCTATACATTCCGTGTCAAGAAGTGGACGTTACCTATACATTCCGTGTCAAGAAGTGAACGTTACCTATTCATTTCGTGTCAAGAAGTAAACGTTACCTATACATTCCGTGTCAAGAAGTGAACATAACCTATACATTCCGTGTCAAGAAGTGGACGTTACCTATACATCCCGTGTCAAGAAGTGGACGTTTCCTATACATTCCGTGTCAGGAAGTGGACATTACCTATACATCCCGTGTCAAGAAGTGGACGTTACCTATACATTCCGTGTCAAGAAGTGAACATAACCTATACATTCCGTGTCAAGAAGTGGACGTTACCTATACATCCCGTGTCAAGAAGTGGACGTTTCCTATACATTCCGTGTCAGGAAGTGGACATTACCTATACATCCCGTGTCAAGAAGTGGACATTACCTATTCATTCCGTGTCAAGAAGTAGACGTTTCCTATGCATTCCGTGTCAAGAAGTGGACGTTACCTATACATTCCGTGTCAAGAAGTGGACATTACCTATACATCCCGTGTCAGGAAGTGGACATTACCTATACATTCCGTGTCAGGAAGTGGACGTTACCTATACATTCCGTGTCAAGAAGTGGACGTTACCTATACATTCCGTGTCAAGAAGTAGACGTTTCCTATGCATTCCGTGTCAAGAAGTGGACGTTACCTATGCATTCCGTGTCAAGAAGTGAACATTACCTATACATTCCGTGTCAAGAAGTGAACATTACCTATACATTCCGTGTCAAGAAGTGGACGTTTCCTATGCATTCCGTGTCAAGAAGTGGACGTTACCTATACATTCCGTGTCAAGAAGTGGACATTACCTATACATTCCGTGTCAAGAAGTGGACGTTACCTATACATTCCGTGTCAAGAAGTGGACGTTACCTATACATTCCGTGTCAAGAAGTGGACGTTACCTATACATCCCGTGTCAAGAAGTAGACGTTTCCTATGCATTCCGTGTCAAGAAGTGGACGTTACCTATACATTCCGTGTCAAGAAGTGGACGTTACCTATACATTCCGTGTCAAGAAGTGGACGTTACCTATACATCCCGTGTCAAGAAGTAGACGTTTCCTATGCATTCCGTGTCAAGAAGTGGACGTTACCTATACATTCCGTGTCAAGAAGTGGACGTTACCTATACATTCCGTGTCAAGAAGTGGACATAACCTATACATTCCGTGTCAAGAAGTGAACATAACCTATACATTCCGTGTCAAGAAGTGGACGTTACCTATACATTCCGTGTCAAGAAGTGAACATAACCTATACATCCCGTGTCAAGAAGTGGACGTTACCTTACATTCCGTGTCAAGAAGTGAACATAACCTATGCATTCCGTGTCAAGAAGTGGACGTTACCTATACATTCCGTGTCAAGAAGTGGACGTTACCTATACATTCCGTGTCAAGAAGTGAACATAACCTATACATCCCGTGTCAAGAAGTGGACGTTACCTATACATTCCGTGTCAAGAAGTGAACATAACCTATGCATTCCGTGTCAAGAAGTGGACGTTACCTATACATTCCATGTCAAGAAGTGGACGTTACCTATACATTCCGTGTCAAGAAGTGAACATAACCTATACATCCCGTGTCAAGAAGTGGACGTTACCTATACATTCCGTGTCAAGAAGTGAACATAACCTATACATCCCGTGTCAAGAAGTGGACGTTACCTATACATTCCGTGTCAAGAAGTGAACATAACCTATACATCCCGTGTCAAGAAGTGGACGTTACCTATACATTCCGTGTCAAGAAGTGGACGTTACCTATACATCCCGTGTCAAGAAGTGGACGTTACCTATACATCCCGTGTCAAGAAGTGGACGTTTCCTATGCATTCCGTGTCAGGAAGTGGACATTACCTATACTTTCCGTTGAATACTTTTAAATCTCTGTAGGTACTGTGTGTTATTGACTACTCATACGGAGAAGATTATAAAATTGAAAACATTTTATGAAAAAAGTTATGTTACCTTTACCTTCACAATAAACACTTGATTGGGCAAAATGCCACTTTAACTAAAAGAAGATTAATTGCATGAAAAATAATATTTACCTTGCAATGTGACATATTGCCTACTAAAGTAGCCACCCACTGCAAATGCGATTGCTGGTCCAAAGATGCCTACCCCAGAAACTATCCCTGTTAATATAAATTTATCAATTGTTAAACACTGTAAAAATGTAACAATGTCACAAAAATGTGGAACTTGGCATAAAATATGCCAAGCCTAGATCCCTCGTTTATAAGAGAATTCAATTGAACCATATTAATTACAGGATCTTTAAGTACACTCAGTAATGGGATGGATCTCGGATGAAATTTAAAGTCTTACAGTTTTTCCTATAAAGTATTCTGGTGGAATGAATTTAACAAAGTATTTGAAGAAAACAGTAATAATATATGATAAAATGGCGAATATTAAAGTTGCTTCAATACCTTTATGAATGTATATAACGATAACTGAACATTCATTATGTAATCTACAAAACTATCTATAGAATCTTTTACACAACCACAAATACAGCGTTATCATATATAAAATGTATACATGACTATAAAGACAGCAAAGTTTCCAGAAGGGAAAGATCAAATAACATATTATAATATAATGTCAAACAAATCATAATATAATGTCAAACATATTATAATGTAATGTCAAACATAAGAAAAAACTAAATTTAAACAATAATTATAAATTCGTTCAGGAAAAAGCGATTACAAATTACTACCAGACACAAAATCTGATTCAGCGAAATATCCCTTAGCGATTTTTCTCAGTAAATTTAACAATCACGGGTTATTTAGGTAATTGGTTGAGAAAGATTGAAATGTCAACTGTATTATTTTAAACAATAAATTACATATATTACATAAATTACACCAATTGCGTCTTGAATCACATAGAATGTATAGAGTAGTTTGTATATTGAAATATATTTGTATATTATATTAAACATAATAATACAGTTAAATTAGACAAAACACGAGCATTAAATAATAACGAAACATTTATTTCTGAATAAAAGTTTAGTATAAAAGTAATGACAAGCATAAGTAACCAAGTTTGACTAAGGTTGCCTAAAATTTTCTACGATTGACTAAAGATGACGAAATAAAAAATACAAAAAGTTCATACCCATATACATCGCAGTGTTCTTTTTGTTGACATTGTCATCAACGTATGTTGCAATAAAAGGATATCTCGGCGCCTTTGCTAAACCTTGAATTATCATTCCTAAATTAAAAATAAAAATCAGTAGTTTTAGACGGATGCTAAATTAAACTATTAAGGAAACTATATATATATATTTTTATATTTACAAAGGCCTATACGGTGAAACAATTTAGACAAATCTAAATGAATGTGTTTATCTCGGACTGGGAAAAAAAATCATGATCTGATTAAGAGTCTTACCTATTGCTATAAATGTTATTGCAACAGTGGTGTATTTATTTGGTTCTCCAACACCAAAACTTGTCTCTGCCCCTTGAACATCGCATTGTGAACTATTTGAAATTATTACAGCATATCCGGTTCCGTCTGAAGACTCTTTTGCTACATTACACAAAGGTGACTTCTTAGACATTGAGAAGCTATTTGTAGTGGAATTATGATCTTTTAATGTCCTTGTATTTATCTCCGACAGCTGTGCTGCCTGCTCAAACACGAAGTCTTTTGAAACGAAAAATGGGAGGCAACACACTATACCAGCGACACCATATAAAATAACACATACACATAAACTTCTCGGAATATGGACTTTCCTAGCAAAGTAACTAGCTAATAATGTTGTCAGAAGATATCCGAAATCGTTACAACTAAGTAAAAGTCCGGACTGAGAACTACTAAGACCGTACTGTTTTTCTATTGTCGTAATCTGGGATACTATATACATGCTTAGAATTGACGTCATCAGACCACAGACGCTGTATACACCAACAAACGATCCCATTCGGGCACACGACTGTAAGCACTGAAACTTAAACGGACCAATTCCACATAGCATATCGTCCGGAAGACCTTCGTGATGTTTGTGGTGACCATTTCTTGTCACGTTGACCGGAAATGCATCTGTTTCGTCTGTTTTGTCGTCTGGTGCCATTTTTGCAGACGGAGATCAAACAGCTGTGATAGTTGTTATAAATAATGTATATAGTATATGTGAAAACAAGTTACATACAAATGTTATCTACTTGGTAAGTTTAAACCTCAGCAGGGTGTCTTACAAAACATAAGGAAAGTCTGTGTAACTTAACACCGGGTTGTTAAACTGTAATCTATAGAGAAAAATCAACATATACAGTATATATTAAGCCTTTACTATTTCTCTTATGAAAGGACAAAATATATACAAACTTTATCCCGTTAACTTTAACTTTTATGTAACTCCTTGAAACACTGCTTAAAATGGCGTAAACTTTAAAATCATATTATTCCTCCATGGCCTTGTGTAACACTATAAATTTTATCATTTTATCTATGCATTATTTGCATACAATGATAGAGGTGGTTTCAAATTATCTTTATTTTCTTGCTATCACTTGAATATATCATATACACGACTTGTGCACATGCTCACTTCTTAGATATATTCTTAAATGAAAAAAAACAAACTGTAACGGTCGCATGTTATAAAATCTTAGTTTGCTGTTTAAATTACACGTAGAATTGATACCTCCTTATTCAAATACTATATCATGTTATATAATACGTATGATTTTAATACCTTAATAAAAGTAGAACTAAAGTTAACTTACCAACTATCTCACTATATGTTTATTCCAACTTTTGTACGCACTTTAGTTTGGTAAGTGTCCCAAGTCACGCACTTAAACGCATGACAATGTTTCAGTTTAACATGTCCGGAGATAGTGTTTTATATCTAGGACATTGTATATTCTTATCTTTATTTATTTATATACCCGATCACTGTACCGTAACCAAGTAAACACATTACATGTATCATGATAATATTCGAGTATTTATTTGAAATATCATAAATCTGTTAAATGACAAATATAATATAGGTCGGATGAGGTCTATTTAACCCAAGGTGCTAGTCCAGGTTCATATATTTAACCCAAGGTGCTAGTCCAGGTTCATATATTTAATCCAAGGTGCTATTCCAGACCCAGGGTGCTAGTCCAGGGTCATATATTCAACCCAAGGTGCTAGCCCGGGTCCAAGGTACTAGTCAAGGCTAATAAGTTTAACCCAAGGTGCTAGTCCAGACCCAAGGTGCTAGCCCAGACCCAATGTGCTAGTCCAGGCCCAAGGTGCTAGTCCAGGCTCATATATTTAACACGAGGTGCTATCCCAGGCTGATATATTTAACACGAGATGTTAGCCCAGACTCAAACATTTAACTCGAGGTTCTAGCCGAGATCCGAGGTGCTAACCCAGACGATTAGAAAATATTTACGTTTTCTTTATGATTCCCGGAACGGTACCTCTTAAAGACTGAACTGTTCGAGTGTTTACGCAATATTCGCAGACGTTTACTTATCTTCTTGGAGAATGGAACTTATAGCCCCTGTACTAAATGACAAAGTTCCCAATCTTTTTTCAGTTACATTGTAAAGAAATAACAAACAAAAATATTTGTAAAAACAATTATTAAACACATCCAGTATCGGCTTGAGAGGAATTCAACATCAAATGTGAAACTTGTGAGAGTTTACTCCGGTGTGGGGTGCCTGGATGGTAAACATAATTTATTTATTCAACCTGTCTGAGAGACACCTACGTTTTCATTTCATTTAATCACTAAGTACATAAACAATAAGTGTACAGGGATTTTATCAAAAACTAGATATCCAATAAATGTCCGTTTTATTATCATTTTTACAACGTATTGACTTTGAATTGAATCTGTTCTTTTAAGTTGTGGCCGCGGGTTATAACATTCTATTGTAAAGAAAATAATAATTACCGTTTAGTAATGCACTAATACCCATTATATCAATACTTTCAGTAGTACATAATATGCACGTAAACAAATTTAATGCTTTGTATGAACTATTTACGTCAAAGTCTTTATCTGCCGAAAATATTTGTGTATCTTATACGTTAGCACTGTATGTAATCTTATAACCTCCCTTTTTATTGTAATCAATATTTATGTTCTTGTTTTTTTGAAAGGTATTTGAAAAAATTAAATAATGTAACATAATTCTAACAGGATATATTTATAAATATTTAACGGTACATATATAATAATTAGAAAATAACATTTAACTAAATGCAACTATACATGGCCTATAAAGACACCTTTTAAGAATAATGATACATACTGTAAACAATCTAAAACCTTTATTTCATATGAACAAACATATTTTAAGACCCAGTTTACATTCCATGTATATTATATTATCCATCTGAACAATGTTGAGAAAATATCAAAGTTTGTTTAATATATATATATATATATATATATATATATATATATATATATATATATATATATATATATATATATATATATATATATATATATATATATATATATATATATATAAACATATTTATATTTAAAAGATAAAACATATAATGCACCCTTTTCTTCAACAATCATCTCTTATTCGATATATGTCCATCACAAAGAATATTTTTACTAATCTTTATTCGTCCTATCAGCATAAATACAGGCAAAAACACTGATACATCACTTCAATTGTAAATATTTTCGGCCTACCAGCATAAATACAAGTGAGAAAACTAACAAATCACTACCGTTGTTCATATTTTCGTCCTATCAGCATAAATACAGGCCAAAACACTGATACATCACTTCAATTGTAAATATTTTCGGCCTACCAGCATAAATACAAGTGAGAAAACTAACAAATCACTACTGTTGTTCATATTTTCGTCCTATCAGCATAAATTCAGGCCAGTAAACTGACACAACACTACCGTTGTTTTATTTTTGTCCTATCAGCATAAATACTGGCCAGTAGACCGACACATCACTGCCGTCGTTAATGTTTTCGTCCTATCAGCATAAATACAGGCCAGTAGACCGACACATCACTACCGTTGTTAATGTTTTCGTCCTATCAGCATAAATACTGGCCAGTAGACCGACACATCACTGCCGTCGTTAATGTTTTCGTCCTATCAGCATAAATACAGGCCAGTAGACCGACACATCACTACCGTTGTTAATGTTTTCGTCCTATCAGCATAAATACTGGCCAGTAGACCGACACATCACTGCCGTCGTTAATGTTTTCGTCCTATCAGCATAAATACAGGCCAGTAGACCGACACATTACTTCCATTGTAAATTATCTCCAGACTGAAATTATAAAATTTAATCTTCCTTTGTTTAAAGCAGTAGTTCGAACCGTTCATTCAAAAAAAAAATTTTTTTGTAAACTGGAAACATCAATATTAATGTACTAGCTATAATGGTAGATATATTTATCACTCTAAATATTCCAGCAATATAGAGTATGGGTATGAAATACAGAGCATTCTAGCAAAGACAAAATGACCCTGTGACATATACATCTATCACTCTAAAGATATTACATTTTAAAGTAAATACATTTGTCACTAAAGCTATACTATCTATAGTGGTATATACATTTATCATTCTAAATAACTAGCTTTAATTATCGATACATTTATCACTGTTATACACTAGCTACCAGGATACATACATTTATCACTCTAATAAACTTACTATTATGGAGGATATGTTTATCTCTAAACATACCAGCTATTACGATAAGATGTATTTATCACTGTAAATAAACTATTTTTTATTGTAAATACATTTATCTCTCTAAACATTCTAGCTGTATGGGTATATTCATTTTGTTTGTTTGTTTGTTTGGGTTTTACGTCACACCGACACAGTATGGCTCATTCGGCGACGTTCCAGCTTTACTTGTGGAGAAAGACCTCAGGTACCCTAACCACCGACGTTCCGTAGCTAGCTGGATAGCTTTCTCACATGACAGAATTCAAAGTCCCTGTCGGAATTCGAACCCACAGCGGTGAGGGGCAAGTGGTTTGAAGTCAACGACCTTAACCACTCGGCCACGGGCGCCCCTTGTATATTCATTTATCACTCTAGATATACTAAATGCAATGATATATTCATTTATCACTCTAGATATACTAAATGCAATGATATATTCATTTAAAACTCTAGATATACTAAATGCAATGATATATTCATTTATAACTCTAGATATACTAAATGCAATGATATATTCATTTATCACTCTAGATATACTAAATGCAATGATATATTCATTTATCACTCTAGATATACTAAATGCAATGATATATTCATTTAAAACTCTAGATATACTAAATGCAATGATATATTCATTTATCACTCTAGATATACTAAATGCAATGATATATTCATTTATCACTCTAGATATACTAAATGCAATGATATATTCGGTTATCACTCTAGATATACTAAATGCAATGATATATTCATTTATCACTCTAGATATACTAAATGCAATGATATATTCATTTATCACTCTAGATATACTAAATGCAATGATATATTCGGTTATCACTCTAGATATACTAAATGCAATGATATATTCATTTATCACTCTAGATATACTAAATGCAATGATATATTCATCACTCTATCAATTCATTATCATCTAGATATACTAAATGCAATGATATATTCATTTATCACTCTAGATATACTAAATGCAATGATATATTCATTTATCACTCTAGATATACTAAATGCAATGATATATTCATTTATCACTCTAGATATACAAATGCAATGATATATTCGGTTATCACTCTAGATATACTAAATGCAATGATATATTCGGTTATCATTAGATATACTAAACGCAATGATATATTCATTTATCACTATATACTAAATGCAATGATATATTCATTTATCACTCTAGATATACTAAATGCAATGATATATTCATTTATCACTCTAGATATACTAAATGCAATGTTATATTCATTTATCACTCTAGATATACTAAATGCAATGATATATTCATTTATAACACTAGATATACTTGCAATTTATTATCACTCTAGATATACTAAATGCAATGATATATTCATTTATCACTCTAGATATACTAAATGCAATGATATATTCATCACTTATCACTGATATATTCTAGATATACTAAATGCAATGATATATTCATTTATCACTCTAGATATACTAAATGCAATGATATATTCATTTATCACTCTAGATATACTAAATGCAATGATATATTCGATATACTAAATGCAATTATATCATTATCACTCTAGATATACTAAATGCAATGATATATTCGGTTATCACTCTAGATATACTAAATGCAATGATATATTCATTTATCACTCTAGATATACTAAATGCAATGATATATTCATTTATCACTCTAGATATACTAAATGCAATGATTATTCACTCTAGATATACTAAATGCAATGATATATTCGGTTATAACTCTAGATATACTAAATGCAATGATATATTCGGTTATAACTCTAGATATACTAAATGCAATGATATATTCGGTTAAAACTCTAGATATACTAAATGCAATGATATATTCAGTTAAAACTCTAGATATACTAAATGCAATGATATATTCATTTATCACTCTAGATATACTAAATGCAATGATATATTCATTTATCACTCTAGATATACTAAATGCAATGATATATTCATTTAAAACTCTAGATATACTAAATGCAATGATATATTCATTTATCACTCTAGATATACTAAATGCAATGATATATTCATTTATCACTCTAGACATACTAAATGCAATGATATATTCATTTATCACTCTAGATATACTAAATGCAATGATATATTCATTTAAAACTCTAGATATACTAAATGCAATGATATATTCATTTATCACTCTAGACATACTAAATGCAATGATATATTCGGTTATCACTCTAGATATACTAAATGCAATGATATATTCATTTATCACTCTAGACATACTAAATGCAATGATATATTCATTTATCACTCTAGATATACTAAATGCAATGATATATTCGGTTATAACTAAAAGCAATAGATTCATTGATCACTCTTATAAACTAAAAATAGCTCTGAACTTAAATATGTAATACTCTGACTTTTGTTTTAACAGATCCAGAACGTCGGACTGTGGGTGTTGTTTAAGATAAGTTCTCCACGCTGACCAGGTTGACAGGTAACCTATGTAAGCATCAACTGGCATATCACGTCGTATAGCAAGGTCATCGGTCTCTAGTCTGTAACAAAATTAAAAGCAAATATACATAAATACACATACTAGTACATGTATACATAAATAACCATAAAACCGGAACTAAAATGATATAAAATAAAATGCAGAATAAAGAGTTAAGTAGATCGTTATATTTTTTTTCATTTTGCTTTAACTATGATGATCTGTAAAACAAAATAAATTGACGAGTATTTCTATTAAAATCTTATTCATACAAAATGGCTCAGTAAAATATATGGAAAAAGTCCATAAAAATGAAATATATAACTTGCATATTAAATTCACAAACCTAGGTAATTTTATCTAATATAGCAAGCATACCGTAGGTAGGGAAAATATAGAACTTGTATAAGTAATTAGTTGCTTCACAAACGTAAACTTATATTTATCATGAATGTAACCTAATCTGGATTAATTACCTTTGCCAGTCTTTAAATGGATGACTCATACGTGCATAGTGTTCATCAATATGTTGTCTTTGTTTATCCCAATAAGGTCCTAATAGATTTCTATAGAACTGCCAAAAATGTAAATAAAAAATAAATAAGGAGAAGACATAGAGATGGTATATGGATTTCAAGCTCACTGAAAAAACAACACGACAACAACTGAAACATAAGCAAAGTATACAGGCCCTCAGCTGCTACATTGTGATTGAATTTACTGATACTAAAGACTATTTATAATTCAAACTATAATGCAAGTCAAACTTTAATGTAAAGTTTAATTGGTATGCATTATAAATATAAGCTACAGTAAAAGTATATATTTTTGTCTACCTGAAAGCGCTGTATGCTAGTTTGTCTTTATTGATAAAAAATAAATGTGCTTATTAGAACATTATTAAGGTACATTTATGATTATGTCACCAATTTATGTAAAATATAGTCTTTTTATGTAAAATCATAAAATATATTCAGTAAGAATCGTCACCTACAGTCGAATCTACTAAAATACAAATTATTAAATCCAGATTAGGACCAAGTAAAGCACGTGCATTTAAAATCTTCATCTATGAAGTTCATAAAGATTAAATTCAAACCTCATTCACAGCAAATTGTGCTTTTTCTCTATCTAGTACATTGTTCCCATATCCATACGCTACAAATACACCACCTGGTTTTATAACTCGTCTCACTTCGTCATACAATTTTTCTATGTTCATCCAATGCAAAGCTTGAGCCACGGTTATTAAATCTACCTCGTCATTATTCAAAAAGCTCAAATCTTCACCGGGACCCACACGGAACGTCAAATTTTCAATGTCCCTAGGTGCTGACGCAATTTGTTGCTCACTGACATCATATCCGATTACTTTTTTAAATGTTTTAGTTAAAGGAACAGAACTCTGTCCATTGCCACATCCTATGTCAACCGCGAGTTCAAAATTACATGAATCGTTTTTATTTTCCTTGTAATAATTTTCTATCGTAGTATACACTGTGCTGGGATAAGTTGGCCTGTATTTAGCATAAAGTGACGCATGCTGTTTTTCATCAAACAAACGAATAGACATAGTCCTATATGATATATTAAAAACAGATGAGAAAATAGCACTACTCGATGAAAAATATTTACACATAATGTTTATCATAGTAAACTTGATCTAAGATATCAAACGTACATGTCCTTGTAACCTTGACATGTCCCTGAGATAACTGATTTACACGTTGTGAAACATTTAAACATACCACCTTTATCAATTGCTGTAAATGGCCGCTAGCAATCAAAGGGAAGTAATGTGACTGTACAAATGAGGCGTCAATTCAGAAGGGAAGTTACTGTCGAACAAAAAGATAATTCTCCGTTTTATCTGTAGTTTTTTTCACACTTGATCTAATTTATCATATTTTATTGTGACTTTAAATTTGAATGCATTTTTGCTACATCAAAATGCAAAATGCTTTAAACAAACAAGGTGCAAGTCTGCGCGAGTGACAAGGAAATGTATTATATATATATATTACATTTCATCGAGTAATAATTAACGCCCAGACCATCATTCGTCCTTTTAACTCTACATATTAACGGTAGCCCGAGGCACAACAACATCCGGTGAGAACTGTTCAACATTAATGTTTATCTCATTACTCGCCGGTCTTTTTCTGACAATAAATAAATTTCTTATCGCCGATGAAAAACTTGGATTAAATACCACATACAGTATAACGTTGTAGGCCGTGCTGAATGTAGCTAGAGCTATTAGTAAAATATTAACAAATCCTGCAGCGTAATAACTTGTATCCTTCCGGCTGATCTTCTGTAATAGAGTAACATAATGTTCACAGTTCATTTTAGTAAGGCGTCAATTTACTGCTTTACATGCTTTTTGCTTCATGTACATACGCTCTCAGAGTATAATAATATCATATAAAAATCATTTTAAAATATAATATACCTTATTCTATAAATAAGATGTCGGATTTTGTTCCAGATTTCAACCAGCTAAAGAATTCTTACATATAATTGTTTGTACATCTTAATGAAACTATAGAACATGCCTCCTTCATTATTTTGTTTAGATTTTCCCCTCCACGCATAATTTATTAAGTACCGTGACAAAATAACGGATATAAACACACATCCTATAAAAAGGCCTATATCTCTCAGGTGGCAAATGTCGTACTATATATTATAATTAAGCTTTAAATTACTAATTAGATGTTTAAATATATATCAGTCATATCAAAGTGTCTGAAAATGTTTCAAATAGTAAAATACTATTATAAATTATATATATTAAAAAGATAGAGAAATAGAACGCACTACGTACATAATGTGTATATTAATTAAAATTTTAAAGATTTTATTTTACTTCGCTTTACATTAAGGCAGCTATCATTTTGTAGGCACACTCTCAAATCTGTTCCTGTAACCAATCAGTAATTAACAATAATTTCTTCTTGCTTTAGAAAGAATGACAAGCACCTGACGGGGGTTGAACCTACACGACCAGTAATCTTTAAATTGCTAGTCCCCATGAATACCACTTGATCATGCTACCTCTTATACTCTCCACAATGTATATTTAGAAATAGATCAGCGTTATTTTGAGTAATGTATTCAAATGATTTTCATGCGGACTAAATACTGACGTAATCCGGAAAGAGAATTGTGTTCGTTTTGATACAACATCATCAAGGGGTTTTAAAATATTTTTAATCACGTTTGAAAAATATATGTCATATCTATTTAAAGAAAGTCATTTTTCATATCTACTTAAAGAAACACATTTTTTTCATATCTACTTAAAGAAAGATAGATTTCATATTATACTTAAACAAATATCTTCCTATCTATCTGTATTAGTGATATTAACGTCAAAATATTTAAGTATGAAATCACTTACTGCGTATAGAAGCATCACAAAGAACGGCAGCCAGGATACAGCAAAAATAACAGCCACTGCTATAAGAAGCTTCACTAATTTCTTTCGTGATTTAACCAAGTGAAATGAATTATTTCCGGTTCCGGTTGTCATGCACTTACTTGTGTCCCATACAAAAACTGTCACGTGAAAATAGTTTTTAAACATGAGAATTACGGGAATAAGGTATGATACTAAAGCCAGAAATACAGCGTTACTGACGGAATAAATCATAGACATATGTTCACTTCCACAAGATGCAAGTACAACAGTTGTATTGTTAGTTTTCAACGTGACGTAGTTGACGTCATATTCTACTAAAGTAGGTACAGACACTAAAATACCCAGAATCCATATAGCTGGTATGATCTTATAACACAATGTACAGTAGTTAATTTGTTCTGTTTGACATTCGATAATTGCCCTCCGTCTTTCAAACGAGATTGACACGAGAGTGTAGATAGAACTTGTTATGATAAAAATAGGACTAAAGTTAACGACTTTACATAGGATAACACCTGAAATATAAAATAATATATATAGTCTTTAAAATGTATACCTCAGATGTTGTTTTCTGTATTGTAATTCAAGAAGTTAATGTTATTACCTGTAAGTTCTTTAAAACAATTCAAATAGTGTATACTAAATTATAAGTATATTTATTGTGAGTTCTATTAAATTCTACATTTTTGATGTTATATTTTACAATACATCTAAAGGTTAGTGTTCGGTTTATTTTCTTCCTAGAGTTATTCTATTTTATAACGCTATCTGACAAAATACACTATGATACGACAACGTTTTTTTTACTGAACTATAAATACTTTGGAAATGCAAATGAGTTGATTGATTGCATTATTGATTAAACATATCAAAATGTCATAACCATTAGAATAAATAAACATTTTGTTAAAAAACCCTAAACTGAATGATTAAAACGGGAAACATTGATAAAAAAAACCATTGGGGATTTTTTAATTCCCCCCCCCTTTTTCCCCTTAACGGGAAAAAAGTTTTTTTTTTTTTTTTTGGGGGGTTTTTCGTAACCGTATAAACAATACTTTCAATTAAATGGCAGATTCCTTTGATAACTACAATTTCTTGTTGACAACTTGATTTGCTAGATTTTTAATTTACAAGCATCGATTATTCTACACGTGAAGCATAATCTGTCAGTTATTTAAAGGGAAGACACATCATTTGTCAGACATCACATATGACAGGTACCAGTTATATCAAGGAGCCTTAAATATCTGTCAGGTACCAGTAAATTCAAGGAGCCTTAAACATCTGTCAGGTACCAGTAAATTCAAGGAGCCTTAAACATCTGTCAGGTACCAGTTATATCTATATCAAGGAGCCTTAAACATCTGTCAGGTACCAGTTTTATCCAGGTGCCTTAAACATCTGTCAGGTACCAGTTTTATCCAGGAGCCTTAAACATCTGTCAGGTACCAGTTATATCAAGGAGCCTTAAACATCTGTCAGGTACCAGTTTTATCAAGGAGCCTTAAACATCTGTCAGGTACCAGTTTTATCAAGGAGCCTTAAACATCTGTCAGGTACCAGTTTTATCAAGGGCCTTAAACATCTGTCAGGCTTAAACATCTGTCAGGTACCAGTTTTATCAAGGAGCCTTAAACATCTGTCAGGTACCAGTTTTATCAAGGAGCCTTAAACATCTGTCAGGTACCAGTTTTATCCAGGTGCCTTAAACATCTGTCAGGTACCAGTTATATCAAGGAGCCTTAAACATCTGTCAGGTACCAGTTTTATCCAGGTGCCTTAAACATCTGTCAGGTACCAGTTATATCAAGGAGCCTTAAACATCTGTCAGGTACCAGTTATATCAAGGAGCCTTAAACATCTGTCAGGTACCAGTTATATCAAGGAGCCTTAAACATCTGTCAGGTACCAGTTATATCAAGGAGCCTTAAACATCTGTCAGGTACCAGTTATATCAAGGAGCCTTAAACATCTGTCAGGTACCAGTTATATCAAGGAGCCTTAAACATCTGTCAGGTACCAGTTATATCAAGGAGCCTTAAACATCTGTCAGGTACCAGTTATATCAAGGTGCCTTAAACATCTGTCAGGTACCAGTTTTATCCAGGTGCCTTGAATATCTGTCAGGTACCAGTTATATCAAAATGTATTAAACATCTGTCAGGCACCAGTTTTATCAAGGTGCCTTACTCATCTGTCAGGTACTAGTTACATCAGGGTGCCTTAAAATATGTCAGTTACAGATATATCAAGGTGCCTCAAGCATTTGTCAGGTACCATAAATGTCAAAATGCCTTAAACATTTGCCAGGTACATGTACTTGTTATATCAAAATGCCTTAAACATTTGCCAAGTCCCAGTTAAATGGGTGCTTTATGCATCTGTCAGGTACCAGTTGTATCAGAGTGCGTTAAATATCTTTCAGTCAAAGTTATATTCAGGTGCCTTAAACATAAGTCAGATACAACTTAACCAGCTGTCTCATTGATTGTTGACGTACTAGTATATCTATCTATTCATGCTACAAAACATGATGTTTCTTCTGCTTTTTTTTGTATCTATGCACGTTATAGCATTGATGGTGTCTATTATTTGTGACTGTTTTTTTTTAAGGTGTAATTCCTATCTTTGTTTGCTACAAAACCGGTGTTTTCTTCTATGAGTGATATAGCTATACACGCTACAGCTACAGGACCCATTAATCTTTCTTTGAAAAATTATATCTATACATGCTATAGAACCAATTCTGTCTTCTGTTGGTTAATATTGGAAGAAGGAATAAGTTATTTTTGCACTATATTTCATAATAACAATATTTCTGGGGAGTTCAAAATTATAGATATCCGGTGGTTGCTATCTACAATATCGGAATAAATAAGAGAAACACGACTGAGAAAATGTTTTAGGGTAATAGACTGTCAAGATGTTACTTTATTTGATAAGAGTCTGTCACGTAACATATTGCGACAGAAATCTTAAAACATAAATAATTGAACATTGCATGATTTTATAAAATAGGAGAAATTTTGTTTCGAGAAAATAAATCGAATGATTTGAACAGTGATAAAGATGTTCTTGTCGACTTGTGTTTGTTGAATTTAGAGCTTGACATTTTGTCGTAAATGGGAAAAGCTAAGACAAACAATCGACGTTTTTTATGAGTAAAGTCCGTTGATATTTGAAAATTGTGAAGTCCCATATAATTATGCTTGGTTTATATGCATATTTTAGTTCTGTAGTTTACGCAGTATACCTTTTTGTTTGATTTTTATCACTCCTAACCGTATTAGCAGAACAAAGCAAATTTATTTCATTATAATGATTAGTAACACTTACCCTAGTAGTAAAAGAGTCGAGTGAGATTAGGAATA